TTTGCTGATCCCCGCTCTTCTTCATCATCAGCAGTATCGCGAGAAGGCCGAGCTCGTACTGTGGTCCCAGCATCTGTCCACAAAAGTGGTCCCGAGACGAGGTTCTCATAATCCGGGCCAAGGTACGTACTTTGTAGTACTGTATGTATCTTCATTCCTTTTCTTGGGCCCCGCAGTCGGTTCCATCACGCAGTACGTAGTGTCCTAATGCTATTGTAATGACGAAGCTTGCGACCTGCCCCTGTCTCCAGCTTCCTGCCTTTCGTTCCTACGTATTGCCGTGTATACAGACAGACCCTATTATAGCGACCGAAGCTTAACGACGAATCGATATGCTGGTAAGCGTAGGTAATGCTTGTGGATATATATTATGGGCAATGGATCACGTATGACAAGGAACGGACACGAGTCAGTGCGTGAAATCCGCATTAATAAGTCATGGGGAAACCGAAGAACATGTGCGGCATCGGCCTAGGCTGGCCGGCGGCGTATACAATTTTCTAGGCAGGCAATGAAGAATCGGGAAGAAGATTACATTGACAACAAGTAACACTATTAAAAGGAATTAACTATACATTATACATATGTACGTGTTAAGGATTAGCACAATGCATATATGTAACTCGTAACTTAATTGTCAATGCTATATTAGAGTTTAAATAAGTTTAAAGCAACAAGTACCCAAGCCATTAGAGTTTAGATGTTGTCGGGATGATCTAAGTATAATTCTATTTCTTTTCCTTCCTCTTCCTTTCTATCTTAGTCAATTGTGTATCGCGATTTTAGATTGAAACGTAAACTCAATGCTAGGTTACATAATTATAATATAATATCTACATGCATACATATATGTACGTATATGTAAAAAGAGCCTAGACAGATCTTGATAATACATACATATTATACATATACACATAGTCATTCGACCATGACTCTTTTCCCGTTGGAGGGAGGTCTAAGGAATGCGTGTGGGCCAATGGTTCTGTAATACAATCCGATTGCAGATTAGACCACGCCCGCCTGTTCGCATCGAACTTCTTGACTCTTTGGAAACCGCAGGGATTTCCCACGTCTGAAGTTATTGTGAGAACAATTCGATGTGGGTTTTTATCCATGGAAACCTGGCAAGAGAGCCTAGGGCCTATTGAGTTAGCACGTCCAGCACGTCCTATGCGTCCTATGCGTACAATACATAGTATGTACCCGTACCATGGTGGGTGGTTTAGGGTCTGGGCAGGAACAGGCCGTGGATCCATCTTCTCCATATCTTTATTCCAAGAATCGTGTGTGTGCGACAGTACTTGCAGGAAGGTACTTATGGTACGGGATACGTTGTACCTGCGCTTACTTAAAAACAACTTCCAATACCTGGGAAAGACCAAGACCCAAGTATCCACCCCGGCCTGCCCTGGTCTGCCCTGGTCCAGGACGCGAGAATACATCATCCATGGTACATCACTTTTCCTTCCCAGCTGTTGACTAATGAAGATGGTCAGGGATTGGCGCTGCGACTGGCTTTATCAGGGATACTGGGTCTTTTGTGGATGGTTCCGCCGCCTCCTACATGGTCATTGGGCGCGGTGTACAGTACCTAGAAGGTACCTACACCGCTTTAGCCTCCCCACATCGTGTACATTCACCTTTGAACTGGACCTCGACCACAGACGTTTATCAGTTGCATGTACCCAGTACATATAGTTTTGAAGTTTATATTCATATTTTGCCTTTGAAGTCTGCAAAGGCGTATGTCTCCCTTCGTAGCTAGACGTCGCAACAAACAATTAAAACGGTCCATTCGCATTTTGGAGGTTTCACTCCAGGGAAAAACAAATGTAAACAAATACGGTGCTAAATGATTAGTCACAGGCCCAGAAGAGGAGGCAAGTTAGAGGCGAGAGGGCGGCAAGAAAGAGAAGATGGCGAGGGGGTCATGGACAGGGAAGGGGGGTTAATATTCAGCTCATACTGTCGAGTAAAGAAAAACAAAATCCACCTGGCTGCGGGAACATGGAAGAAATACATAAACAAGGACAGCAAGGAAACAGAATCTTGCAGGTAACGAGTGGATTTTGTTTAGAGTTCAATGTGGCGGCTAGCTATCAGCGGCAGAAGAGATAAAGTTGTTGGCGGTGACCTGATATATTTATATAATTTTCATCACCAAATGACAATAAATAAAAATAAAAGTAAGAATAATAATTACAATTATGATAAGTAATAATAATCTTGAAAATTAAAGAGGGGAGGAGGAAAAAAAAGAAAAACAATTAGGTCGAAATGGGATATCGTCACGAGAAAATAAGAAAAAAAGAAATGGCAATTATCGAGATAAAAAAGAACAAATAAGGACCCGACTTACTGTATGTAGTACAAACGTTTTCCGCATCCCTCTTTTTCGCAGTCTTGTCGTTTGCCCCTGCTGGTAAGTTGCGATCGGGTCTGATTGGCTAGGTGACCCGGGCTTTCCAAAGAAAGCAGAAGGAAAAAAAAAAAAAAGAGACTAAATTTTCTTGGGCACTGTACGTACCGCGCGACCTTTTTTTTCTTACCTGACCTGGCAGGCACCTACCAGCACCTGCACCTGCACCTGAAGGGTACCTGCTGTAGGTACAAGTTTTTTTTTACGTTTACCACATAAAATACATGTAATAATCAAATAAATCAGACCCTCACAAAATCTCCCCGAACCTTCCATTCTTCTTTTCCCCCCAACCTTTTAAACAGACAGCAGATTACCAAACCAGCCATTCATTCAATCGTACATGCATTCCTCTTATGCTGGTTCGGCAATCAAAGTTGCACATTCAATCATCCCTCCACGCGTGTTCAAGCAGCACTGCAGCGTCGTGCCTCGAGCTTGCATCCCTTCTGCATATAAAAATTCACCATCTCCCATCCCCTCGGCACTAATTCTCACTAAGCCCAATCTAAACTTGCTTGAGTCTGGACGCGAATCGCTCGGGTCAAGACTAAAGTTTACGATTTGGCGCACCCAAGACACACCAAGGCGCACCAACACGCAAATTCTGTCGTCACCGGGGCCCTAGCCGTGACGGTCACTAGTTCCATCTATCATCAACTTTTTTTTTTTTTTTTTTTTGGCGAGGCATTGCCCGCTGCCCGCTACATACGCATACATCTATACTACGACATACTCTAAACAACCTAAACAACCTTAGCAACATCATTACATATTACATACATTACTTACATACCTACATACACACGCTTTTTTACTTGACTGCACGTCACTAGGCCTTAGTCTGGCGATCGTGCGTAGTGTATGTGTGCGGTGCGTGCGTTTTAGTAGGTACTGGTTGCTAGTGGTATAGTAGTTGATTCACCTCTACTATACTGCTACTACTACATACACATCCAATTCGATCGTACGTACATACGATACGATAAAGTACGGTACAGCTACTTACGAATTGTCACTCCGCTACTTCTTAACTACCCGTTACTAAGTTTCCTGGTATCCCTGGTATCCTGGTACTTCAAAACACAGCTTACACCTGCCTGAGGAACCTAACAGGGCGTGCGACGGAAGTGAAGGAAACAACAACCTTACCTAGGTAGCAAAACAGAAGCAAGCACTACTTGTTATCAGCCACCATTTTCTCATAATACCTACCACACGGACTCAACTTACACCTTAGGGGCATTTACCTGGACTTCACCTTTACCCTACAACTCACACTCACTCACCTCACTAACTCACTCACATACACATCCCCCCCTCTCTCATCCATCTTCCCATAATCCATAATTATACACACCACACTATTTACCAATATCGACACGCCCACCTCGACGTAGGGAGGCAGTAATAAGAGTCAGTCTAGCCGATCCTAGGTTCTTCTAGCGGCTCTGTAATTCGACATTCCGAGAAAATCTAACATCGCGCCGGGCCAAATTCTACTCGGAGGCCCCTGCCACCAATCGCAACCCTTAGTATAGCTGACAAGACACGCTAAGTCTCGCGGTCTAGACGACTTCGGGGATCGCTTGACTTATCTAGCGTTTCTCCCCCATTTTACTTCGTACTATTTTAGCGAAGTATCTTTTCCTTCCCTCTCCACCCTCCTCTCGACTTGGGCCATCAGACCCCATCGAGCCACTAGGTCACTAGGCCCGCACGCGTTTATACGCAGCTACCAGGGGGCCTCCTCAAGGGAAACCAGATCGTACCCTGCAACCAGATCGTGCGCGCGGTGTGTGCTTGACAAACTACTACATCCTGCTCCTCTCTTCTTACCTCCTCCTCGTGCCCTGCCCTTCATAAGCGCAGGCCATTTTTTGCCCTCTACGGCGAACGGTAGGCGGGTGCGGCCAATCTGTTGTGTAATACGCACTACTAGTTGGCGCCCGCGATCTAAGCACGAACTCAAAAAGCACCCTGGCCCCCAACCCTCCTCTTACGACCCATTGGCGGCGGGACCACGATTTTTTAGTAGCGCTGCTCCATACCCGAGAGTACTACTACTTTACTACTTTTTTTTTTTCTCCAGCGCGCAAACTTGGTGGCTGATATCGAACTTTGTGGGTTGGTGGATCTTGCTCGAGAGACTATTTCATCCGTAGAGCCTGGCAGGACTCAAAGAAGATCTACGCTATCTTCTCTGGATCAGTCTCCCGTCGATGACCAAGTAGCCGCCAACAAATACGCCAGTCCAGCCGCAGCCTGTTCCCCCCCTTCGGTGCAACTCTATCCTTTCTCCTCTCCTACCAAAGAGTAGCACTATATCGACCCAAGACACCGTCCCCCTCCTACCCTGCTCTGAAGTCGACGTTGGCTCGAGGACTAAAATTCCCCGGCCCGTACGCTTTTTTATCCCATTGTGCCTGGCAGCAGTAGTGTGCCGTTGGTGTCGACGTATTAGCCTCAAGGCATTCGCTAGCATCCCACGTACCACTATCACGCACCTTCGCGCACGACAGCTCAGCCGTCGGAATCCGTGAGCAGTCTTTAGAAGCTCGCCCCAACGCGCTCGACATTCATGGAACGGGGCGTGCCCGAATACTCGCAGTCAGGTTTGCCTTCGCCCTATCCAAGCGTCTTCGGCGACACTCAATCTGAAGCTTCCTCTGCAGATCACGCATCTGCTGCACAATATCCTAGCAACCAGGAAGCGCGGGGGAGCAGTTACCCTACGTCTGCGACGCCTACCTCAGAGTACGGAGCGTACCCGCAATCTGCGAGGTCGACGAGTTCGTTCCCAGAACATACTCTTCGTCAATACCATCCAGCGAGCAACCATAGCGGCAGCAGCGGAGGTATGGCGCAAACACCAACAAGTCCGTCCATGCCTTTGCAAGATGGACGCAACCATCAATCCCAACAGGTCAAATCTGACACCGATGTACCCATAGATCCTTCCATCGCGGCACCTAGCCCGACTTACGCTCCTCCTAACCAATATTCGCCGTACGCGCCCCCCCCTCAAGATATGTCGCATAACTATCCGCAAGGCGCCGGAAGCCTATATGCGCAGCCTCGCCCTGACTGGGCGAATTATGGCCACCCGGCCGCGCCCGGACAGATGCCGCATCCACACTCAGTATACCCGCACGCATCATCGGCAGCAGCCCCAGGACGACCAGCACAGGTAGGTAACTTATTTTCCCTTTCGCGGCATTAAGGTTCGGCTAGTCTGTTGAATAGACAGCAAGAAACACGTTGAGATATGATGGATTGTCTAGATCGGACGGAAATTGGGTGGGAAATGTTGAATACCTGGAATCATTCCAGACTTTCGCCAACCATATTGGAAACTAATCTTCTCTCCTATACTATTTGTGTGAAGTAGCTGATTTCATTGACAGTATGGTGCCCAGCAGGTCTACTCTTTTGTACCGATCCCTGGCGCGCAACAGCACAAAAGACCTCGACGACGATATGAAGAAATTGAGCGTATGTATAAGTGCGGATGGAATGGCTGCGAAAAAGCGTACGGTACGCTTAATCATCTGAACGCGCATGTTACGATGCAAAGCCACGGGCAAAAGCGGACGCCCGAAGGTAAGGTTATTTTTATTTTTATTTGTCTCGCGTGTCAATATGCAGATCGGACAGCAGAGTCTTGGGCGGCATGCTTTGGATTCGTACTAAAAGGATAGCTTGTTCTCCGCTTTGCTGGTCAATGACGGGGTGCAGAAGGCTGTCGCTTTGGTGTCGACCGGACTCATGCCGGTTGGTGACCTAGCTCTGTTATGCTAGCCAAGGACTAGTGCAATCCTTGCACCAGCGCAAGCGTAAAGTTTAGATGTGCGTAGACATTCGCTAACCACACCAATGGAACAGAATTTAAAGAAATACGAAAAGAATGGAAGGCGCGTAAGAAGGAGGAGGAACAGCAACGCAAGGCTGCTGAAGAGGCCGATCGCCAGCGCCACGCTGCCGCCGCCGCCGCTCAGAACGGCGGAGGTGACCCACAGGCGGGTGAACCAGGACAAGCTCCCTCGTCGTATACGACCAGTCGGCAAGTGCAGCTACCTCCTATCGGGTATCAGCCAACGCAATACCCTGCACCGACGTCGGCTACTGTACCGCAACAACCTATGCCAGAGTATAGTCCTACAAGCCACATGTATTCTGGTTACCAACAACCGGCGTCGCCTTATGGCCCGCAGAACCAGAGCATGTATAGCCAACGGGAATAGGTGTGAACCCTAGGTTATTGCGCTTAGTTAGGTAGCAGTTTAACCTAGGAGCCGCGTGCGTCTCGGAAATAACTCAGTTTCGTTTTCTCTCATTTTCGCGAAAGAATGGCATACCAAAAGGCTTATAAATCTTCGGCACCTTTCTGCCCTGGTGTACGATACGCAGCAGTGATCCCCCCGAAACAAAACTTAAGTCTTCTGGTTCGATCGACCTATACGATAGTAGATCCCTAGTTCACAGGGACCAACCTCCTTTTTTCCCCGTTTTCGTTTTTTTCATTTTTTTTATTACGACAGCATTGCGTTCGGAGCATTGGCTCAGATCAGAGTGGATGCATTCGAAGCACACGCATTCTAATGACCAACATTGATTTCTCGCATACAGCATCGGGGTGCCGTGGGTGGGAACGGCGGGAGATGAGCCTTGCATTGGGTTAGGTGTCTGGGCAGGCAGGTATGAAACAATGATTGGAGCTTCTAGGCTCAAGAACATGTTTGGTCATTGGTGCGGCTTTGTTTGAAGGCCCTGGCCTCTTTTATACGTGGAGATGGGCTTTTTATTTTCTCTACGGCCAAGGCTTTCCCCCGGCATATCTTCTCTTCGTCCCTACATATTTTGCCGGACATATCTATTTGCAGTGGAGATGGCGGGATTTGTTTTTATCAACCTTCCTCGTGGGGACTCGTGGAGAGGGAGGTTCCGCGCCGTCCAGCCTAGACTAGCATTTCTACGGGATTACGAAGATAAACCGGCTGGAATAATCTTTCGTTCTGCCTCAGATACACGGATAATAATGAAAGTTGCGCTTGGTGTTTCTGACATTAGTAACAGTGTATATTTCTTGATTATTCATTCGCAGCCATAAATTGATCCACCCGTAGATGTATGAAACCCGAGGATCTGGTCACTACCACCACCCATGCATCTCTGATGTCAAGATATGTAGGCTTTCAGGCATGTATGTGAGTAAAAAAAGACGCACTCTAAATTAGGGTGCCTTAGTTTCCCTGTGCTACCAGAGCCACGAGGGATCCATGTGTCTGGCGTATCCGTTGACATCGTTCCTTTAGGTAGGGCTGGACTGGGCTGGGGCTACTGGGTAGAGTAAAGTCGGGGATTTTTCTGCTTGGTGTGGTTACACGAAACATTATACGTATTTTTTTTCTGCTGGGCTGTAGGTTAGACGCACGGCCGATCCTACCGGCCCATAGTTACATTCTTATTATTCATATTAGGTACAAGGTTCCCTTTACCTTCGTGATACCCGGTATACGCTACTCGATAGCCGGGGCTAGCCATGTACATATGTGTGTATATACAGCTAATGACAGACAGAATATGATAGGGCGAAGGCTATCAAATGCCGCTCGAAACCTTGCTTGTGACTTAGGGCTGAGAAGACATGCGCCGAACGTATACTCCTTTCGCTTCCGTGGACACTTCACCATGGAGGGCGAAATGTGCAAAATATCAGAGCGGCGCTCGGGTTTTCTTGCCAGTTTTGAAAGATATTTCCTTTACTGTGAATGCCTACCCAGGTTAGTACCCCTATTCCTTCAAGACCTGTAGGCTGTGCAAATGGGCGTCTTATACATACATGCATGAACTTTCCCCCACCTGACATCTAACTCAGACAAGGAGAGGTGAAGTTGTTTTAGACTCCTTCTAGAAGGTTTGCCTTGGATTCAGCCATTCATTTGTGGGCCTCGGGATCCAGAAGCAATAGCTGAAGAAACAGAAATGTCCCTTTTCTAAGTAGGTATGTTCTACTTAGACGTACTAACAATTATCGGATGCGCTCGTTGTACGCTTGGTAGGGTACAATACGATACAAGTACCTGTCTAAACGGAATTAGTGACATACATTCTTAGGTGCCCATCTGTTCATGCAGCCAACCTACATACCTAGGTACATAGCTAACCTACATGGCACTACGTACGAACGGGCGACGCCATACTAGTAGAATAGGGTAGGCAGACCAATGTACGCAAGTAAGCGAACCGAACTTTTGACCCCATGTCTAGCCTGGATCTGAACCGTCGGGACGTGCTTCGAACTAGTGAGGTTACAAGTGTCGACATTTTAGTGCTGGACCCCCGGGAGATGTATTAAAAATACCTAGCAAGAGAGGTAAAATATGGCAGATTTTCGACGGGTTTAGGTAGATTTAGGCATGTCGGACGGTGTCGTCGATGGTGTTGTAGGTGAGTGTGGGAGACGTCGGCCGGACTAGACAAGGGGGGTGATTTAGGCTTGTGCCTTGTGCCATCCATGCGAAAGCAACCGTTGGGACGCAACCCCCCGGACTAACCATACCCTACCATACCCTACGTACATACATTAGGTTAAGTTTAAAAGCCATGTGTACACCACACTATAATAAGCTGTATACGGTACATCATCGTCATCGCATACACCCAATAACCTACCGGCCTTACCAGCCTACATACCTAGCATAACCCAATGCAGCGGGCCGCTAAAATCCCAATCCACCCCTAAAATCGAAGAGGTTCCAGTTGACGTGCCTCTGGGTTGGGTGGCCCGTATGCGGCCCGCGTGAGGGTTTAAAACTTGTCGATGTAACCTCGAAGATAGCGTGGTGATCAGTACATACGTAGTAGGGATAAAGAAAAAATAAAGCCGTCTATTTTCTATTTTAGTAAATAAATAATGAAGCTTTTTTAGTTTTCGTCCCAAGCTTAGATGGGTAAGTAAGGCTCTTAAGGTGGATGTTTTGTAACCTGCTCTTTTGATTCTAGCGTCTTCTTTTTTTAAGTTGGATATATCTATGTCCCTATATAAGATGGATTTTACCACGTGGGGTTCTACATTGGTGTTCATAACTTAGTTATTACTTAAAATATACTTTAGGTACAGTGAACTTACACAAAAGACATCAATGCTATATGCAGATGCATTACTATCTCCTACTTAAGGTTAATCATCACACTCTTGTTCATTATGAAGGTAGCAACTTAGTTTCGGACTAATACCTATCGAACTCCGACAATGTGGCTGCACCAGTTCGCTGCAAGTCATATAAACCAACCAACTCTACCTCCCACCTACATGAATTTGTATCGACCACCGTCAATACAACTTCTCACATTAACTACTCAAATTATTATCATGTGACTTCATCCGAAGCATGTAATGCGTTTCATGTGAGGTACCAAGGCGAATCGGATCTATTATAAAGTTGGCCAACGTCACTTATTCATTTACCGACCTTACAAGCTTTTCAAAGTCGATCAACTTTGACGAATCGCGGAACAAACCACTGCACCATTTTACCTACCACTTCTTTTACGCGATAAGAATGTGATCACTCGGCATATCCAATACGAAGAAAGAATCCGATCATCTAGATAGAGATAGGCTATCCGATTAATATTGTTATCACTTGGCTCGAACATCATTACAAAAATGACGTTTCGCCAGTCGGGCATGTTTCTCGATCGCCCTCCTTCGGTTCCGCCCAAAGCATCGGATCGATCCACGGACATTACTCTTCTTACACAACATATACTACATCCTGTTGTGCAATTTAAGGCATATATGCTTATTGTATCACCGTCGCAGCCATGTCGGATATCTTCCTGCCCTACCTATTTCTATTGATAATTCTGTGCCATACACCTTAGAAGAACTGATTCCTTTGGCAGTGACGATACGAAGCAATCGGTGTTCCATAGCAACACTGAATTTACAACGTGGCGAGGCAAGATTGGGAAAGTACGAATTAAATTATTATCGTGTCTTATCCCTCGCCCCCGGTTGCGCCTCACTCGCACGACAATAACGTTTGACGAGGTCGGCTATCTTAGGAAGTAGCATGGATATGACGTAGCCGGCATACGGATAGGTTTTTAATTTCCCGAGCCTCCCTTCCAGTCCTACCCATCAACGTCATTCTGCTTAGGGAAAGACCCTTGAAAATCATAACAACCTCCTAGAAAACTCCTGCCCTTTCCTTTTCTTCCTAATGCACGTTAGTAGATTCATAGTAAGGATGGCTTTGTTGACTGTAAAGTGATAGATCTAAGTGACAGATCCGTTCTTACCCTTAGTTTGAAACCAAGGGATCATCAACATTTTCTTCCCATATAACCATAACCCCCTTCTTGTTAACCCATCTTCATTTCTGCCCTCTATTGAATAAGTATTGAGGGAAATAGATCCTAGTTATGTCGGCAGCTACAGCTATCCCAATTACTTCATTTCCGGATGTGGACCCACAGAAGATAAAATCAAGACCGGGTAATTGTGGGGTTACCGTCGATATCTATCCACCTTCAACTTCCGATTTTCTCGGTCCCTGGTCTTCTAACATCAAATCTACTGTCGACTCGCCATATCCGCGTTCTATTAAGTCATCTAAATCCGTTGAAGATCTTCCCGCCATCGGTGCATTTCCGTTAGGCTCACTCCGAGTGACGGAACAGAGAGAGAAGGACCTAGAAGTAGATACGCCACTCACCACACCCGACTGCGCCATGGAGTTATCATCGGAACCTGGGTCTCCCTTTCCTACGGGGGGTGACGTCCTTATACTAGACGACTTGCCTGAAAACTTCACAGTCGGTTGCGACTCGATGTCCTTCACGACGAAAAGGTCCTTTCCGGGCTTTCGTGACATCCCGCCTGGGGCGCATCTCATCTGGGTCGCCCCCACCGAACTGACGTCAACCCGAAGTGCATATTGGATCTTCACTCCCAACAGGAAGGAGTTAGAACCCGCAGATGTTTATGTGAAGCAATGGGATAATTTCAATGAAATCCTCAGCGATCCAGCTAGCCAAGCCGAAGAGAGATTTCAAAAGGAGAGATTATGGCAGATCTACGACAACCTTTCACCTTATCAGCTCCGGGCCACTACCTCCGGAGTACACCTCGCACCATCTAACCATGAATTGGATAATCTTCCATCTTTGCTCAGCAATGAGACGATATGGGATCAGTTGACGTCGGCTATACACCCGGGTCTCCTGAGCAGAATTACGGGCCAGACCCAAAGAAGCTGGCAAGTTACTACTTTAGACCGGGTCGCTGGCGATACGACGATGGCCGAAGAAGCTCGTCTGTACGCCAGCGGGAAGTCACAACTACGTTTCACATTCTCCATAAACGCACCCCTCATTAGCCCATCCACCTCCGGCGAAGAACGCACCCGCCAAGCTCTTGACCCAACACCCTTCATCCTCGACACCCTTAATAACCCCGTCAACACCTCCAAACCTAGCGACCTAGTCGGTGAATTCTCCTTCGCATTCCTCACCGGGATGCACCTAGGTAACTACTCCTGCCTAGAGCAATGGTGGTTCTACGCCACCAAACTAATATTCCGCTCCTTCGACTTGGCTATCCTAAACCCTGTCCTCGCCAAGGACCTCATACAAACCTTTCACGCGCAACTCGTATACAACGACCGGTACCTCGAAGGCGACATCCTAGAAACTTCGGGGAATAACGCGAAGAAACTCCAACGAGCACTTGTTACTTACAAAGCGCGTCTCGATGAGAAACTACTCGCGTTGGGTGATCGTATATCACCAGACCAACATGCCGCGGGCGCTGCTTTCGCAGCGTTAGAATCTTGGCTCTGGAGACTGGGTTGGGATTTAAGAGGGGAGTATGTACGTGCGGGGAATGTGACGCTAGAAGACGGTGAAGTTGTCGAGGCTGAGATGTCGGATTTTGAAGATGAGGATGAAAGGGGTGAATTTGCGCCTGTGGTGGTTAGTTTGGATGAGGGAGGGAGAGAGGCGGGATTGGTGTCGTGGGATGGTTGAATGACCTCAGAAGTGAAGGTGGGAATAGGAGATGAGAAGCAATAATTAAATGCATACACGAACGGACGGATAGATGAATGGGTATACACATACACGATACATGAATGGATGAATAGGGCGGGTTCTTGTAATATTTTACTCGTACAACCCATTTAATCTTGATATACTTTGAGGGTTGCAAGAACAAGCAGCATAATACTTCAAATTTACTTAAAGAACTCAAGTTGTGTCTTCTCAAACTTGGTTATGAGATAAGGAATCGGTTTCACCTTTAGACTGTCGCTTTATGGCTGTCGTCGAAAAGACACCATGATAGAGATTTAGTTCCGAGTTATCCCTTCTAGTCAACTTAGATTTTAGCACGATTTTTAATCGCAGACGTTTTATAGCATTACGTCACGCTTTCCGGAACAGCATAAGTCATTAAAAGATTTGTCGTTTCATTCGCCTAATCCCTTTACAACCAGGCCATGCAAATGCATTGATAATAGAGAAGGCATCCTTAGTAAAGAGGTAAACCCTCCCCTCGTAGCAAAGGATTCCCTTGTCTTAATGACTCCAGAGGTCCGACCACCGCCATAGCCGTCCCGATTTCGTTGCGCGCAAAAAGGAGAAGAGGGCCAGGCATAAAAGGAAAACAAGAAACCAAATCGTCTCGATTGACTTGTGTTTTTTTCTTTCTTCCGTCGAACATCCCCCCAAACGAGATCGATGATTTTTGCTTCTCTTACCATTTCTCCTCTCTCCCTCCATTTCCTGGTTTTTGTTTCATGGAACCAATAATATCCATCCATCCCCACCCCCGAACAACAATAGAAGTCGGAGATTCTGTTTAACGGTAGGACTTTTGGTATCTGGCACGGGCACCGGGACCGCCGAACTTCTTGGGCTCGCACCGACGGTTGTCGGCAACGAGAAGGGTTCGGTCGTATTGGACGAGAGCCTGCTTGAGTAGGTTCTTGCTGTGCTCGTCAACGTACTTCTGGTAGTAGGCGATAAGGGCCTTGGCGATGGCCTGGCGGACGGCGTAGACTTGCGAAGTGTGACCACCACCGGTGACGCGGACGCGGATGTCGACCTGGGAGAACTTGTCGAGGCCGACGATTAGGAGAGGCTCGTAGACCTATTTATTTCGTGTCAGTTTTCCTTCTTGATTCCTTCTATAAATTTCATGATTTTTCAATATGTAAATATTTTCGGGGTATTCGTGATGGGCATATAATATGATTGAATCGATCGCGTAATAAGTGACTATCGGGTTCGGGTGTAATTCGTTTCGTACCTTGAATCGGAGAACCTCAGGTTGGACTAGAGATAGAGGTCGGCCGTTGACCTTGATCAGACCGGAGCCATTCTATAAATTGAGATTAATTCGTTAGCACATATAACTTATAGAATTCCTTGTTAATTTTCCACCCTTGAAGAAAAAATTGCGACGTCGATGATTCGATATCTTGTCTTGTTCCGAACTTTCGCGTAGGTGACACTCTATGAATAACCACAATTGACCCGGGCTTACCTTGCAGTGGGCGACAGCAGTAGCCGTCTTCTTCTTGCCGAAGCACTGAACGCTTTGCGTAGACATGGTTGCGGAAATGTGTATGTGAGACGAAAGGGTGTGAAGGGATTTGCAACCGTTCGGGGGAAAAAGTGCCTAGGCGTTCAAGGTAGTCGAGTGGAATTGGTGATGGAGAAACTAAAGTCAATTTTTCGCAGCCGAAAATGTCGAAAAAGGGTTTGTGCCCTGAAAATACGCTAGTGTTTGTTTGGGAAATCGGTGTACTAAGGTGAAGGTGGGGACCACCCGAAGAAAACCCGATAAAGTTTAACCCCACTGTGCTTAGGTAAACGGTACGTACCCTTTATCAACTCTGCCCCTCGACGCTCAACCTTTCATACATATGTACTCCATACTAAAACTTAGACCTCTACATCGTAGCTTTATATCTTTCTCATAATGAATCAATATTAATCGCGACTACTAACCAATACTTGTTCAAAGGAATTAGGCTGGGACTACCCTTTCAATCCTGTAAAATAGCTAGATTTCCCTTTTTCCAAGGAACGTATTCCGGACTCACGTGCCCCGCTACTCATCACCAATGACCCCTATTGGGACTGAGGATAGACAAGCTATCTAGGTATCATCCTACACTTTTAACATTCCCCCTTCGCTCTGAACACCCTTCCACCCACATATCGAACCTACAAAGGCGTAAAAAATGTCCCGCAAAGGTGTAGGCCTAGCAGCCTTCGACCGGTCCCGCCTAACATCCGCACAATTCGCCTCTCACGGGAGTTCCCTCCGAACAAGCGACGCCAAGGCCCTCGAAACACAACTCTCAGTCTTCCGCTCCTTATTACAACAATTCGCCACAACACACGCTAAGGACATCCGCTCAGACCCGTCTTTCCGCGCGCAGTTCGCGCGTATGTGCTCCGCTATTGGTGTGGATCCGTTGGCGTCATCGTCGTCGAGTGGTGGGAGTGGGAATAGTTTGTGGGCGCAACTTTTGGGTAGGAGTGTGAATGATTTCTATTTTGAGCTGGCGGTGCGTGTTGTTGAGGTTTGTAGTGCGACGAGGGGTGAGAATGGGGGGTTGATTGGGGTGCGTGAGTTGAGGGAAAGAGTGGTTAGGGGGAGGATGGAGGGCGCTCCTGAGGTTGTGGATGATGATGTGCTGAGGGCTGTCGCGACGCTGAAACCGCTGGGAACCGGGTACTCCGTTGTGAAAGTGGGAAATCGGTCGTATGTCCGCTCGGTGCCGAAGGAGTTGAATACGGACCAGAGCGCTGTGCTAGAGGCTGCTCAGGTTTTGGGGTATGTGAGCGTCTCTATGCTTATGGTCAACCTGCGCTGGGCTCGCGCTCGTGCCCAGACTAATCTTGACGATCTCCTTGGAGAAGGCATGCTCTGGGTCGATAAGCAGGCCCCCGATGAATGGGAATACTGGAGCCCGGGCTTTATGCTGGAGATGGGCAATGACACCACTGCAGCCGGAGGATGAACGTTGAATTCCTCTTGCTGGGTCACTATCAATAGCCTAGACACTGATGCTAAAAATCCGAGATTAAGCGCCAATCTCCGACTAAATACTCCGAGGCTTGTCGGTATGTTCGACCCCGCCGGCCGAAGTCGCTTGAAGTTTCGAGTTACGCTCCCGATTCCATGTCCATTTCCGTCGCCAAATCAATGAGCGTATATATGAAACAACCTCATCCTGGCATCACCAAGGTAGACTTCATTTGGTTAAGCCTTTCTACGTGGTATTTTGATGAACGTCACGGAGAACCAGGAGCCCCGCAGTGGACGTGGGGTACTGCCATTATTCTATCGCACAGCATGGCCGATTAACCTAACGTTATTGGTGATTTGGTTCGGGTGTTTTGAAAGGCCAAAGACGGCTTCTTGTGGGAGGTCATCGTGATAGTGTTGGAAAAGTTTTGTGCTACGAGGCATATGGCTGTAGCGATGACTATTCATTGATGGTACATGGGAAATAGTATTAGAATACAACTGAAACGCTTCGCAATACTCATGCGACAACTTAATGATTTTAACTAGTCCTTTAAATAAGATTAGAATGCTTGAATTATTCTTCTCATTCCATTATCAAAAACCCATTCACTATGCTGTATACTACTATGTATTTACTTCCGCTCCCTATGCATAGATACATTCCAAGTTCCTTCTATTCCTTCGCTACCCTCCTCCACCCGGTTTGTGCAAGCGAGGGTGTAGAATTTTATATACCTCCAATACAAGCTATTGCGCTTATTAGAGAGGTCAACGGACTTCTCTCTATTTTCTACTTCGTCCCCATCCAAACTCCAAAACAACAATAAAAAAAGAAAAATGGTAGTAGTAGTACTCGTAACAAAATTGGGGAACTTTAACGACCGCGACCAACTGACATGGGTTGCCTAATACAAAAGGGCTTTTCGTACAATCCTGGCTCTTCGACGAACCATCAAGTATAATACACAAAAGTATGTGAGCCATTCCGACTCAGAAAGGCATTATCAATTATAATTTATTCGTATGGTTGACTGTTTCGATCGACTCGCCAAACCAAAATTCATTTCACCATATGGTCATCTATTGTCTTCTTCGTCCTCAGGGTCATCATCGCGCAGGTATTTACTGTCGTTACTCTCTCGATCTCGCAGCCGACTCGTTAGGGCGTTGAACTTGCCCTTGAGGAAGCCTGGGCCAGTTGATTTTCGCCTTTCTCTCTCGTCGGTATACGCGCTACTGATATTGGTCGTTGTCCGGAATGGACTCAGAGAGTTCGCACTGAAAGAAGCCATACTAGCGCTGGTTTTCGGCCGAGGCGCCATATCAACTCCTAGCGCCGCAGGCGTACGATCTATCGGTGTCGGCGGCGTCATTTTAACGAACGATGGTAAGGGTGGTGTACCTCGATGGTTGTCGGAACCCTCGCGCACTGAGCCCCTATACGAACGAGACGAGGCAACGCTCGAGCTACGGCTATTGGATCGCTGCGGTACCGGGATGTGCGAGTGAGAGCTTCTAATACTCCTCGGCGGAGATCGGGAATAATCAACGGGGCTTGTTCCATATATGCTGGACGAATCATCACTATTGTCGCCACCACTATTGGACACGCTCGGCGTTGCTAATAGGACGCTGCTGGTAGCTAATTCGCGTAACTTGCTCTGCTGAGCTGTGTTGGGTCTGTGCTTGCTTAGCTTATTACCGATAATGGCTCCTGTGTGAGAGATCAAGGCCTTGATCACACGAGATTTGAGAGCTAGGGCTAAGTCGAGATTGGACCAGGTCTTGTTGCGGTATTCAATCGTCGGCAACCGGAAAACAAAATCGTGAACATCTTCGATATTTCGATCGCCTCTACCCTTGTAACTAAGACAGAGAACGACCGATGGCATTTTTATGTATGCGAAAGTCATGTAATTGGAGGCCCGTGCCATCATCTTTGTCAGATCGTCCGAAGGCTTATCCTCGGAGTTACCGGATTTCCGAGAAAGACCGAAGCGACCGCTCTTCTTGTTGTCGCTACCAGTAGAAGCAACTGTTGAAGACCGTCCGATTCCCATTTTCTGCTGAGAAGCGCTAGCAGATTGCAGTGATTCGTATGACCGCTTCTTGTTTGCCGTCTTAGGTCCAAAAAGCCGGAAAACACTACTACCGTCACCTGAATGGACACTAATAGCTTTAGGCTTCTGGTAATTGTCATCGGGTTGTCGCGAGTCTAAGGTCAAAGTCGGCCTCAAACGTAGCTCCAAAGATCCTGGTCGCGTTGAAAACTGAGGTTCCTTGTCGGATGCTGCAGTACCAAGTCTACTAGAGGTGGAAACTGAGTCATCTTGTACATCCTCATCCTCAGCTTCGCCAGGAACGGTAGACCTAAGTATGAATGGGGAATCGGACTGTGTGCCGGCCTTATCTCCCCCATCCATCCCAGGGAAGATGTATTCGAAGAGTTTCTTACCCACTTCGCGTTCCAGTTGAATCCTCATGGGGAACAGATTCACCTCGAAGTGATCCATAACAGGTATTCCTGCAATAGCTTCCAGCATGTGCCAGTAAACGCGTATCATTTGCTTGCCATCTAAGCCGGCCTGGGCCACTTTTTCGTCCTCAAAGTAAGGTGCGACCATTTCCGGGTAGATCGCATCCGGCATGAGATTCAAGCCTAGTATCTTGCCTACTTGCATCAAATTGATATGGGAACCATCCGAATTGTCGGTACGATCGTATTCGACATCTCTCAATTGTAGCTCGACAAGAGGTTCATTGTTGTCTCGGATAAGATGCCAAACAATCTCTCTTGCAGAAATGGTCCATCTTAGCAAAGCGTTACTCTGTGCTGCGTTGTCGTACTTTCGCTGTGACGTGGTGATAGCTTTCATCATAAAGAAGAGCTCATCTTCGCAGGCTGCGAGGTCACGTTCCAGGAGTAGTCTATCTTCCCATCCTTTCCTGTCTAGGTATTTGGAATGGATTTGAAAGTGCGCCTTGATATCTTCGAGTTGTCGGATACGTTCTTGCAATCTGGTCACCATCTCTGGAGTTCCCTTGAGGTTGCTGAAGTCAGACGCCAATATGATTTTCTCTAGTCGTTCGCTTCTCGTCTTCTCTAGCGGTTCACTGTACATGAGAAGGTCAAGTACAATGACGTATATCGCATAGTATTGCGACGAGTTGCAAAGAGCCCTAGCTTGAGGAAATTCTACCCAGAGGTTATCCATTCTGCTCTCGGTACTCTCTGACGCCAAAGGGTTGGCTTCTGTGTTAACCTCGTCGTTATACTTCAGTCGCAGAGTATTGAACTTGTCGTATCTCAGCATCGCGGACGTCTTCTGGACAACCCGTTTAAAGCCGAAAGGATCTGACTGAAAGTCATACATAACCTCCATGGGGACCCAAGGCGGCCACGATGAACCTGCAGGCGTTCCATATGTATTCCCTGAATACATAGACAGTAGTTGACCAGTGAACCACTTTTGATGGGTCACGAAAAACTGGGCACTGTCCATTCGAAGGAAGAAACGTCGTTGGACCAATCCACTGACCGTATCAGACAGTCTAGCCTTCTCCATGACTTCGACGACCTTGAGTTCCATGCCCTTTCCAGTAATCAGAACAGCGTGTTTCTTATTCTTATCACTTTGAAGCTGGATTTGTGGCGCGATTAAGCGGACATGGTAGGAGTTTTGAGGAGCGAATTCTTCCGCGATACCGCTTGTGATGTCTTCCATATTCGTATTGGCGTGTCCTTCAGATACGGAATATCCATCGGCGTCGACATATTTTCTGCCGTCTCTCAGGATTTGTTTGATACGGTATTCGATGTCTGGATTAGTATCGCTAGATTGCCTATTGCTATTGGCTGCCGAAGAGTGGTGGGTCTCATTGTTAGGCGTATTGGCGGATTTGTTGTTTTGCTTTGCTCTGGTCTGTTCTTCAACAATATCCAGTATGAATTTGACAGCAGGTCGTGATAGATAGTAGACAAAACCACGCCTTTGGCTTACTTGGTGACTATATCGGAGAATGATGTTTCGTAGAAGGTTGTTCCACTTGAGCTGCATGTTGTGGACAACAAACCGATTCTTAAAGTCGCTTGCAAATTCTGTGCCCGACGGTACTTTGACATCGCCATCGCCTGTGTCAATCCGCTCTCTTGATTCATGGCTCGTCGCTTCAGAGTCTTCTGAGCTATTTTGTCCATTGGTCGATGTCTTGAAGGCTACTTGTTGTAGCATGTTCTCCATGAACGCGAGCTTTTCTTTAAGGACAATGGCGTGTCTACTAAGTTGATCGAACTCGGCTTTGATCTCAGGATCTTGGCCGTCGCTGCGAATCATGCGGAGTTCAGCATCACCAACATTGCGTGTATTGGTGGCTATCTGCTTGTCCAGTTGCTCGATACGAGACTGGATTAGTTGGTATTGTACCCTTCTGGGGTCGTCATCCTGGCTCATTATGCAGAGATGTGTAGGCTCTTGGCCGAAAGGACTCGTACGATCCGGATCCCCATCTATAGTGCCACCAATATCGGTCTGCCTGAAGTAGGTTACACGAGGGGCGTACGCTAAGGGTAGGATCTTCGTGTCGGGATTTGGTTCCGATGGCAAAATCCAATCGAGCTCAACAAAATCATCCATATCAATCCAACTGAAATCGTTATCAGGAATAGTGAAGTGAGAGAGATTAGCGGCGTCATCTTCCTGCTGCGTTATCAGAGTCGAAACCGAGTTCTTTTTTATTGCCTCAGTAGTTGTGCCTCTGATACTAGCAGAAACGGCACGAACGTCTGCGGAAACGAGATCGAGCTGGGCCGCATGAATTTTCATGCCAGTTGTTCTGCCGTTGGTCTTGTGACCTCGATCTCGGGTATTGAACTCTTCTCGACGCTGATGAATATCAAGCATAAAGCTGTCAAATCTAACTTTAATACCAGTAGCAGATACTGAGCTTTCGGAATAATCTTCGACATCTTTGTGTTTGTAAATGTGACTGAGGAATAGGGGGGCTAAGAGCAGATTGTATTTGATTGTTCCAAGATGCCTTCCAAATTTCTTACTATTTTTCTCTCTCCCGGGCCAGAGAGAGCCTTGGCGAATAGGAAGCGACATTGGGCCGCTAAACAGAGACCACCAAGCGAAAAAGTGGGTAAAGAATCGAGGAGTCAAATGTACAGTGTTGTAACTCTTTGAAGACTGAACTTCCGATGACGTCCAATCGCGGTCGACCGGCGCCCTGACTGCGATAGAGAGATGTATGTGTTGACTTCTGAAGCCGCGGAAAGCATCGTATGGGAGAGCGTCATTTGGTGGTTTGGCGTGTTGTGGGGATTTTAGGACGACCTCGTAATGCGGCTTGAAAGTGAAGTTTCTATCTCCATTTTCAATAGCGCGTTCGAAGACGAGTCCCGCCATCCATTGAACATTTCCAGATAGTTTCATGACGACTTTTTTGAATGATGCACCGGATTTGAAGCTATCCTCGCTTGCCACGCTATCCTCTTCTCCAAGACGACGTGATGCTTCTATGACTTGGTGACTATAATCTGGTACCGCAAGTACATATTCGCCACTATCAACAGTCATAAACCTCTTGGGATCGTCTTCGGAATGAACATTCCATCGAACATCGTTGCGCCAACACATAAGGAATCCAGCTCCGTTACTAGTAACGTTGTAGGGATCTCTAGTACCTTTGAGAGCAAGATGGACGTCACCGCCTCCTTTCCACGCGACTCGAACCCGAGAATGGAAGTTGAGTCTAATCTTGTCCCAAAATCCTACACGTTCCGAAGGATCTAACTGTGGTTTCGTGAATGACTCTATAACCATCATCATATCTTGAATAGCCGGCTGATACGAAGGGCCCCATGTAATTCTGGTAGGGTATGCAGTATTAATGTCAACATGCATGTCTGAATATGACTTTACTGGGCCAATCGTGCGGCGAACATCGATAGCGAAACTTCCATTTGGCGAACCTGGCACCTGGTTTGGAGGCGTGATTCTGACTGGAATTTTGCGAGTTGAGTCGTTGCCACGGAATTCTTCTGCAATAACAAAATCCGTCTTGAGGAACAAAGCTGGTAATTTCGATGACTGGCCGGACTTAATAGCGGGGACATGGAGTAAGGGTAGAGGATAATCGCGAAGGCTGACTCTGGCCTCGCCCATACTAATTTGGACATTCATAGGTACGAGGAGAGAATACTTCATGTCTTTCGGCATTCCCTTTCCGACTTTATGTAGGAAATCTGGCAGCTCATGGATTGGGAATGATGGTTTGTCAATCATCACATGTAAGTCTGTTATGACTGTACCCATTAACGCTGGTCGCTGCGGCACTTCGAGTATTTTTTCATTATCCTGGACATCGTCGGGAAGGTGATCCGAACCCCAAAACAAACCACGCAGTTCTTTCATCCCATTCCTCGCCATTAAATAATGCCGATCGATACGCTTCTTCCAACTGTGCGCGTTGTGCTCATGAAGCCTGATTTTAGCGTCCTGGATTGAAATGTGTGCCCTACCACTCATACCGCGAATTGCTTCCGGATCATATCGTGGGTTCCTATTCCTAGGGAGTTCGCTAGAGGAACGCTCGTTCCGACCGAATTTTGAGAGGCCATCTTCGCTTTTGCTGCGTCCCCATGAGGTATGCGAAGTAGTTGTTCTTCCTCTAGTCATCACGGACCGATTGCGAACTCTATTCGACTCCAGTTGTTCCTCGTGAATTTTCTTCACTTTAACTCGGTAAGCTTCCTCGCGAGCGAGCCGTTGTAATTGTTCAACCCGCCCGGCCCTGTAGATCATACCCAATTTCCATTCGAAAGCACCGTCCTCGAGTTCAAATAAAAGTGTGCGCGTCCTTAGAGAAATCTTTGGGACGTTCTTCGGGCCTTCCGGTGCCTTATCCAAGATGTACTCGTTCGTACCTGTCTTGAAACGATGATGAAGCTGCTGGCTGGCTTTGAAGACATTTATGATATTGTCCGATATTTTGTTGATGATAAGCTCATGAGGTACTGCTATCCGCATTGCATCTGTCACGATATCGAACATTTTATCGTTTTGAAACACTCCGGTTGACATCTTCCTGCGTGACTGCCGATAATCTAGGCGGAACGTCTTGATGCTGGCTACACGCGCCCAAACCCCCCGCATCCGAGGCGCACCCGCATATAAGCGCACCAATTTTGCGAAGAAAAATGGAGGCGACCATCTGTGTCGGCCAGCTTCTATGTCGTAGATTTGTATCATCAACGGGGGATCAGCAGGCATTTCAGCCTTAATCTGAACTAGGGCGGCTTTGATATCAAATGAGACCAGCTCCTTGGAATTTCGAGACGCATTCTCCATTTGATCGGCGACGGGAGAGTCTGGCGATACTAATGGAGGGCTGAGATATCCTGTCTTTGGACTAGTCGGCGGTGCAGGACGATGAGATCCCGGTCCCCTCACAAATGCTTTCCGTAAGACCATGACAGCGATTCCTACCGAATAATGCCGATAAAGCGAATAGTGAACGAGAAGGGTCCTCATATGGGAGTGAACATGTAATATCGGGCCCTGGGCGTCGGTATGCGTCGACAGAGAAACCTCGTATTTAGGTATCTGAACAAAAGGCTCAAGCTCCCACTTCTCGGGTGCTTCTACTATGAAAGCCTCTAGACCGCGAGTATGGATAGTAAGTCTTCGTCCATCGCCATCATTCTGTTGTCTTTTCCGTGGGGATGGTGGCACGGCAATTGAGCTTAACAGATCTGCATCAGGTAGGAATGATCGACTAGCCGCTCGCCTTCTCGAAGTCGGCCGATTCCGCAGCGTATCTAACCTATGAGCTCGATATTCGGCGGACCACGATTCCATCTGCAGCACGACACCACGAGTATTCTTAGGGAAATCATCGTCAACCCCAGTAACTTCGACACTAAAGTCCTCAACCTGTACTTGAAAATGAAGGAGCCACTGTGGCAAAGCGCGAACAGCGTTCTGCGATCTTTGCGCCTTTGATCCTGATCGTTTATCAGGTTCAACGTCCAACTTGAGCTGGCGGATTATTTGACGCAACCCCTTTGTAATCTCTGGGCGGGTCATCCGAATCGCGAAGGTCTGAAGATGGCCATTGGCAATAACGTGGACATCCGGAGTTGCCGAAAGTGATATCTTCAAGTCAAACGATTCCGTGTCCATCAGGTCGAACCGACTACCTTGAGTTGTCTGATAATAAAGACGATGTGTTTGAAGTCGTACTGACGAGACTAATGAGTAATGCAGTTCTTCGACCGCAGAATGGAAAGACTCAAGGTCAAGCGAAATTGATGAGATGGAAGAAATAATCAGATCAAAATCGTCCGGATCATTGGTTTTCTCTACTGGAGGTAGAGCTATCCTGATAACTGGTTCGTGCATAGAGAATTTGATATTAGCTTTAGGTAGAAGACGAGAAATGAGCATATGTCTTTGCTGTACACGTGCTTTCGGCGCCTTTGGTCGGGGCTGGAGGAGAGCAAGAAGTACCGGGAGATGCTTTGGATCCAAATCGACTGAAGGTGAGGTGACGACGGAATTTGCGAAGAGGATGTTGGCATTTCGTTCCTCAGCGCTTCCGGCATCAGACAGTTCTACGGTTTTCGAGGGTAAAGTAGTCTTCACCGTTGTGGTGGCCATGGGAATGTAGACAACCCTTTCTGGCTTACCACTACCATCGTCCAACCCAACGGATATAGAGAGCGCTGCGGCGAGAGCTTCGTGTGCGATATCTTTCGAGGGGAAGTACATGCGATGCGCTGCGGACTTAGGATCCAAGCGATGTAGGTCGATACCAACTTCTTTCATAGAAGCATTCAAGACTAACGACGAACCAGCTGATTTAACAGCATTCACCTTCTTAGAAAAACTGACGAAGCTCACTGCAAATTGGACCTCCTTGATTCCTCGAAGAATAGAGCTTACAAACTCTTTGGAATCGGATACCGTTTGCATCAACTCCTGATCAGTACTACCAGGACTCTCCATTTCTTGTATGACCTTATCGACCGACACCTCGATTGACTCGACCTGCGTATACGTGGTGGGTGATTGTCGCTTGGATTTCTGGTAACGCTCAACACAGCTTCGGACGTCGTCGTAAGGAATATGTACTCTGCCCAATTTCAGAGCAATTGCTGCATCTCGGAGTCCATCCAAATTTTCATAGAGAAATCCGTGAATATTCAGCGTAGCACTATCCAAAACCTCGATGGCCTCGCACCCTTTAGCCGTGAACAAAACGCTGCGTAGTGTAATAATCCATTCTGCTGAGTGTTGTTGGCGGTGGAGATTGGATCTGGTCTGGAAGAAGAAACGTGCGCGGTCGACCATGCGATTTCGAGTATCTAGGGCGATCGTGAAGCTACCAAGTTGTATTTTTCCAACATCCACGATATTGACCGCCGAGTCGGTAGCTACGACATCGACCAGACGAAGCCAACGAACATTACGGTGTAACTTCTTTATCCTCTCCTTGATTTTTGTAAGCTGTTCCCATGTAGCGCTCCGAGCAGCCTCGTAAGTGGACCGCTTAGAGTGCGGGTTCTTGGGGCGAGGCCTCGCCTTGTCAGGTTGTAGTCCTTGTTTGTTCCCATCTTCGCCCTCGCTCTCACTGGAATCAGCACCCAGCTGTTTTTGCCCCTCCAACTCCTTTAGATCGAGAGTGACGACGAATTCGTTTACGACGATGCTGAGCCAAGTCGGCTGGGAAAATGTCGGTCGGTGTAAATTGAGGCCGAGGCCACGGATCTCGATTTTGATGCCATCTTTCGGGGTATAAGCCAATCGTCGGAGCGAGAAGTACCCGATCCGCTGTATAGATACACCACTAACTATACGGAGTACAGCGAAGACGACAAAGGAGCAGAGGTAAATAACGATAAAGAGGCCGATTATGAATGTCGGGCTAAAGAGCGCCATGACGAAGACACCTCAAGCAAGGCGCGTCCCGCGTCGCTGGCTTATAGACATCAAAAGGTTAGTATTCTAGCGGTACAATTAAGTTCGTAGAAGATGCAGAGGTAGATTGTAGGTAAAAGGTAGGTAGGTAAACGTTTCCTCTATCCTTACATTTTCGCCTTGAGTGCTCGAGCTCCCTGCATCATCTGAGTCGTGGAAATGAGCATTCGTCCATCGCAACAAGTGTAATCCAGTGGTTTTTTTGAGGACAGCTTTATTTCTCCCCCTAGTTCGCACTCGGACTTTTTATACTTATAAGTAATGAGGCGCGTGCGGTATGTGGATCTATAAGTAACTATTAGCCAACTAAGCGGAGGCCCTAATTGTCTAGAACGATCTCAGTCGTGTCAGCCGTTGGTGGGAGGGATCGAAAATCGTGAACAAATGGGAGATGCTATTATAAAGGTAAGAACATCGCTAAAAAAGATTCTGATAGGGAGGAAAGGTTCAGGACATGCACGTCACAAATGCAGCCGCATTGGTGGAAATCCTACCTAGGTGCACTAAGAGCACTAAAAAATGTCACTTAATTGTGCAATACAATGGACCTACCCCCTGTATTAATAAGGCTAATAATTGAAGAAGTCGCCAACTGCCCCAGGAGCTGCTATCTAACCGCACGGTTACATCATTTTAGAATGCCCGGTATATGTCCGGAGGTAAGAACTCTGGTAGACTTTCGGTAATTACTCAGGTACGTACCCCCTTACCCTATTGTAACTTACTCAGTGTGTACCTACACGTAGGTACTTGATGTATGAAAGGGACTCAACTCTTCAACAAGTGTCTAAGGATATCTGAATCCCCCTTCTCATATTTAATTATTCATAAGCAAGTTCAAATACAAAATTACTAGGTAATCTCGGCCGCCCGGGCTTATGATGCAAAATGAGCAAACTTCGGTTACTCCCGCCCCATACAAAAGTATCCTCCGTTTCTGGTGGAGCCGTCCATCTTAATATGCAGGTAAGCCCTGAAGTCTCGTAGGTAGTTCCACCTCCCTAACCCGGGATGATAACTCATTTCAAGTTGATTCCTCTTAACTCCGGCGGACTCATGAGTCGTATGCAAACCATTCTTACACGATACATTCTTCCCATTCCCTCGTAGTTGTTTATAAAACAATAAAATCTCTTTCGTGCGGTGTATTGCCAGAAGCCAAACCGTACAACTCCTCATATGCTTCCTATAATCAACTCCAAATCTTCGGAAAATAAGAATCGCCAAGGGTCCATGGAGATAACCGCGGGCATCGTTAACGTTAGGTTTTTAAAGTTTCGATCGAACCGCCTCTAGTCTGTATTTCACATCTTTTAGCGCCTTGGTCGTTGGGGTCCAGTTATCGAATTGTTTTAATAACTCGGTTGTCTCCGAGTATAATTCTGTTCGTACGAATTCCTCTTCTAATAAGCCGCGCATTATCCATGGCAAAAGGAAAGGATTGGGATTTGCTAGTCTCTCCTGCTTCTGAATTCGGCAGGGCACTCCAGAAACATTAGTTGTCTCGAGAGTATGCGATATTGCCAAGCTTTATTACATTAGCAGTTGACTGGAAACCCAAATGCATAGAATACTCACTCGTAAACTTGATCATCGTCGTAGAGCCTCGAATGGCCCTCCCCAGAATATAGACTACCCGCAAGTGGCATAGAAAGCTCGCGAATAAGCCCATGGTCAGATATACCCAAGTTACGCAGTTTCAATGCGAATCCGACGAGGTGAGCGATGAAATCCGGGGCATGAACACGGCCGTCTATAAAAACAGCTCGGTAGATGTAAGGATGCGATGCTGGTGCATAGATTGCTGATTCCATAGGGACCAATTGATCGTCGATACTACCAATATACTACAAAGCTCAGTATTTTTTCATGGCTGCCGTAAGGGAAATCTCTTTTCGCTTACTGTTATGCGAGCGCCATAGTTGACAACAACTTCAAGGGCATGTTGATATCTCTTTGAGATTACGCTTTCTGGGTCCGCAAATGACCATAATTCAGCAGCAGAACCCATCAACACTAAACATCTCAAGTTAGCAAAAGTTTCTTGAGGCGAATCCCTTTTCGTGGAGAAATAGTATGGAATTCGCAGGTTGCTCCAGAGAATACTTACTGCCCATGCCAGATTTATAGTCAGGGAATGGCCCAAGTGAAACCCCAGCTAATTAACAATGTCAGTAATAAGCATATTAAGCCATGTCAAGACGGTTTACTCACCCATAGCGCAGACGCCGATTTTAGAGCGAGTGATGATCCCTAGATCTATCAGTTTTTCAAGAAGCATCAACCCGACAGGGACTCCTTGGGAGTGGCATGCTAGAACGATAAGATCTGCGCTGCGGATATGCTCGATCCAATTCAGAAGGAGTTTCCAAAGATTGTCAACTCTATCTGCGATTTTTCCCTCACCCTCAAGAGCAACTTTTTCAATCTCGCAGTCGCCACAGCCATGACTTTCTGCCCATCTCCGTATGGCCTCAGCACAGTGGTTCGCGAAGCGAATTGACGTTCCCGTGGGCTGACCAATTACCGATCGTAGATAAGCTGCCGGGAAGAGCCCATGTATGCCAATAGCAACAGCCTTCTTAATCTTAGGCGGTTCTTTAACAAGGAATACATGGTTTGCAGGGGGTTGTTGTGTTCGTAGAAGTAACTGCGTTATCTGCTTGACTATTGATGGATTTTCCTTCATGCGGTATGTATTACGAAACGAGGGCAAAAGTAAATTCGGTACAGGGGACTTATTCAGACTCGGTGTGCTCGGCTTCGCTGTTACAGTCTTCGTAGATACGTCTGATTGCGGGGTGTCCGGCCTAGGTAGGGATTCATCAATATCCATAGACTGAGGCCGTACTCTTTTACTCCTCTTGGACGAAGTCGCTTTGGCTGGTACTTCTTTCGGTGCCTTGACTGAAGGCTCCTTTACAGGTGTAGCGTTTCCATTAACCTCAACACTGGTCGAACGTCTAGGATTTGCCTCCGAACCATCGCCAATAACAGCTAGCTCGCCAGGTTCCGACGAAGTGCTCGCTTTCGCATCACCCTTTTTACCCGTGTCCCTAGACCAGAAAGCCCACGTAGAACTGGCAGGTGGCTGGTTCCCTTCCGTCGGCTTCGAAGGTGGGGCATCATCCATGACAACATCTTGGTCATCTTTTGGTGTAGGTTCTTGTGTTGGCGGGACATCGGTCGTCACTTGTGCGGTGTTATCCGATATCACGGGAGTCGAGGATGAATACCAATATCCAAACCAAGAACTTGTCGGTTTCGTAGGCTTAACGGGTTCTACAGGTGTCTCGTGCTCGGGTTCGAGTGGTTTCTGTGTAGAAGTATCCGGCTGTGTACTTTCAGGCTCCTGAGGGGAATCAATTTCCATGCTTTCGCCCTTAGGTACAGCACCCTCCGGTGCTGATGACCTTCCGAACCATCCTAACCAGCTGGATGAGGCTGCGGGTGGTGGTTGTGGTATTGTTTGCGTAGGAGGTTGATTCTCGTTATCATTTGCAGTCGTATTGGAATTCTCTTGGTCCTTTGGCACGACAGGTTCGTCAGAGTTATCGGGTTTATTCGCTTCCTGCGGCGTTATAGGTCCGCCATCATCCTGTCCGGGTTGTACGCCTGATTCTGCGATCTTAGACAATGTTCTAGTGGATTGAGCGTCGGACTCGATAGAAACACTGTCCTTTTTGGAGTCGAAGCGGCTAAAGTCAGGAGCGGCACCAGGTCGAAGGGTTCCGCCCACGACGGTCTGATGTGAGACTTGAGTCGAGGCAGCAGATTTAGGCGCTCGTGGCCAGGAACCGTACCAGCTTCGGGATTTGCGTACCTGCGACATATATGAACTTTGATCAGCAATAGTTAATTAAATTAAAAAGGAACATTCAATAGGTTGCGGACCTGTTTTGCGCCATTGGGTTTTGTAGATGTGGATGAATCCGGGCTATTACGCTTCGCTGGTGACATAGACGGATCTGGTGCTGTAGAGGATTGTGACGCAACACTGCTGCTAATCTCTAATGGCAAAGTTGCAGGCATGCTAGCATTACTACTCTCCTTAGATGAAGGATTTCGTTTTGCACGCTTCCTGGGAATCATGATTATTCACCGTGTGAAGCTGCGAAGTTTTGACTCCATAGAATAATAAGTTCACCATAAGTTTTCTTTGTTTTTGTTATTGTTTTTGTTATGGTTGTTGTTAATGATTGCGTCGCAACTTATCAGCTCTGGCAGTAAACCATGCCATGTTTGTATCTGCCTGAACCTCGGAGCGATAGCTGCAGTGACACGTTGGGATAGTGGCCCCCTTGTAAATCAAAACAGGAACCAATGGGAATTAACGAGGGTGGGGGCTGTGGAACTTTAGACCCCTCCATATGTATGTACCTAAGAAGATCCTAGCTCGACTAATTTAATCGCCGTGATGCCGACCACCGTATCTAAGCTTATCGATAATCGATAACCAGAGACCGCGAAAAAAAAGTTGTCTGGGCAGACAATTCAATTGAATTAAGTGGGATCAATCCTAAAAACTTTAAGTATTTTTGAGGTTTCTCTACTAGCAGTTGCAAACACATTAGCGACTTGCTACGAGATAATGAGCTCTCTCAAGAGGAAGGATGCCCCGGAGGCATCATCAACTACGAAAACATCAAAGGCGCCTGGCGATTCCCGACCTTCAAAACGAAACAAATCTGACAAAACCTCTGCTAAGGATGATGCGAAGCCGAGTTCAAAATCAACCAGCGCAGCAGCTGTTTCGCGCTTGAAGGAGGAGGAACCTCTGTTCCCTCGTGGAGGTGGTAGCGTGCTCACTCCTCTTGAGCACAAGCAGATTTCAATCCAGGCCAAACAAGATGTCCTCTTCGAACAAGAGTCTGGACAGGGTGCGAACAACCCCGACCGAACCTCGAAGAAAAAGAAGACGAAAGCCTCAAAAGATGGGAAATCTGCAAATTTCCACCAAGGCGATGAGAGCGCAAAGATAGAAAGCCTTAACTTCAAGGTTGGTTTCGATCCTAACTCCTGTCCTCCTAGAACTCAGTGCTAATGCCTACAACAGCGACTAGTTAAAGGATCTCTAGTCCTCGGTCAAGTTTCCGAAATCAACCCCCTAGAAATCGTCCTTTCCTTACCGAACAATCTCTCTGGACATGTCCCGATAACCGCCGTTTCTGACGCCTTAAACGAAAGAATAGCAGCCGAAGCAGTTGGGGAAGAAGAGGAAGAGGAAGAGGAGCCTGAGGATGATGGTCTCGACCCAAAGAACCTCTTCAAAATTGGACAATATCTTCGCGCTTACGTTATGTCGACTATCGATGAGTCGACAGCCAGTTCGGCCAAACCTAGGCGGCACATTGAATTATCACTGCGCCCAGCTCTCTCGAACACGGGTTTGTCTAGCCAGGATATTGTTGCAAATTGCACCATCATGGCAACAGTCGTCAGCGCCGAGGACCACGGCTTCGTCATGGAATTCGGACTGCCCGACTCGGATCTTCGAGGATTCTTACCCCGAAAAGAATTAGATGAGGGCATACCCGATTCTCAAATGCAGCCGGGAAGCGTTATCTTGTGTCTCGTGACAGGGAAGAGTGTTAATAGCAAGGTTGCGCAACTCACGACTCTCGCGAAGAAGATAGGGAAAGTTCAGAATTTTGCATCGGAAGCCACTACGATAAATGCCTTCTTACCTGGGTCGGCTGTGGAATTCATGGTGTCTGAAGTTGCTAAACGTGGAATTATCGGCAAAGTCATGGGGTCGTTGGATGTCACGGCCGATCTAATTCACTCAGGCCTTGGTCCTAAAGCTTTGGACCTGGAATCTAAATACAAAGTCGGGAAAAAATACAAGGCTCGCGTCATTTGCAATTTTCCAACGGCCAAGGATCCGAAGTTGGGCATCTCTCTGTTAGGTCATGTGGTATCACTTGGATCGCAATTGGCATCTAACAAGTTACCGGAGCAGACTCTACCCATATCATCCGTGGTCGAAGAGTGCACAGTCACCAAAGCAGATCCAGAAATTGGTCTATTTGTTGATGTGGGCGTTGAGGGCGTGCCTGGGTTTGTCCATATCTCTAGAGTCAAGGATGGTAAGATCGATATGCTCGCCGAATCTTCTGGTCCTTTCAAAACAGGCTCGGTGCATCGCGGTCGAGTGGTGGGCTACAATGCTATCGATGGCATGTTCCACCTATCATTCGAAAAGCACATTTTAGAGCAACCATTCCTACGGATCGAAGACATCCCCGTCGGCGAAGTTGTCAACGGAGAGATTGAGAAACTATTGGTCGATCAAAACGGTGTTAGTGGTCTGCTTGTCAAACTTGCAGAAGGTATCGTTGGAATCGTCCCCGAAATGCATCTAGCAGACGTTCGATTACAACACCCAGAGAAGAAATTCCGAGAGGGCCTCAAAATCAAAGCTCGAGTACTTTCAACCAATCCAGCCAAACGCCAGGTCAAACTCACGCTAAAGAAGACCCTCGTCAACTCCGAGGCGACCCCCTTGAAATCCTTCGAAGAAGTCACCGTCGGTATGCAAATTCCTGGAACGATTATCAAGGTGTTCAACAACGGTGCTATTGTACAATTTTATGGCAACCTGAGAGGATTTTTGCCCGTGTCGGAAATGAGTGAAGCATACATCCAAGACCCCAAAGAGCATTTCCGAGTTGGCCAAGTTGTCAGTGTCCACGTTTTGGATTTCGATGCCGAAGCGCGAAAACTCTTCGTTTCCTGCAAAGATCCCTCTGCCTTCGGTCTTGACAAGCAAAATGCCCTCAAGAAATTGAAGCTTGGAGATACCGTTTCTGCTAAGGTTATACAAAAGACCGAAGACGATGTTTTTGTTGAATTGGTCGACAGTTCACTGAAAGCTATGTTATCGATATGGCATCTTGCTGACCAACCTAGTAAATGCCAATCCGCCTTAAAACGTATTCACGTCGGGCAAACTCTCAACGATCTTGTGGTGTTGGACAAGAACGAAGGCCGTCGTTACGTAGCATTATCGAAGAAGCCTGCATTCATTAAGGCTAAGAGTGAAGGCAAACTTCTCACATCTTTCGATGAGGCTAAAGTCGGGCAGCTTCGACAAGGCTTCGTAAGAAATATTACCCCGACAGCAGCTTTCATCCAGTTCTGCGGCCAGCTTACTGCCTTGCTACCCAAGTCGAAACTGCCACAGGAAGACCAAAAGAAAACAGACTTTGGATTAGAGAGGTATCAGCCGGTACTTGTCAAAATCGATTCTCTTGACAAGGACCATAGCCGAATTGTCGCCGCGTCGGCTTCATTTGAGGAAAACAAAAAATCCAAAAATGATGCTTCATCTACGCCGGCAGCCAAGCTCGAAAACCCTGTTGATGAAACAATCTCGTCAATGGATGATATATCAATAGGCAAAATCACCAAGGCCAAGATCACATCGATTAAGAGCACGCAGCTCAACGTTAAGCTTTCAGACAACGTCCAGGGTCGTGTAGATGTGTCTCAGGTTTTCGACACTTGGAACAAGATATCAAATCCTAAGTCGCCATTAAGTACGTTCCGAGTAAACAGCACGGTCACCGTTCGAGTCTTAGGTATCCACGATGCGAGGAACTATCGATTCTTACCTATCACGCATAGATCAAGCCACTCAGTCCTGGAATTATCCATGAAACCAAGTGATTTGAAGAAGGGAGAACCACAGGTCTTATCTTATGATAAGTTAGAGCAGGGCTCTACTCATATTGGATTTGTCAACAACATTGAGAAGAGCTCCCTTTGGGTGACTCTCTCACCGAACGTCCGAGGTCGAGTTAATACTCTAGAAATCGCTGACGATGTATCCCAACTTGAGGATCTTGCATCAAGCTTCCCGATAGGATCGGCGCTGCGAGTTCGCGTTCTATCTGTCAACGCCGCCGAGGGTCGTCTCGATCTCTCGGCGCGTTCTTCAAACTCCTCGACGAATCTCGCTTGGGATACTGTTAAGAAGAACATGGTTCTCCCTGGCCGAATTACCAAGATTAATGAACGGCAAATTATTGTACAATTAAGCGATGTCGTTTCCGGTCCGGTTCACTTGATAGACGTTGGTGACGATTACGGTGAGGCGAATACGCTTTCCCATAGTAAGAACGATGTCATTCGGGTTTCGGTTGTGGAGGCCGACAAGAGTAACAAGAAAATTCGACTCTCGACTCGTCCTTCGAGGGTACTGAATTCGTCTCTACCTGTCAAAGATCGCGAGATCACTGAGGTATCACAAATCAAAGCAGGAGAAGTACTGCGAGGTTTCGTGAAAAATGTTTCCGATAAAGGACTGTTCGTGAGTCTTGGTGGAAATGTTACGGCTATGGTTAAGATCTCGGATCTCTCGGACAAGTTCCTCAAGGAATGGAAAGACGAATACCAAATTGACCAGCTTGTCAAGGGCCGAATAATATCTGTTGACCCTATCACAAGCCACGTTCAAATGAATCTCAAGGCCTCAGTAGTTGATAAAGAGTATGTACCTCTTATCAATTACGCGGATCTTCGCGAAGGTCAAATTGTTGCGGGCAAAGTCCGAAAAGTTGAGGATTTCGGTGCATTCATCGTTATTGAGGGCTCGGCAAACGTCAGTGGCTTGTGTCACCGCAGCGAAATGGCCGAGAAACTCGTGGAAGATGCACGGAAACTCTTCAACGAGGGCGATGTTGTCAAGGCTATCATTCTAAAACTCGATAAGCAGAAGAAGCGAGTCAGCTTCGGTCTCAAACCATCATATTTTGACGATATGGATGTTGATGACAGCGACGAAGATGATGGCGCTGGCGTTACATTACTAGACGATGAGGATGATGAAGATGAGGATGATGAAGACGAGGATGACGATGACGAGATGGAGGACACCGGAGCTTCCGTACTCATAAGAGGAACGGACAATGATTTAGATGAATCATCCGACAATGAAGATACTGAGATGGCGGATAAGGAAGACGATGATATCGCTCCTCTGGAAACCGGCGGCTTTAATTGGTCTGTCGACGCACTTGATAAGACAGATGTGGTGGACGATGCGGATGAAGACGCAAATACCACACAAAAGAAAAAGAAGCGAAGAAAGCCACAAATTGAAGTAGACAAGAGTGGCGATCTAGACGCATTTGGTCCAAGAACAGCCGTCGATTACGAACAACTCCTTAACCGCCAACCAAATTCCTCCGCCCTATGGATCGAATACATAGCCCACCAAATGCAAGTCAGCGAGCTCGCGAAGGCTCGTGAAGTAGCTGAGCGCGCCGTAAAGACTATTGATAGTACCGAAGAGACAGAGAAGCTGAACGCTTGGGTTGCCTATCTCAACCTTGAGGTTCGATTTGGAAACGAAGAGAGCGTCGATGAGGTCTTCAAGCGCGCCTGCCAGGTAAACGACCAGCAAGAGGTTCACCAGCGCTTAGCCAGCATCTACATCCAAGAAGACAAGGCAGGGGTAAGTTGATATCCAATTCCTATTTTCATGCACACATAACTAACAGCCATACAGAAAGCAGATGACCTCTTCCAAACCCTCGTCAAGAAATTCGGCGGTAGCTCACCGGAGGTTTGGTATAACTACGCGCACTGGCTTCACGCTGTCCAGAACCAACCCGAAAAAGCCCGCGCCCTACTACCACGTGCTACACAAGCGTTACCAAGTCACGCACGTTTCCCGCTAATGACTAAATTCGCAGCGCTTGAGTTTAACTCCCCGCACCGGAACCCGGAGTTAGGACGAACCATGTTCGAGGGCCTACTGGCGACCTTCCCCAAGCGCTTTGACCTTTGGAATCAGTTACTGGACCACGAAGACGTATCGGGAGCCGACAAGACCGTTATCCGCGACATCTTTGAGCGCGCCACGCGCGTCAAGGGCTTGAAGGCTCGGGCCGCAAAAAAGTGGTTCAAGAGATGGGCTGATTGGGAAGAGAAGAATGGTGATACCAAGAGTAGAGAAAAGGTCACCGCCAAGGCTGCGGAATGGGTTAAAGCTAAGGCCGAGGCAAAGGCGGATAAAGAAGGTGAGGAAGATGAAGATGACGAGTAGGCTTGACCATTCATCATCCGTATTTTCGTGGAACGTGGGACTGGCAGTTATGAATCGAGATGGTTCATACGTGGTTAAAAGCTGTTCATATGGGTTTGGCGGTGCACCATAGTCTACTTTACATATTTAGGTCGGGGACATTAAAATATCATCAAGTATTGGCATTTACATCGCAAAATAGTTGAAACTCACTCATATTCGGCTCTCGCTTTTCTTTTATACGTAGTTTAATACGTACGCACACGCTTTTGGTACTCCTCTCTCCACGCCTTCGATAATAAGGCCATTCATTCACCGCACTCCTAAACGCCGAATCATGGAAGGAAATGCCCGAACAGACTTAAAGCCACCCCGAGCGCCACCATTTACCCAGGCCCTCATCCTATCCATAGATCTCAAGAGGATAGAATCAAGAAAAATAAAAGGGGGAGGTTGGTAATAGTACATTTGGATCGTAATATGTCTGTCAAGATAAGTCCTCGCGCCATTCATTCGTCCAGCCACCCGCCTACCCCCCAACCAAATATGCAAGAAAAAAGCCACCCCCACTCCTTCAATGTGCTTTGTATGTGGTATGGACGATCGTAGAAGTCCTGAGATTGTCATGTCGCGTCTATATTCTTACAGGATTTTGGTTCATGTCGAAGAAAAAAACAGACTATCTTGTCGTATCCAGATATCCCTTCACTCCTTACAAACAAACCCCATTTACCTTACTCCCAAATTTTGCTAAATCGATGCTTTTTGAATCCTCGCTGTTGTTTTCTCCAATTCAGCTGGGTCGCTGATACTTCTCTGCCTTTCTGTCCTCTGTTCATCTCCGGAGCTACTCATGGACTCGTCGCTACTTTCTTCACCGTAGACGATTTGTCTTAGAACGCACTTATCAAATAATTCGATGACTAGGTGGCGGTCCGGTAATCTGTAATGGTGGCACTCCATCAAAGCCATTACCTTGCGGAATAGAGCGGGTTGTCGGAAACCTGCAGCCTTCTTCTGCCGCAACTGGAATAGCTCGACTTTTGCTTTTTTGTAGAGCACCATGTTACCTAACTCGGTCATAAGTTCCAATATGCGCCGGTTCGTTTCATCTTCTTCATTAATTTCCACAGGTGCCGGTTCCAATATCGTTTTCTGCGTATCTAGAAGCGAAATCTTTGCTGGGATTTCGTGCTTCCAAGGCTTGCATGAAAACAGTTTGGAAAGGTTTGAGGGGACGCAGAGCCCTAGTGATATTCCGAGCGGGGTAGTATTGGACTCCCAGCCACGCTCGGCGAGTATCTCAAGTCCGTGCGTCGATCTTGATATCAAACCTAAGACAAAAAATGCGGTACCTCGAAGACTCATCACATCATGGGACTCGGCGATCTCGACGATGTGTTCCACAACGTCGGTCGACTCTAAAAATGGCGCACCAAGTTCCATAGAGCCGACATTTCCCACCGCCCATAAACAGCCTTTGACCTTTGTGATGAGTTCCGGGTCTTCTGACTGCATCCCGTATTCCCTAATGGTTGCGGCAAACTCTTCGAAGTGGCCTTTATCTTCAAGCAGCTTGCAACCTTCTTTAGTTCGTGATAATTCGCGGTAGAAGTGAGGCGGTACATGGTTATCCTGATCGGTATCCAGCTCATCCTCGTAGATGCTGAGGCGATGCGGTTGGTCTTCGTGGGTGTCGATAAAAGAACGTGCCAAGCTCGCCTCAATAAGACTGACATACGTATCATTTCGTCCGAGGAACCAGTCATCCATTTCATTACTAATGTAGTCTAAACCATCTAAGTAGTGATAGCCGATGGAAGTAGACAAAAATCGGAGTAAGAGAGGTGCCCCGATTTCACCGAGGTGATCCAGTGCAGGACGACATTCTACGATATATTCTAATAGAGCTTTGCTATTGCAAGCCTTCTCTAGAATTTTGACGGCTGTGGCGCAAACCTCAACTTCGGGGTCGTAGAGCTGCGTAACGAGTAATTGAATTGCCCATTTTGAGTCGGAAATGACCTGACCTGTTGGTGTGACTCGTTGCCTTGTCGCGTATTTTCGGAGTACGTTAGTGGCGTGTATTCGCATGTCTTTCGTGCCGGCTGTCAAGGCCTTCGACAAAAGTACACGTGGGTGACCCTGGAGGCTGTAATCGAGATTGGCGAGGAGCATTTTGATGAGATCGGGCCTTTGTTTGAAATCGATAATATGATACATCATATTAAAAATCCGCCATCTCTCGAGCATCTGTAGTCCCCTCGGATCGCTACTCAGAACCCCAAGCATGGGGAAATAACCGCCGCATAACGTATCGGTGAGGCGATCTCTCGAAAACATGGGGTACTGCGCGGTTAGACCACTGGTCTGCAAATAAATGTGAGCACGTCTACGCGTAAAATGTTTAGCACGGACATCCTTACCGGATCACACTGAGCTAGGCATTCAGCAATCTGTCTCAGTAGCTTATTATCCGCAAGGTACTTTGTCCCCTCTGCGGTTTGTAGCAGTGTGTGGATTAAGGCGCAGCCAACCCTTACATACTTCTGAGTGTTCCGCGTGCTTTTTATCTCCGAGAACTTGAATTTGAATGGTCGGTAAAAACCAACGAGCCTCTTTGCAAATTTCGACGCTTTGATTGCCTCTTCTAACCGTTTACCGTTCATCAACGGACCTTCAAGTATCCTAAGAACAACATCCCAATTCCACTTGGAAGGGTTTGAATGTCCAAGAACCCCCGAATCTATCAACAATTGGCGGAATGTGGCGTCATCGGTGTTGACAACGGGATTGGCTTTGGGCGTTTCATCAACATGACCCATGTTTTCAAGCATACTGCTAGAAGGAAGGTAGCCAGCAGCATAACCAGATGGAGATGAACGGTATAGCGTCCGACTCACACTGCTGATTTGGTAGACTATGCCGGTCGCATTGAAATGCGCTTCATCCTGGAAATGTGATGCAGCTGCAAACAATTCTGGTAACAACTGGAGTTCACTACTCCATGAAGGGGGTAATATTCTGCTTGCAAGTTTGAGCGCCTCGCCGATAAGCAGAGTGGTTTTACGCTTCATCATAGGGTCATCGGTGTCCTGTGCCACTCGGAGTAGATTAGGCATCATCCCAGCCTTAATGAAAATAGCCAAAAGCAGTGCGGTATAATGCTCCACGAAGTTCTGTTCAGCCCCATCATCTTCATAAATGGTATCCTCTTTGCTCGTTGTCGAAGACTTCAAAGTTGTGACTCTTCCATACGTCGTTAAACGTCGCCCAGCAAGATATGAGGTAGCCCATGCGGGAGGCTTTATTCGAAGAAGGGAATAGAGGAGATCCACCACAGTATCCCGGATCACCGGGTTAGGCAGCATCAAACTTGAAATTAAAGAGCCGATTGCTCTGAAATTGTACATGGACAGAGTCATCAGACCAGACCAGCTTTTCAATGCAGAGGCAATCGCTTTCGAATTCTGTTTCACGACTCCTTCGTAGGAGAATAATACGTCGGTAAAGGCTGTGAACATAACCTCCAGTTCATAGCCAGCTCGCAAATACCTGCGCGTGTGAGGTGCATCCAGTAAAAAGAGGAAAGCCGACGATAATGATTCGGGAGATTTGTAAGTGCCCTCGGCGAGGGCTTCTGACATCGGCGATAGGCCGCCAGATGCCACAAGCAGTGCGGGATCTCGCAAAAGGATCTCGGCAAGGGTCTCGATGCAGATGGGCCGCAGCCGGTCTTCAGCCTGCTCTGCGACCGCTGCGATCGTCCTAACCACCGCCCTGGACACCTCACGAACACCATCTTTCACATCCAGAAAAGCACGAACGAACTTGAGAGCCTGCTCGCGTTCCACGTCGGCCTTGCGGTCCTTGGCAAGAGATACGACCACCATAAAATCTGTATTCAGACCGCGGATTTTCTTGAGAGACGCAATATCAGAAATGGCGTATCGGAGCATTCGGTACCCTGCTGCCACGACTTCCCTGCTATTACTGAGCAACATGACCTGCATCCTATCACCAAACACGGACCAAACCAAATCATATTTTAGTGTTGGATACCTCTTGAAAAGATCTACAAGATTGTTTGCACGTTCAACGTAGTATTCGGGCGTCATGCCCTCGACTTCGAGAGCTTGTAGGATCTCTGCAAGCACAAATGTCGGTGATTCTGTCGGCTCCTCGAAATCGGATCCGGCACCGCTCCTGGATGCACTTGGAGGCGATCGTAGACCGGTATTTTGTAGCAATCCTTCGTTTCGGGTCCTTGTGGGCGTACTAGGCACCGCTTTAGACCTTTGCGCATCGGTGATCCTCTGTTTTAACTCCTTTATTCTAGTATTCGAAGCTGTAAGCTCAGCTTCCACCCTCTGACGTTGCTCTTTTGTTTGTTTCGCTTTCTTGGTATTTAAAGCTTCCAGCATATTTTCACTCCCCTCCTTGATTTTCATTTCTCGACTGAGCGAGTCCTTCAGCGCATTGAGAGTATTCTCAGCGATCGAATCGTCATCTTCGTCTAATTTATCGCGTACGTATACGTCGGCTCTAGAACCAGCTCTGGATTGCATAGTTTGGCTACGAAGGTCGGAACTAAAACTACCCGGTGCTTGCGAGGACGGATTCAGGGACGAACCTCTCGGAGCGAATGAGGCGGTCGAGGAGGAGAGGTTGAGGTTTCGGGCGCCATCGGCGGGCGGTCGCAGGCCGCCATCTCGATCGAGGCTTGGTCGCGAAGCAGCGACTGGGGAATTTACTGAGTGTGTCGGTTGCGAGGCTAACGACTTCTGAGTCGGTGTCGCGGAGCTGCTCAGCATGGTGGCAGACCCGACCAAATGCCCACCTTCTGGGACAAGATTATGGTGTCGTTCATGGAGAGAAACGAACGTCCGATCGGGCGAATGAGGTCTTCGTATGTATGATACCGTGACAAGTTAGTCGGGCGTATTGGACTAGAACGAGCGACCAATTTTAAAGAATGGGCTGACACAAATTAGCCAGCCTTAATGATGAAGAACTCGTGCACAATGGTTAAATAGACAAAAGCGCAAAAATACACAGGTTGAAGCGATTGAGAAGGCACTGGAAGCCGAAATCGTTGTCATGTCTCATAAAAGCGTTGAAGTTTCTAAGGGTATGTAGTAGATAGTGTAAGTAGTGCAAGTAGCGTAGTAGTCGTAGTAGCAGATAGGCAAATGGAGACCGATGTTTGTATCGTTTGTATCCATTCGTAACTATATGCGGTTTAGGTTGCGCTACGCCTACGGTTCGGATTGCGGCCGCCCTTTCGCCAAGGTGGAAACAAGGACATGGGATGAAGGTGGAGTATTTCGATGTGTCGCATCCTTGTCTGGATGTAAGTATCGCTGCAACCTTTCTTATTACTAAGGAGTACTTTATATTTCCCCAACCAGAATTTAAACTTCATTTGACATTACACAAGTCATTAACCAACTTAAATATGAGTAAGGACCTATCCACTTGCTTATTGGTTTTATTATCTTCTGTTTGATGTTCGAAGTTTAAATAATACAGTAGGTACTACCTAACGTACCTAACTATTAGTTACCTACTTTTTAGGTTGCAAGTTACCACTCCAAGATAACCCTACCCAACCTCCTTAGCCAATCAACTCAATATCCAGATTAAGACACTCTATAGACAACCCCTATTGGCCAGTCCTTTAATATGTGTGCCTAATCCGCCATATACCAAAGTCGCCGCAAAGAAAATGCTGCCCTCCCTCTTAGACTGATCATTCATTACCTTATGTCAGGAGTCCGTGTGGGCGGGAAGTAGAAAATATCGATATTTTCCCCTCAATCCCCAACCAGCAAGTTCTACCAAAGCAACCATGATATGAGCGCAAGATGCCCATCAAGCACATTTGAAACTATATTCCCATACCCAACTAGAGTCCGCAGGTTCAAGGACCATCGAAGATACTAGTAATAGAAACAGAATGTGCAATATATCATACTAAAACGATGTTGGCGTCAGTAGTTCGATATCATGCTAGCACTCGTTCAACTTACAGACCTATCTCCAGCATCCACCCCTCACTATGTAGTAGCCTTTACACAGCTGCGGAAGATAAACGAGCGAGTAGCCCAGTACATCCGTCAGCCTATTTCAAGAGAACCCAGTTTCAGCCATATGTTCATCGTATAGGCTATCCACCAGTTGGGGATTTAGAAAGGAACATTTTGAGATTTCCTGAATGGCATTCTAGGGCTAAATTTAGACCTTGATATGAGTAGCACCACATCAGGTCCCTGACATTCTAGGTACTTAAGGATGCGATGATCCTAGACGTATGACTTTCGACATGCTCATATATGATATGATAATAAAATATACTAATTGAAACATATTGAACCGAAGCGGAGAAGCCTATATCTCTTACTCACGGCAATTTGTCAATGGACTATAACTTGTCCGTCCATCCATTACATGTCGCCTTAACGAGCTCGGCTGGAAGCGCAGCAGATCGACAAAATGCGTGTGTAACCCTGGTTTACACGTCAGGATTTCCCCTCAATATACATCAATCAATGACTTACATGGCTGAATAGATATGTAGTCACGAGATTTTCAGCCCTCGAAGAATTCCCTCGACAACTATGGGATGACGTAGATTCACGATAACATCTAGATTTCGAATTCTAGACCTCGTCCTACCTAGGTATCGTCCTAGTATCAAGCAAGATAAGCGAGATATTGTGGGTAAAAGCCGAGAAATTGACAAGGAAAAAAACATGAATAGGAATTAGTTAGGCAAGGCAAGATATGTAACTAAGCTTATCGCCGGCCGAAAGAAAGAAGAACGGAAGACCTTAAGAGGAACGAGGCGAGGTAGAGAGGTAGCTTAGTACCATTTACGGCAGGTGACGGCCATAAGTTGTAGGGGATTCGGCGGGCTCCGTGAGGTGCGGTATGGTGTAACGACCCGCTAAAATTGCCATTGGGGAAGCTTGCGGCGAGCTTAAGCGGTTTAGATCCATCCGGAGCTCTCTAACTGGGTCCATTTTACTGGGAATTCCCCTCCTTTTTCTCAGAGGTCCGTTGCCGTTTCTTGTACTACCCAACTACCTTCATCAGCTTAGCTTAGCTTTTTCTTCCCCTATCGGTGACCAGCGGCCCTTAAGCTTTTAGATTTAGGTAGCTTTTTTCTTTCTTCGTTCTTCCTTGCAATGATGTATCTAAAGTATCCAATGTATTCCGCTACAGGCGCTTTCCGATATGCACAATACCTTAGCCAAGCTCCAGCTTCCATTCCAAGGACCCTGATTTGCGTATATTCTACGACGCCCCTGCGTACCCCCATATGAAACTCCTTCTTAGGTTAGGTACGGGTATGAGTTGGTAGGTAGGTACCTTTGTAAGTTTAATAAGGAATCATGCAGCTCGATTTTGGGGGTGGAGGGCCGGTAGTAGCTCCGTTGGTGACATTTCACATTTAGGAAGAGCTCCTAACTTATGTAGCTATCTCTCCAAAAAATCAAGGGTCCCGAGGTAAAAATAATAGCTCCAAGTGAGGTGTATATAAACACCTAGAGGCGTTCTCCTTCTATTTCCTGTCCCCTTTCTATTTGCATGCGTCTTTTTTTATTTTATCTCGTTTCCTTAGTAACCTGACTCGACCAGATCTCTACGGATTTCCCCTTTTTCATCCTTATTTTTCTTACTCATCTACATAGTTAATGTTTGATTGTGATTTCACAAGATAGACTCACTTTCCAACGCTTGCATCACGTTGTACCAAACCAACCCTTTATAAAGCAAGTTCATCGGAATTTCCGGAGGTTATAAACGCCAATCTCTTAGGAATCTCTTATTTTCTTTTCAAGAAAAAGGATACCCAGCCGAAAAGGAGAGCAGGAAAAAGCAATAATACCAGAATATTAATCAATCTTACATCATGCCCGTCGTATCAGCAGCTCGCTACGGAAAGGACAATGTCCGCGTGTACAAGGTCCACAGGGATGAGGCGTCGGGAACTCACACGGTGACGGAAATGACCGTATGCTGTCTTTTAGAGGGGGAGATTGAGCAGTCGTACACGGTGGCGGATAATAGCGTCGTGGTGGCTACCGATTCCATCAAGAATACCATCTACATCAAGGCCAAGGAACACCCCGTAAATCCGCCAGAGCTATACGCCAGCTACCTCGGTCAACATTTCCTAGATACATACAGCCATATCACCGTTGCCAATGTCAAGCTTGTCGTCAAACGATGGACTCGTATGATCATTGATGGAAAGGAACACCCCCACAGCTTTTACCGCGATGGAGACGACACCCGCAATGTGGAAGCTCGCATTACCCGAGAGGGAATCGAGATCACCAGTGGTATCGCGGGGCTCCTAGTTCTAAAGAGTACGGGCTCGGCTTTCCACGGCTTCGTTCGGGACGAATATACGACGCTCCCTGAAACCTGGGACCGTATTCTTTCGACCGAAGTCGACGCTACCTGGAAGTGGAATACCTTTCCAAACGTGGCGACGGTTGAGCAGAAGCAAGCCCAATACGACAAGGCCTGGGATGATGCTCGTAATATCACTATGAAGACCTTCGCCGAGGAGAGCAGCCCGTCCGTTCAGAACACTATGTACAAGATGGCGGAACAAATTCTCGAGGCAGCACCCGAGACTGCATCCGTTACATACCAACTCCCTAACAAGCATTACTTCGAAATCGGTAAGTTCTTACTCAATTCGTATTTATGATGATAGGTGGGAATATTAGATTCTGACTATTCTACCTCCAGATTTATCATGGCACAAGGGCATCAAGAACACTGGCAAGGACGCCGAAGTGTACGCACCGCAATCCGGACCGAATGGCCTGATCAGAGTCGAGGTTTCACGATCTTAGAAGTCATTTTACGAATAATGTATCATCTCTCGGGCGTTTGCGTGGGTCTGCCATTATTTCCCAAGTCGTAATTCCTAATGGCCAAGGAATTGGAAATCGGTCGGGTTATGAGGTGATTAATGATGGTCGCATTGCCGTAGATGGATTTAATCATCAGTAGTATCTAGGTAGATACCCTGCTGGAATAAGAAATTATGCATTCCACCTTGATTGCTTCGTATCGTTGATTTTTGCCTGTAGTTATATTTCTTGGCCAGTTCCCATGTGCCCCCAACAAACGAATTGGTGGCCATGCCACTTTCTCGATATAAGATGTTAACTGTCGTGAGATGTTTTTCATTATATGCATATACAATGTGGTACATAGCAGATGTCTAGAGCCCAGCACTCAGCGTCTACTGCTCTTTGCTTTATCGGGCCATCAAACCCATCCTTGATATTCATCATCCTCTACCAACACCACTTCCTATAACCTCTCCATATCCGCCTGTCGAATAGCCTTAACAGCCTGTTCCCAGCCCTCCTGTCCAACCGGCACACCACCAAACCGGATCAAATTCTGCTTATACGGATGCGCCTCGCCCTCAAACGCCTTCAAGCGCGCTAATCTCTTATCCCGTAACCTATTCTTCGGCAACATGCCACTAACCGCCTTCCGCAATACCTCAGCACCACCGTGTTTTGCCATAAGTACATCCATGGTAACCGAGCGCAAGGAACCGGGGCGCGTGTTGTGTCGGTAGTATGTTTTTTGCCACTTCTTGCGGCCTGTGACGTGGAGCGCTGCGCAGTCGGTTACGACGACGTAGTCCCCGCAGTCCGTGGACGGGTCCCAGGTTGGTTTGTGCTTGCCCATGAGGATTACGGCGATGCGGGAGGCTAGGCGGCCTAGGGAAGGGGGTGTCGTGTTGGGTTGGGTGGAGAGGGTTGGGTGTGGTGTGGAGGCGGATATGTGGTGCCATACTCGTGAGTAGGAGAGTTTTGTCTGTTCGTCTATATGAGTATAGAATTTAATGCACCAGGGAGAGAGGAATGGGAAGAGGACTTACCAGCCCGATGGTCTGCGACATTGTGACGGCTTTTGAGGGAGGTTTAACCCCTCGCCGACGCCGAGATAATTGGATTTACTCAGTTTTGTTATGTGATATATCTTTCATGCGGACTTGAGAAACCAATTGAGGGGTAAAATGACTTGCGTGCGCCGCTAAACTTGTGAATTGAGGCTTCGTTAATGGATTGATGCTAAGAAGGAGCGATAATAGCAGAATTCGATATTCAAAAAATGCTAGAACATCACGTGCCTGGGTGTTACCGAAAACCAATCTAACTAATTATCGTTCTTATCGATAAGACACTAGATGACGTTAGTTCGCCGACCCGCCGAGGATCGGTGAATTTCGCCAGCGGAAAGCGTGGAAGAAAGAATTGCGACAATTTACGATTTCAAAGCAACACCTTTCTTATTAAATTATTACATTATTGGTGTGATTCTATCTAGAAAAAAGGTGGGTTTTTATCATGTAAGTGAATGGCTTCTGGTGAATTCTATACTCAAAATATCACGAAATGGTATTCCCTTTTTCGTCCACTTAGCTTCTTAGTTATACGATGCTGAGATATTTCCACGGTATCTCGTTCCGTTCTTTTGCTACCACCACTAGCATTTTCTGTCTTGGTTTTGCTACGGAAACTTATTACCATCGCAACAAGCGAGATCATATATCTTATTTAAATAGGCAGCCCGTTGTCACCGAACAAAAGAAAATGGCGATTCAAAATCAAGTCAAGACTCCTTTTCAGGTCCGTCCTCTTATTCTCACTCTTGAACTCTTCATGAGCGGCCGAAGCGGGGAAGACGCCACACAGAGCCTTACAACGCAACATCATGTACTACCAAGATACAATAACTAATACCAACGCAAAACGAAACTATAGACCTTATTCGCTGTACCAATGACATGTGATCATTGTGTCGAATCTATATCGGAAGCACTGTATAACCTTGAGGGCATTACCAAAGTGGAAGCGAACTTGAAGGATCAGTTGGTTGCCGTTGAGGGAACCGGTAAGATGCATCCACCATGAAGGGGCCCTTGTTCCATGTTGGATGACAATTCAACTAGAACAAGACCTCCAGAGGTAACAAAGTTGAAACGAATAGGATTCTGACCTCTAAATAGCTGCGCCATCTGCGATTGTTAATGCGATAGAAGCGACAGGTCGAGATGCTATTTTGAGAGGTTCTGGTGCATCAAATGGTAAGTCGAAGATTGTATCCTATCTCATATCGGTTGGCTTCTACAACATGATTTCATCGGCTATTGTTCTTGGTCCGCATTGAATAACGTAGTCCTACCATCGGCCTGAACTCATGCGCCTCATATTCCTACCTCGCCAGCTTATGCCTCAGCTTGAGTGGACAAGAACTTGGCTAACACAAATCATTTTAGGGGCTGCGGTGTGTATCCTTGAGACGTATCACCGTAACGAGAAGGGTAGTGACTCGTTGGTACCTGCTTCCGACCCCGAGGCAGCTACTGAAGGATCAGGGGCGAGCGACAGGGAGGTCCGTGGCTTAGCTCGTATGGTGCAAGTCTCTCCTACGATTACCCTAATTGACTTAACGATCCGTGGTGTTACGCCTGGCGCGTACTCAGCTAGTATAAGAGAATATGGCGATCTTAAATTCGGCGCCACATCTACCGGTCCGGTATGGGCGGGCGGAAGCGGCACTACTCAACCTCGTGGCATCCTCGGTACCGTACAAGTCGGCAGTGATGGAAGAGGCGCTGTATTCCTGGACCACCCCTTCCAGGTATGGGAAGTCATTGGGCATGCGATGGTAGTTTCTAGACAACAAGAAGGAATCACCGAAGCTGAGCTGAAGAATGACGAGAACACGGTCGTCGGCGTTATCGCGAGGAGCGCCGGGATGTGGGATAACGATAAGACGGTATGTTCATGTACGGGGAAGACACTCTGGGAGGAAAGAAAAGACGAAGTAAAGAAGGGTATGATTTGATGTGGCAAATGATTCGGTACCAATTTCCAGATCTTCGACCATTGCTAAACTGGATCCTCTATAGAATCCTTTAGCGTTCGATGACTTTTGATAGAAGATGACTATAGAATCCCATCTAGTATTGGTTATGGATTATTAGTTTCTAATCGAATTTAGGGATCCTCGCTAAATGCTGTGCCTTTTCATCACCTAGCTTGACGTCCGAATCCTACTGTAGCTTATTATGCAGGGTAGTCCAGGGACCAGTTCTTACGTATGTGCTCACCTTGACAGCAAGCGATATAATTCGTCACGGGCGTGATCAACGGAGGTAGTATTGGCGGCAGTAACTTCTTCAGCAATTCGGCACGAACTACGACAGGCATATACATTGGACGAAGCTACGTCGAATCAGATGACAGATCTACTCTGCTAATGTCGTTCGACTTATTCGGACAAGAAACAATCCTTATCAATTGAACACATTTCTAGGGGTTCCGGGATAAAGATGCCGAGCTTGTGCCCTAGAAGAACTCCCATGGCATCGTGCGATATTCTCTGGGCGATGGCACCATGGACCGGCCCATAGGTGGCGCCACTGCCATTTAATAGTGATGAAATCTTATGACAAACGACCGCCAAGAGTTTCCTCGTTCGGCTCCCGTTACTACATCAACCACTACCGTCCCGCGAGTCAAACGAAACACCTTCAAGATGAAGCTTTAATGGTCATTGCGCTTTATATTCACTTTATCATCTCATTTACCAAAGTATTGGAGATCATTTATCGCGGAGAAGACGCGAGCGATGTTAGATCCTCGAATGAGAGACCGTAGCTATGACCCCTCTTTCGATAGCAATCAAAAACCCCATGGGACCGTGGGTTAGGGGTTCCCTCCGCGAAAGCCAAGTCTGTCTGATATAAGCTTAAGTGCTTGGCTACACCGTGGACTCCCGGACAACGGATGTTGGTTGATTTTACCTCCATACATCCATACACTTGGGATTTGGATGCGTTGGCTACTAGATACCTAGGTAGTTTATACCTGCTACAATGCTTACCCCTTGTCTTGCGTATCCAACTAGCAGTATCTCGATCATGAGGCTTAATTAACCTTAGATAACCTTACTATATGTGTATTAATGTTGCTCAATGCGAACTTGTCACAAAAGCGCCGAGTCCCACTTAGTGGTGACCGGAAACACGTGGAATGAGACGAAGAGAAATCGGGCTCAAACGTGAAGAAAATGAAGACCAAGAGGACCAGGAACGGCACCTGCCGGTGCATGTATAATGCAGCAGGGATACTAAATAAAATTTCTGCGTAAATACGCCATCAATGGACTGCGAAGTGGGATATGCAACCACTTTAACCTATCAGATATTACCCTAACCGAAGGATCAACAAGCCTCAAAGCTTTAAACGACGAGTCTAACCACAGACGGCATTTCGATGGAAAATACGATGTTGATAGGGCTTGAAGGATGTATGAGGATCCTTTAGGTTTCGATTTCCAAAACGTCAAGTAGAACAAAGAATTCTCTCTTCAAGCCGTGGTGGTTTTGAGGCTTCCCGAAGATCTGATCCGCTAGGAAGCTTAGATCATAGATGCCGTGGGTCAGGGGTATGCGATACCACAGACTCTGAGATTTGAGGGTTATCAAACACGCACCATGTTGTTTCTGCCGGGCTGGATTAGGTTTCCCGTTATGCGTAGATGCCGGGCGTTGCCTGGTTGCCTGGTTTATTATGACTACCTGGCTAATAGTGGATTTTGATCTGAAATATTGATGACAGGAAGAACGCCTCAAACACGCCGCTGGGGGGAAGCGAGTTTCGTAACGGATATCGGCGCTAGGTCCAGATCTCATAAAATTTGGGTACCTATCATGAATGACGTTTGTTCTGCGGTGTACAACATAGAGTTAAATAAAACTACATGTAGTCAGAGTGCTGAAGATACTACTCTAGCATGTAGGATCCATCACGCTGGGTCGGATAGTTTGGAAGCTGTAGAGAAACAATGGATAATGGACATGAACCTCTAATCGGTTGAGTAAGTGACACGCCGCCCCATCGCATGTGGAGAGAGATCTGACAGGCATCGGAGCTATTGGGGAACAATTCCAGATTAGTTAAATTCACAATTTGCGGAGTTATGAGAGTGTCACATTGCACTACTGCGAGTGACGAATGGCGCTGGTAAGAACTAGAAGATCGTCGGCGCGTAAGTAAGACTTCAAGACGCCCATTGGGGTAAAAGAGAGGAAGAACGATGTATGAAGATTGCCTATTCCGGGTTTTAGATGGGATGACACATGGACACATGAGCAGAACATCATCTGGCAGCTATCTAGATACCTAAGGTACCTTAAGCAAGGGGAATATTGATTCGTCCATGATAGAATTTCTCGAAAATGGTATTATGACCACTGTGAAAAGGAAGAATAAGACGAATAAGAGAATGTTGAGAGAAAGTCGAGCACTGACTGGCTCGATCCAGATTTTAGGCGCCCTTGGAAACGCCTGGCGTCCGAGACTATGGGGTCCAACCGAATCCCGTCGTCCAATCATTTCCCCCTGGACCACACTTTGGAACACTTTCTGCATGAATAGAGACAGGGTCTGTTCCAGATTGCAACCCGAAGGACCAGAAGGGAATTATCGACATCGACAACTCAATACTTTCACTGCAAAGTACAGTAGTAATCACAGATTTACAGTTACAATTATCAACATTCAATCTCTCTTCTCTGTCACGCTACACGGACAAAGAGTTGACCAAGGGGTTAAGGAGGAATAGAACTGACAATGATGATAGAATGATATAGGGCGGACAGACGGACAACAATCATTCGAGGGGCTCTAGATGAATCAATTATCAATTAATCCACGGCTGGATGGTCTCAATTTCGGACGGTGTTACCTCCTGGGCATCTCATCCATCCTCCTCCTCCTATCCTAAAAAACAAATTAGGAGGCGTACAATAACTTCATACCGACGTCTAGTAGCCAACGGTTGGTCGATGTTCAATATGTAGAGGCGCGAAGGAATTGGTCAAGCAAACGACTTCGCGCGCCTGTTATGAGACTGTACTACTTGCTGTAGACGCCCTCGCCGTCCTTCCATTGTTGCCATGATTGTTTGGTTAAGATGAGACGCTTGATTTGATCTTCTTCGCTCGATCATGGCAGGTCGAACGACATGTAGAACGACAAACTTGTTGAATACGTAGAAGGCATACCAACCTCCCCTTGTCTCTACCTAGCCAGTGAGGTGGAAAAGGGAATAAGAAAAGAAAGACGGATTACCGGCGCCCAGTTGCCCCTCTCAAACCCAAGTCCGTCCAAGCCCTCGGCTGGGCGAAACCCCTGCCCCCCTGTTCCTCCGTACGTACATCTAGACCCTGGTTAAGCATCATCGTCGTTTTGGCTGCCCGCAAAGAGGTACTCCGTATCCACAAGCATCGCAATGTTCGCTACTAGGTAGTGTAGTACGTACACAATACATAGCAAGATACATACTGCATGATTCCCACAGTCGAAGACCAACGAAGCGAGTCCCGAACTCTTGACCCAGATTTGCCAGAGTTCTTTTCCCGCGTCCAATGCTTCCTTGGCACAAGGTCTCGTCCTCGCCCATCACTGTCTTTTCCGCCTTTCACCCACTCCGAGTTCTTCTGTACGCGCTGGCTTCGTTGTCGTTCATCCACTCATTTTACTCCTCCCCAACTGCAAGTCTTCCCTTCTCATCACCGACCTAATCCATTCCTTGCAGGTGCGAAGAATTTTAGTCTAATAAGCTATTACTACTACTACTTAATTTCGAGAGGATATTTCTCTGTCGCTTTTCCCGATATTTCCAAGGCCCACCCTGCTGGCTCCGTGGCCCGTCGTGCGTCCCGTACCTACATATCTCTACATACTATTACATATCCCACCTACAGCCCCCCGACCTACCTATTTTTTATTTTTGTCTTGCCACACACAAGGAGCTGCAAGATTTCGTCTCTGCACCAACGAAGTTCCCCAGGAACCAGACATCATCCAATCCCAACTTGTTAGCAAGGGATTGCCAGCAATTGAATTGAAGAAAGGGAATTGCGAAGCGTTAGCAATTATACATATTTAATTATTTTTTTTCCAACTTCGGGCGAACCGCCGCCGCTACCAGCCAAGACTTATTATTAGCAGAGCGAGTAGAGAAGAGGGGTGGGAAGAACCGTAGCTATTTTTTGCCGAGACAAGAGAAACAAGCTATTAGGGTACCGGGAATTAGTAGTACAACTTCTATTAAAACCAATCCAAACCTCTAATATCGGCCAAGTCGCAAGATTAACCGGTCGAATCTGTCGGATTGGAATTGGGAATTGATCCTCGAGAAATACGCAAATACGCCGACACCACCAAAATCGCCGCAAGGAGCGGACCTCACCTTTGCTTTCTGGATAAAGCAATTGGTACTAATTTAAGGTCTATCCCGGCGACAACATGTCTTTGAAGCAGGTAGGTCGAAATTGGGGGGTAAAGAGATGCGAATTTCGAGCCTGAAGTGCTGACTCTGCGACTAGGAAATAGAAACGTGGGTTTCGGCCCTGAGCCGATACGACAACAATGAGTTCGAGGAAGCGTTGAAGGAATTTGAAAATATTTCGGATACGTCCAAGATCTTGTTTAATATGGGTGTTATTCATGCGACACTGGGAGAGCACGAGAAAGCTGTAAGCGCTTTTTAAATAATCTGGGGAATTCAAAAACACTGATAATTATTTCAATTAGGTCGAATGTTACCAACGGGCAATCCGACTCGATCAGTATCTTGCTGTAGCATACTTCCAACAAGGCGTATCGAACTTCTTACTCGGCGATTTCGAAGAGGCATTAGCGAACTTCAACGATACCTTACTATATCTCCGAGGCAACACACAAATTGACTACGCACAACTTGGTCTGCTGTTCAAGTTATACTCTTGCGAAGTGCTGTTCAACAGAGGTCTCTGCTATATCTACCTACAACAGAAGGATGCAGGTTTACAAGATTTGACCTACGCAGTAAAAGAGAAGGTTGTTGAGGATCACAATGTCATTGACGAGGCTATCAGAGAAGAAGCCGAAGGCTATACCGTGTTCTCGATTCCCGTCGGTGTCGTGTACCGACCCAATGAGGCTAAAGTACGAAATTTGAAGACCAAGGACTATCTAGGAAAGGCCCGTCTAGTTGCTGCATCCGACAGAGCCAATGCTTTCACGGGCTTCGCTGGATCGGAGATCAAGAACGCTGGAAGGGCCAGTGAGAAGGATGACCGGCCATCCGACAACATCTCGTTTGCTGCTACAAATCTGGTCAAACCTGGAATACAGAGCAGAAGACAACAATCGGAACCCCCTGCTAGCCGAAATGCATTCCCGCCGACGCCACCGCCCGAGAACGACAAGCCGGCCGCTACGATGAGCCGTGGTGCTTCAGTCCGCAATGGACCGAAACCAATGCCTGCTAGGCTGAACATCCCTGAAACGGGAAAGAGCAGCCGTTACGACAAGACGAGCTCACCCCAGAGTGAACGCAAGGGACCCTCAAGAGCTGCCTCTGAGGTTCGATCACCACCTCAACGAAGCTACTCGAGAGCCGAGGCACCCAGAACCCGACGATCAAGAAATGAGGAAGATGCGTATCCAGATGATGTCTACGACATGTATAATGGAGGAGGTTCACAACGGGGACAAGGTCGCCGGAATCAACAAAGGTACATTGAGGAGGAAGACGAACCCAGCGAATACGACTCCTTCGATGAAGGCGAATTCGAGATGGTCTCAAACAGGCGGCCAGGCACTTCGGTAGCTGGTTCCTCGCGGGGTGGATCGAGAAGACCGGATATCCGCAAGGTCAGAATCAAGGTGCACTCGGAGGATGTCCGATATGTCATGGTCAGCATAACGGTGGAATTCACGGAGCTAGTAGACAAGATCCGCGATAAGTTCGGTCTACGACGACGATTCAAGCTCAAGGTGCGAGATGAGGATTCGCCACAATCATCGGATATGATCACGATGGGCGACCAGGATGACCTCGACATGGTCATGATGAGCGTGAAATCAATGGCGCGGAAACAGAGACAGGATATTGGTAAACTGGAGGTAAGCTATTCTCATTATCTAATATTCTATGACTTAACTAACGAGAAATACAGATATGGGTCCAAGAGATCTAGACACTTTTCTTTCCTTCGTGTGCGGCATTACGATTACAACGATACCCAGCATTGCGATCTGACTTCATACACGATGTAATGAAGAAGTCCTTGGCTTCGCCCTCGTCATTTTACAATCATTTACTTTTTACTACCTACCTACATTTCACTCTACTCATAACTATCATACCTTATTTTTGCATCCTATCCCATCCCATCCTCCCTTTTTTGAATATTACGATTCTCAATCATGCTTATCGAGCGATCGTGGGCTGGTTGCAGGCTTCGTCATAATGCGTTATGAAACAAGAAACGCGGCAGTTTCATATTCGACTCCTTTTCCACTGGGGGGCGGTCCGGGCATGAATAGAAACGGAGATTGTCTCGTCGATTACCCGTCTCGGTCTATTGGATCCGCCAACATCAAATCAATTCACCACGTCGCCGCTCATGCAGACCTAGGCCTAGACCTATTCAATCGTACCTAGGTACACTGCGTCGCCAACCCCTGATTCTTTTTTTTTCTCTACTTCCCTTTATTACATCATCATATAACAGCATATATCCACACATTTAGAATTGGATAACCGGCGAATGGATTTCACGGCCGATTGGGTGGTTGGTGGAGGAGTAAAGTGAATTTATCTATTATATTCCCTTTTACTTGATTTTTTTGCTTTTTTGATTTAGTCGCTGTTATCTCCGATATTGATGGGATCGAGATGAGAGTCGTCGGGCTATAGTAATACGTTCCGTTGGGAAACCTACTACACTCTTAAAGGGAGGCAGGGAGGGAAATAAGGATTCGCTCTCTTTTCCTTTCTCTCCTTGATGGAGCGTTGGGGTTGAGTTGGGCGGATAGAGTCGCAAGAAGAGAAGGGATCACCTTGGTTCATACAGTAGGTAGACAAAATACCCAATCGCGGGTTAGCAATTCATAACAGCAGTTCACGTTAAACTTGACAATTTTATAATTAAACGTGATATCTGTGTTGTGGTTAGATCATTTTATATACTTTTCAAACGTAAACTACAATGCCTGAGCTATCTATGCAATTGCCCTTCGAAAGATTCGCATCCTGGTCTCTCCTAGCTCAGTAAAGACAGTAAATCGGTGTAAACCCAGTTAGCTTCCTTGCGTCACTTCAACCAGTGAGTCCTTCGTGGCGGTCTTGGTATGTGATGAGGAATGGCTAGTCGAATGGGACGTAGAGTGGGACGTAGAATGAGATGTCGAGTGAGATGTCGAGGTGGACCGGCTGGTTGATTTAGAGGTCGATTTGCTCGTACTGCTCTTGCTACTGCTACTACTACTGCTCGATCCGGATTTAGTTGTTGTTGATATAGTCGGGGGAGGAGTCACGGTGGGAGAAGAGGAAGCACTAGTGCTCGTAGATGGTAGTGAAGTTATAGGAGGGGATGAGGAAGGTGGTGGTGGGTCGCTGACCTGGCATCCTGATCCAAATTCTGTTTGACAACCCTCGCCGCAGTAGTCAGTCGTTGAACCGCACCAGCCGTTTCTACCGTCGTATAGGGTTAGTAATGGCACCCAAGAAACGATGGATTATTCGTGTTCATATAGACGTTATAGACACGAATTTCCAGAGTAAGTCCCGCAAATAACATGAAACATCCTCCTACAGACTCTAGCGGAAAAAATATCAAAAGAAATCTAAACTGACACTGAGCAACAATTTCCATATTCTGAACCCTGGCATGTGAACCCATCGCCACAGTTCCCGTCAATTGATACTTGAAGCGTGCCAGTCGGAGCAGCGCCGGTGTTCGTGGTGGTTAACTGATCGTCAGGGGTACCGGGACCGCTGGGAATGTTCGTTGGGATCGTCGAGTCGGCGGAGGAGCAGATACCAAATTCGGGGCGACAACTTGCGCCGCAGTAATCAATTGATCCACCACACCAATTGTTAAGAGAGCAACCTAGTGGCTTGGATTAAACTTATAGTCACACAAATGGCTAGGACATACATACAATTTCCGTATGCAGAACCCGCGCATGTTATACCGTCGCCGCATTTACCGTCCGGGCTAACTTTCAACGTGCTAGTCGGCTGGCTGGGCTTCGTAGGGGTAGCCGTAGGGGTGAGGCAAGTAAATGTTCCAGTTGGGGCGCGGATGCTGAAATTGTACTCTGGGACCTTACCGGTGCCGGCACGGTACCAGTTCTCGGGAGGATCACCCAAGCACTGCCCTACAGTAACCGATCGGTAACCATGGCTGAATAGCGAATCGAGGATGTAATCTGTAAGGTTGTAGACGGTCTGATAGTGGATATCGTGCTCGATCTCGAGGTAGCTATCCTCGCAAGGGCTAGACCCGTCAACGGCCTCGTCCCAGATATCCTTGCTAGTCTGGATCTGGCTGGCATCATCGTGTAGGTAGCCCTCTGTGTCCAAGTCAAAGTAAACAGCGTGGTATCCAAGGTTAGCTAGTTGTGTCTGACAAGCAGCGGGGCAGATGGAATAGGGGGGTCTGCATCAATAGTTAGTAGAAGCATAGAAAGGGAGACGGCGTAGTATACCTCATGTAAGTAGGGAAGTAGCCGAGGATGTCGTTGAGAGCGATCTCATTCCAGTACATCTGGTTCTTGAATTGAGTCGTGGTCAATTGACTGTAGTTCTCGTGTGACCACGTGTGACTCGCAATCTGGTGGCCCTCGGCAGCCATTCGCTACGGCATGTTAGCCTCAATCTACAACGTCATCCTTAGGTGGAGCGCATTTACTTGAATGACAGTAGCCCAGGGGTACGCAGGATCATTAATTGGTCCCTTGCCTAAGTTGTTCCCGGTAATAAAAAAGGTAGCTTTTGCCTCGTATTTTTTGAACTTGTCGAGAAGATCGTTGGTATATTCGTACGGTCCATCATCAAAAGTAACGGCGATGTCACCTTCGTTCACGCAATCGTAAATACCAACACCACCATACTGCACCTTGCCCAATTTTGGACGAGCGATCGTCGATGTATCCGTACCGCTTGGCTTGTTGTTGCCATCACACGCCGGGCCATAGTTTATTTGGCAGTCAGGTGAAGTACAGTAGTCTTCTCCTTGCCCACAGTACCTAGGTCATATCAGCAAATTAACTAACGAACCACGGAGTTTATATGAACCAACCCTTCAGCGGAGCAGCAGTAACCAGCCGCGCATTTACCACGGCTTGCGCCGCATCGGCTACTGCCCCTTTGGCGAGTCTCGAGTTCGTCCCGCTTCTCAGACCTTCGGCCACTTCGAGCCTCTACCACCTCTTCCCTCTCTGTGGCATGTGACCGAGTTTCCCATCTCCTTCTCCCTCTAAATTCAGACAAGAATTTTCGGGCCCCGGCGAGCTTCGGCACACCGGCACCCAGGTCATCCGGGTCTGCGTGTGCGGCAGTCTGGCTCGCACAAGCGGCCAAAACGAAGGCGTCCCACCAGCGCATTATGACGAAATGCAGTACAATTCCGTGTGTATGAAGCGAATGTGAGGGCTGGATACAACGAATCCTTAGGCCATGAGTTCCCAGGAGTTGGGAATGCGGATTCGAAAGCGACCAAGAACCCACTTAAGAATCCTCAAAAATCTTCCGCCAAGGCATCAGACGGCAAGATAGCTAGATACTTGGTATGTAATGCCACGCGTCGCCGAAGGCGATAGACAGGCCTTGAGCCAAAAAAGGGCTCTAGAATAAACACATGGTTCCCGGATCGGAGCGTTGGTAACCCTGTGAGGAGCATTTCATATATACCCGGATACTACCTTAGCGGCAGACTACCTGCACATACGAACCACTCATAGAAAACGTATTGCAGGCGTACCCATATTGAGTAGCACCTGCACTCATCATGGCATTTTCAAAAAAGACTGGACTGGCCAGATCTGGCACTTGTTTCGTGAGCAGAAACACGAGGTTTGAGAAAAACCGCATCCACCGACCTGCAATGTTGACAAGTTGAAGCTGATCGGGTGCATTACGAAGGCATACCACCTAACCACCCATGTCGAACTTCCCAAAATAACTTCTTTTCCCATTTCTGGGCACGAGCGCTAAAGCCATTAGAAGGGAATGGGTTTTTATTTCGGTTAATAGTTCTAACCGACGAGGAGCCTCATGAGTACGTGTTCAGGCGGGTCTCTTGCGAAAACCTTGCCATGTTCAAGGTGAATATTCTCACCGGAGGCTCACTTTGTCGGAGACATGATCATCTCTATGATCGACCGCCTATTAATCCGGCGCAATTGAAAACGACTTATCACGTTTCCCCAGATGTTCGGCAAAGCCCAAGACATGTATAAGAGGATGGCAATAGCGACGGTATGAGCAGACAATGTGACAGTACAATAGAAGGTATTGTGGGGTGTAGAGACGCGTCCTTGGATAGAAAGCGACGCTGAGATCGGATCGTGTTCCTTCGGTCCGCCAAGCCTCGCCTCATTGCCCAGCCCTTCATCTACTCCACGGTTGAAGTGACGAGGGGGGCGCCGGACTAGAGTTGGCTATATTATATTAATTTGAAAATATCCTAAAAGCAACCTACCATCTACCCTGCATTGCATGGCGCTTGTTCCAGAACCGCATACCCCCAATGCCCTGGTACTACCAGCCGCAAATTTTTTTTTCTCTTTCAAACTGAGCATTCGCATTAGAAAGAGAAAAGGAAAAATAGATTAAACGCTGGATTGGATTGTTACGTTGCCATAGCTCTCGACGCTTGCCGCCGACTCCACGCGTTGACGTGCTCTGGTCATAGCCGGAATCGCGCAACTCGGATGTCCGGCCAGTAAGTAAGTAGATCCTTCATGATGATGACGAGTCTCGGTAGACTCGCTCCGAATAAATCGGTAATAAGACCATAGTTGGCGTCCCTCAAGGTGCTTCTTGCTTACTCTGTAACGTGGAAGGGAAACGTGCCATCATCTTCACTATAGCATGCTGCACGTAGGACAGATAGTGATAGATAGTGAGAGGTAGATGAGAAGGAAACCTTTTTTATTTTTAGATGAGATGTAGTACATATAAACGATTTTTCATCACGTGAATTGTCTTTTTAACTCATCTTAGCGCCAACCAAAGGTCATAGAAAAAACGCTAACAAAACTGTAAGGAGAATACCTAGGTAGATATGAATATCTTATACCGAGCCCCTTTCTTTAGCGCATTAGTTACCACTTATATGGTTTGAGAAGAACTACCCACGGATTGATTATCTACTGACGAAATAAACATAACAAAGCAATAAAATAATAAGAAGCTATTCAAATACGATAGAAATTAATTTGATTCAATTGATCGCCAATTACGTCAGTCACTGTTTAGGGTGCGCAAATTTAAATATGCGGTGGGCTCACATATGCGTATTCCATGTGGACTGATATTCTGCCATTATCAATTTTATATGCCCTTTCCTATTACTGGTGCATAGAAAGCTGACCTGTAAGGATCCGGAATGTCTGCTGGATAGAGGTACACAGCAACGAAGGAAGCTCAAGATAACGCATCGTAAGTCCCAACATCAACACATCCCACGTTACTACATATTCGATGATAAGATGAACTAGAAGTTGAAATTGTATGGACCGATGGGCTGTTAGGAGGCTAGCTCCCTCAACGTAACATGGTGCTATTGAGCCGGATATCTGTGCGACCTTGGTATCCTGATCGATGCATTCTAATACTCACAACTACAAAAATTGGAATGGGCCATGATGTGGGAAGTAACAACGAGATGTCCAGCTAGATATACGATAAGGATCTATTATTAGGTTAATATCGTGAGCTAAACCAGCATCGTGTGCGTACCAAGAGGCCTGGAGATGCCAAAACCTGGAAAGTGGATAAGCTTCATTTGAGCCGAAAACCATCGTCTAGACGTAAGCACCAAATTACAACCATCTCCATGAAGATGCGAACGTTAACATTGCCGTCCATTTAGATCATCTATCATCCGCCGTAACTCAAACTCAAAGCTCGCTGTGTCGGCTGCTAAATTGATGCAGTATTTCTGGGCATAGGACTTCTTGGGGTTTGCTGGACATTTAATTGCCCATTGAGCAAGAAGCTTGCACAAATGGAAGGCGTACACCTATTTGATGGGAGTGAGGTTGTACAGCGTTGAAGATCGTTACAGCTGTACAATTATTTGCAAGCCACAGAGTAGATCCTTCACCTCCGAAGCCTCTCAATCAAGACTTGAAATTTATCTGAAGGGCCTCTGTCCAATGATATAAGCATCTTCTGGCTCATAGATTAGCCCCGGAGATGGGATTTCCCGATATAATCACCTTTTCCAAAGACGAAGGGAATGTTAGCGTGTTCGGCCTTGAATTTCCGATCACCGATGGCGTTTCGTGGCGCGGATACAATAAGAACCGATGAAATTTTATGCCTGCCTACGTAGGTAGCTACCAATGAGCAGAAGATACCTTATTTAGGTAACATAAGATCATATAGCAAGGCGGGTAGTGACATAGGATGCTATGGAGATGGAGTAATCTACGACATGGTGCTTGACCCTACGATCGCGGGCCATTTGCCTTGCCATATTCGACGGACTAAACCTGAGGGATAGCCCACAATGTAATGGGTTGCATAAAAAATAGTTTTAACATTTACTATGGTGATAATTGAAGTCTAGTACATAGAGTCAAGAAGCTGCTATCTAATGACCTAGCATAATATTTTAAGAGAAGGCTGTGGTTGGGAAGCATGTGGCTGCCCAGCTACCTGGGTACTTAGGGAGGTAGGTGGGCACGCATGGCACGCATCACCGGCGAGATTGATGGGGATTGATACATGCGGGCACTACCTGCGTGGAGTACTCGAGGAAGGGAGCCCTTGAGATCGTCGTCGCTCCGCGTCAGTTCCTTCCAATGCCAAATGACCTCACTTTCCTAGCGAAACAAACCTAACTACCTAGGTAGTTGCCTACTATGTAGGGGAAAGTGGCCACGAGCGCCAGTGACCGCTGTAACAGTACGTTCCCCCCTTCCTTAGAGTTTATTAGGCATTTGTGGGCTTTGTAGGCGGGTACCTGGACGTGTACCTACCTGACTAGGCACTCACCTAACCCCTGCTATGTACTCTAGGTAGGCACTTACCTACATATGTACAGAGGCACGCAGGAGGTATTTCATGTGGGCTTAGTGTGATTAAAAAAAGTTATCTTAGATGAGTCTGACTCAAAGTTGAAAGCCTCTTTTACTTGAGGGCATTGCCATGAGACAGAAGAAGTACACCCGTCATGATTTCCTCATATGGGATATTCTCATCCTATGTTAAGGTTGGTACGGTATTCGGGTACTATCCTACAGTAATATTACGGCGTAACGCAATCTCTTTAAGGTTCTAGGCAATAATGCATACGTCCACACATGTATGATAATGTGGCCGCATAGCTTTCTTCCTTAGGGCTCTAGATAGTGTATGGTCTTTGGCACGGCGATGCGGTTGCGTAATGTGCTTTCATTTGAGCTACAGATCCCCATACAGCGTTTTGGTGCTATACTATAGTAATTGTACTACGTTACGTGCTTCTATTGGACTGTAGAGGCTATAACTATATACCGCACTTTCCACGATGCTCTAGATTGCCGTACGATCCCTAGGCACTTTCAAACAGTAACCCTACCGTGTAACGTGCTTTCCAAGACTTTGCGTGAGTTTATAATCTTTTAGTATGATACTACGGCCCGCACAACGTACTTTCTTCAAGAGTCCCATTCGTTGTGAGGCCTCGTGGTACCATCCTGTCGTAATACGACTGCGTAACGTGCTTTCAAGACTCTAAGCGATTGTACGAATCATGTGTACTACCCCATGGTAATAGTACATATGTATTGCGTAACGCACTTGCTTGAAGGTAATATGACCTGCGTAACGTGCTTTCGTTAAGGCTCTAGACGTTATACGGTCTTTGGGCAGGTGCCCACCCATCATAATACGGCTTTGTAACGTACTTTCTTGGGGCTATCCAACGATATTATGTTCGCGTAACGCACTTACTTTGAAGTCGTTAAGTAGTAATACTACCGCGTAACGTCCTTTCCTAAGGCTTTACATAGGCTTGTAATATTTGGTATGATATTACGATCTACGTGACGCACTTTCTTTAAGGCACTGGATGCCAACGAGACCGCATAACGTACTTTCTCCAAGGTGCTAGGTCGCCGTACGACCTTTGCGTACTGTCCCGTCGTAATACGATCTCGTAGCATACTTTCTTTAGAGCCCTAGATGACCATATAGGATCAGGTACGACGCCGTACACCATATTGGCCATAGGGCATATCTACATGTAGAGGCCTAGGTATTATGACTGGAACGGACCGATAGCCGCAAAATAGTGACTACTACTTCCCCTGATTTAAGGATTTGAATAATACAGAAAAACCATTAATTTGCTAGAATCTATTATTTAGTGCACGGCCCCTTGTCGGCGTACTTGCCTTGGTATGGAAGCGCCTGCACAAGTATGGGTTTGTATCGAGACGCCGATGCCACAACTCCTTCAGGGGGTCGTAATAGCCCGAAATAATCATACTTTGGTGAATCATACGACCATCAAAGGTAATAACGACTCGAAAACCTTGAGGCACGTGCGAGCTGAGGAGATTGCCTATAAAATCCCACACGTCCGCCGTTCTCTCTCCTCCTTCATCCCCTTTCATCCTCATCACCTTTGATACTCATCATCATCTCTCACACACGCTCTCTCTAAGCACACACATGCAAACGCACTCTACCCTTTTCATATATATCCATCCATCCATTCATCGTCGCCAAGCATACTTCACATACTTCGGTACTCTTCAGCCTCAGTAGCAGTGATCCAGCTACAAGGTATAGTCATTCATCATGTATAATTATATCCCATTCCTCTACCACAGGGTCCGCACTCGTCCTCACTAAGCATAGAGGCGATGGCAACTTGGAAGGCCCTCGTGGCCTACGCCGCATCTACGCATATTCCATGTTCTGGAGCCCGAAGGCTTAGCCACATCCCCTCCCCTCTCCCGTCTTGTCACTAGCCCAATTATGATGAATGGCTTGGGATGCTACCCCAATTGCAAAATCTCGCATTTGTCGACTCGTAAAATTCCATTCATACCGGATACCTCATACGACTGCCGCCCGCAAAGTATACCAATATGACGGCATATCGGTAGCGACTTGTATGGGTTCAAGAACTCTGGGTTTCTGCGCATGATGGAGCGAATCGCTACGCAGGACCTAATCGATCGTTTCAATACCCTAGTCGAAGAGAGCGCCGACATCTTAGGCACCCAAGCATCCGACCTAAGTTCCACGAACACTCGGGCGACATACGAAGCAGCTGAGCCGGGCTAGCCCTGGTTGAGTTCAATTGGAACAGATTTAATCACCGAAGCACGCTAACTCACTTTTGCAACATGGAGGCCTCGCGTCCCAACATGAGGAGCGTGTGCTTGACGCGCCGTGTGAGCTCTTCACCAGCATCTTCCCCTTAAAGGAGTCCGTCTTTCATCCCTATTCAAGGAACTTTGAGTTATTTGTTGCAAAATTGATGGCCGGTGAGCTGGAATATTCGAACTTTGTTCACTTCATGTCCTTCTTCAAGCCCCCATGAACCTTTCACCAAACGCGAAGCTTCTGGTATCCTGCTTATCAATCGGCTCGATGAAGTGACAAGGTTTCACATATTACATCTAGACTCGAAAGACGGGCTCATCCACTTATTTCCCCACCTCAGCGATATCGCCGTCCTTGTTACATCGTCGATGGAGCGGTCGGATTTCACATATTGCACCCGGACTCGGACGACGGGTCGTGAGACCGTGTGTCAATCATATAGTTCTTTTACCGCTTTGGCGATGTCGCGTCCTTGTCACATCGTCGATGGTCGGTGTGGTTTTCCAGTTCTATTCGACAAGCCAAAGGAAGGGATAATACTTCGGGGTTAGTGTCACGAATTCCGTCAGTAGGGGAACGGGAAGTAGTACGGTGCGGGTGGGCGGGATTTGGACTCAGCTAGGTACCTGGGTAATTGAGGTACCGTGGAAGGGGGTACTGTTCGAGGGCACCTTGGAAGTGGTGGGTGACGAGTACTGCTGTCACTAATAGAACTGTCACCCAAGTCCGCGTATGTGTTACCTGATGGAATCTGGTTAAGCGCTAGGCTGGATCGTCTTAATGATCTTATCTACCATGTTCCGTCTAAGGGGATTCGCAGTGTGAGATAAATTGTAATCGTTGGATAACTCGGCGAAGAGATACCTTACAGGAATTGGAGATGTGAGATGAATTGTGATTAGTTGATATATTTGAATAGCCGAGTGTATTCTATACAGAGCATATCATACAAACTACCGTTTTCTTTCTTTCTTTCGTGATTTGATCATCCAAGACATGGGGCGACGAACCTCATTCTCATTTCCTCTCTTTACCACATAAATATACACATATCATAAGTTCTACAAGGCCTCGCCGACGATGTTCCCAATAGCACCGCCAATCTCGCCGAATAGAACTCCTTTAAAGATAGACTCGCCCATATCTTCCACCCAATGGCCCGTCTTCTTTAGTCTCTGCTTCCAAAGGTGTTGATCCTTGGGATCTAAATTCTCCCAAGACGTAGCGGGACCATGGGCTTCCTCATCGTGAACGCTGACGTGAAGGGGTGGTATTCCTTCAGTATTAGCATCTCCAGCCTCATCATGTCGAACTACGAGGGGCTGGCTATTTTGCGCATTAGCATCCGACAAGAGGTCCTTAATTGACTTCTCGCTGCCCACTGCGGGTACTTTTCGCAATGGCTTCGTCCATGAATTCGGGAGGTAGGGCCTGACGCCGAGTATAGGTTTGCCGATATCTTTCGCCTCGAGGAACGTCTGTCCGACAATGGCGAGAATGAGTATAATAATCGTTATAAGCGTGGCGACCGTAACCGGTGATTCGCCCTTCGATTTGAGCGCGACGACATAGCGCGATTGTCGCGGGGGCCCTCCTTTTCGTTCTGGAACTGACTTGTCAATTTGCTTCTTGAGTGGTATGCTGTGCACGACTGTGGTGAAACCAACGGCTACGCTGGCCAACTTGACGGAGAGCTCGGTGGTTTTGGATGAAGATTTAGGTGGCGTGAAGGTGGAGAATGAGAGCCCAGTTATGTTGGAGGGGTGTACGCCTTTGAGGACTTGGAATGGTGCTAGGTCGGCCAGAAGGTCTACGCTGGCGGCAGATTTATGTTCTAATGTGAAGAGCGATATTGATGAATCATTCCCTGCGACAGCGACGACGAATTGGGTTTCGCCTTGTTTATCTGTCGGGGACGAAGCCGGTGATAAATTCCTCACTGCAAGGCCAGTGGCCTTGGAGACGCCCTTGGGCAATTTCGCTTGAATCGCAAGTCGCGCATTCTCCTGTTCTTTCGCGGGGAGGCGATAACCATGCAGCGCGACACCTTGCGAATTGGGCTTGTTGACCACAGTGATCAGGAAACCCGGGGTAAGGTAGCGCAAAGATTTAAATGATGCCTTGGCTGTGGCGCCCTCATCTGGGGTAATTGTGTATACGCATTTCGGCTCCGAAATCTCGGTCTTGGAGACCTCGACGGTGAAGATCTCGTGGTCGTCGCAGTATGCTAATTGGTATGTGTCTGGACCCGTCTGAACGACGTCCAGGTCCATCGCTTCCTTGGGAATATCCAGCCTGCCCCTCGATTTCCACCGCCCGCCTCCTTGACATGGTACATCGAAGAGCGCAATCTCGGGATCCTTAGAGAGGCCCGTTGCGGCAGCGCCTAGTTGTGGGAGGTTTTCGTACGGGTGGGACAGTCGAAGTAGTCTCTGGTAGGCGCTGGCGTCCTTATGCACGAACAGCGCATCGCGCGCGACTTCGCAAATCCTTACACCGCTAGTCTTGGCCGTCTTACCGGGTTGGTTGATGCCGAAAATACGAAAATGGTCATTCTTCCCCTTCTTTATCTCCTCCGGGCTCGAGTTGACGCCGGCGAACACGGTGAGGTTTCGATCTTTTCGAGGGCCGATAGCAAGGGTCGTGACGTTGTCTTCGTTCGGGCTGAGTTCGAGTTCGGCTACTTCTGACAGCTCGGTTGGATTGGATGTGTCGAGAACAGTCTACGAAAAAATAAGCACCCCGGTTAGCCTGTTTAAGTACAGAGTAACAACATCGCAAATCTCTTGGGTTCCTTACAATTTTATTCCCCACTCCATTTCGTCCAGGACCGCCGCCTCCTGCGACGACGAGCTGGTTGGGATCTACCGGGTCGAAGGCGCATGAATATAGAGGGTAAGATAGAGTGATCTTCGTACTAGGGATTCGGTTCACCATTGTCGCAATTGGGTTTGATTGACTGGGATAGAAGGGAAAGGGAGGGTTCGTTAACTTGGTGGAGTGAACGACATATTAAATTGGCATTATTAATTGAGTGCAATCGCGTTGCAGGTTTTGTTAGATTAGAGGTTTACTTTCGTGTTGGATTCGATGACGAAAGTTAAAATTTCCTGGCTATGCTGGTCTGAAAGCAAGGCAAGGCAAGGGCGAGGCCACACATACATCTTCGCGTCGGAGAGTCGGCGGTTTAGTACCTACCTAGGTACCCAGCTACGTAGTAGGTACCTAGCTACCCTGTGTTTTAGGGGAGTGGAGAGTTACTCTTTAGCGGTAATGACCGCTATGCATATCCTAGCTGGAGCCCTGTTTAGGGAGAGCTCCAGCTATAACTGCAAACAAATGATCGCCACGTTTATCCCCTGTTAGCTGTCGACATTAAAGAAACCTTCTCACCTATCATAACTCAACCCTCCCGCGAACTTGTTTGTTCGCAATTGGGATCGTACTATTTATAACGTCCACTTGATACTTCATTTGATATGAGTGGCCAGTTCACCTGCAATGAATCCAATCAGTATCAAGTATAGATGCACCAATGGGCTCAACTGTACCTAGGTAGCTAACCTCACTAAACTCCCCGAAGCCATCGCCTCCCGACACTTATCGTCATAGCAGCTGCGCTAAATACCTTAGAGATCAACGGCATCAAGCGATCCTTAAACAGAACATGAGAGATTCTAACGTCACTAATAGGAGAGACAATCATGTTTCAAAACCGAATTTTACTAGCTTTTACACACTAATGGATACTCCCCAAGATACAAGTATTTGCTTGGTAGACACCTAGAGTATCTCACGCCTCACTAAGGGTGAAGTCATACTCTAGGTCCCACAGCGCCCTATCATCACCCTCCCTTTTTTTGAACTTCACCATCAATTCCTTCTTGACCGCAAACGCTACATCATCCGCGACACGTTTGTCCTCAACGTCAAACACTTGCGTGGTCAGAGTCCGATAGCCAGTCTTGCTGACTATGAAGTGAATGTGTGCGGGGCGGTACGGATGCCGATCAAGCAACTTCAATAGCCGCCCCGCGGGGCCATCCCCAGGAACTGGGTACGCCGTTGGACGGATACAATACAAGGCGTACCGGCCGTTGGCATCTGTGAGGAAGCGCCCGCGAAGATTCATATCAGGTGCTGAGGGGTCCTGCTGCTCATACAGCCCGTTTGGCCCCGCGAGCCAAATGTCCACCATGGCATCACGGAGCGGCTTCCCCGTTGTTGCGGATGTCACATGGCCAGATAAGTGTGCGAGTAAGTGCTCCGCTTGCTTGTACCAATCCGAGCCCGGTTCTGTGCGCAGGATGCTGCTGTCATTAGGCAAGATTGGGGCGTTGGCGCGGTAGAAAGGTCCCAGGATAGCCGATGGTGTGATAGCTTCCCCCGATTCGGACTCAGTGATGTTACTGTTGAGGAGCAGCTTGGATGTGATCTCGTCTACAAGAGATTCGAGACCTAGGATGTCGCATAGGAGACCCGTCTCATCGCGCCTATCGTTGGACATACGACCTGCCTCGTTTATCTAACATGACGTTAGGTTCTATATCACCTGCCTGAGCTCATGACGGCGAATAGGAGTTATGGCGGTAGGGTCATATAAGTCAACTCACTAACTCAATCCCTGCCATCCATTCCGCCACCGTCAAATTCACGTCCCGGGCAAAGCCATGCAGATGTCGCACCAGACTAGGCAGGATCTCCGCTAGGCGAGGGTGGGCATCTGGGCCAGTAGCGGCGATGACCTGTTCCGTAAGCTCAAGGTCGTATTCCGGCTTCCCCGTATTCCTGTTGATTTCAATCTCTTGCTTGATGAAGGCCATTGTGTGTGGTACGACTAATATCAAAAAGTATTATAGACTGCCTAGCGATATAAAGTACATAGGGAGTGAGATTTGGTTCGTAGGAACGCTTAGGTTATAAAATCATTGATGGGCCAGGACTCCGTGAGCGAGTACAACGCATGGTACAACGCACAGTTCGTACCTGGGCACATATTTGTCTATTCATGTTTCCTGATGCCTAAAGGGGCTTGCATCTGGATCGAGTTCCCTTGCGTACCTAATGGAAGATGCTCGACAAGGGTTCACGGAGGTAACACGGACTTGCTGGTTTGTGCTTAGTCGTACAGTATCTAAAAACAGGCATCTAGGTAGCAGCATGGGCGTTCAACATCCACAGACGTCTTTCCCCGGCAGCCTTCACGTCGCTGTGGCGCAGGTACCCGACACAAATCTGCGATGCAGAGTCCCTTTGAGGCCATTTTCGATCGGGAAAATCAGATCGATATCTCAGATAACCGCTAGCCCGGGCCAGCTTTAAATCGGTATTCTTATGAGGCGCGGCCGGGTGCGGCGGATATCTACCCGGGTACCTGATATTAAATTCGGGTCCAACGGCCTGGTATCAGGACGGCCCGTAATGACAGGCCACATATAGTTTTCCTTCTTCCACGGCAGGCCACCTAGATTCTACCGTTAGCGTGAGGTTGCCTACCTACAGATGCCGTTGTCTCACCGAAGCAAAATGAAATCCTGTCTTGTGCCGTTATTGTACACAAGTCCTTTGCCACCCTAGGCCAACTTCGACCGTGTGATCGTGCATCCTTTTTCTGGGTACAATATGTGTGGCGTTGCTGCGGGTTTACCGGCGCCTATCAGCCGTAATGCTGTAAGTAGAAGAGGCTTTCATAAGACATACTACATACATTAGCTGCACAAATACGCGTCTGTTCAACGATATACCTTGTCCAACGAGTCTCAGATCTTTGTGTCCCAAAGAAATAAACTGATCTACATTTTCCTAATTTTATTTGCAGTCTGCGCGTATCTGCCGGCTCGACGAGCCGTTCACTATGGAAACTTGCTCTGAATTGCTTATCCCCGAAGAAGGCACTTCCTAGTCAAGCCACTGTGTGCTAAAGGTTTCATATTATATATATATATATCTTCTACTTGGCTCCGCCTGGCCGTAGGGATCCGTCTAACTACCTCCTATATATACCCCCCCACGCCCCCAATAAACAATGAGTACCGGGATGTTGAAATAGCAGACGAGACGCCACATTTTCTACTCCTCTTTAGTATCGTTAGTATTTTCCATAATCCCCAGATCACTCGCATTTTCTACGGTGTCTTCAAAATCGCCATCTTCCACCACTTCTTCATCAATCTCTTCTGCCTCCGCCTCCGTAGTCTCCTCATCTGTAGTCCCACTACTTCCCCTCAATAAACCCCTTAAGTCCTCTTCATCGATAATACTTTCAATACTTCCCCTCCTAACCCCAGATAATGTTTCCCTTCTGCCTTTCTCGATCAATCGCTCGATCTTAAGCCTATTACCAATAAACTTCAATTTCGGGAACGCACTCTGCTGTCCCTCATGGATCATACGAGCCAATCGATCGGCATCGGGGTCCGCTAAGATGTTGAAAAAATCGCTTGTCTTGGCCTGTGGCCAAATCGTTATTGTCCCACTAAACTGCTGCAGCCACAGCTGCGACCAATCTTGGCCCAGTGGCCGCGGGAGTAGTTCCAAATGCTTTAGCACCTTAAGCCATTTTGTAAGGTCCAGCTTGATATACTGCTCAGTGGCAGAACCTAAGTAACCACCCCGCCATCCACGACCCTTTCGGTGTGTTACCGGAGAGCCTACTGTGCCCCTGGAGGAAAAAAAGAAAAGAGAAATATGAGGATTGACCTGACTAACGATCGTAAAGTTAACGTTAAAATGTAAGTTGAGCGCCTTAATGGGTATGTCAGTGCGCAAACTGCCATCCTTCCATTTGTGACCGAATGAATACGGCACCAACGATCCGTCCCGATTCTTCATCATGAGAACCACTGGGTTTTGTATCCCAGGAACTGCAGCAGACGCCAAGACTGCCGACCAGATCACACAATCTGGAGAGGTAAGGTAATTGCATAGTATAGTCGGCGAATGTGGATCAGCCGGAACGCAAGAAATGTTTAATATACGTCCCGTCCTCTGATAAGCTTCTCTAAATGTCATAGAGCCGCGAGACCACCAACTCGATTGGCGAGCCCAATCCACCGAGTCGAATCTCGCACCGGTCTTCCACCATCTAGGGAGCCATGTGCTGATCGGTTCGGAGCAAGCCTTAATCTTATGTGACAATGCGGGTATTAATAACTGCTTCAGCTCGTCGTTTGTCCGCGTTGCGACAAGAGATGCTACCAGAGCGCCACCACTAGTGCCGGTAATGACATCCGGTATTAAGTCCGCCTCGAGGCAGGCTTTCACTACGCCGAAATGATAGTATGCGAAAGAGGCTCCGCCCGATAGACACAACGCAGTACGTCCAAAGTTCGCGTGCATTCGCTTAAATAGTGCACGTTTCTCTTCGATGGGTATTAACCTGGTATTGACCAAGAAGCGAGTGCTTTTCTCCACTGTTAAGCAATATCATTAGCATCATGTCTTTCTCAACAGTTCCAGAACCAAATTCAACATACCTTCATCCACGAAATTCTGGACCAAATTCTTAGTCCCGTAGTACGTCTGGCTGTAGAGCCGTGGACTCTCAACACCAACGAAATTATTCTTCACACAAGCTTCGGTCAACGCCTTCAACTCTTCAACAACCTTTCGATTCTCAGTTTCACCCGACCCCTCTCCATTCTCATACCCAGGCGCACCAGCCCCTTTCGCCTCTAGAGCCTCCGCAGCCTTCCTATGTTTGCGAAGCTGATCCCAGACACGGCTAACGGTCTTAGAATCATAGTACGCGAACTCATTCTCCTCCTTCCACTGCTGATTCCCCAGAAACGCATCCATCTCCTTCGCCGCCTTGACCCAATCCCTATAACTACTCGTCGCACGCATATTCCGACGCAACGTCTCCCGTTTCCCTCTCCAAGCTATAAAATGCTCGTATAAGAAAATGTAAAGTCGAGTCCAGAGATACGAAGCGCCGAGCCCAAGTATCCACATCCCGACGAACAGGAGAAACGGCCACTTGAGCAACCCGTATAGATACCCTTCCCTTGTTTCATCGACGGTCCGTCGACCAAGCGCAGTCTTCTTCCGCCGTTTGCGTCGTCCGTGTTTCGATATCTTCTGGTTAACGGGTGCCCAGTCGTTTTGCGCTGTGATGAACATGCCACTTTGAGGTCCATTTTGTCCAGCCGCTCCTTCGGGAAAGCCTGTGGCGTCGACGGATGCTATAGATCCTGACCGCGTCAGTTCGAGACTGCCTGTACTTCTAGTAGCGGGACTTCGTAGTAGCGCTGTGTCTTCGGAGGGATTGTTTATTGGGTCGGGAGCGCTTAGGGCGGCCGCGAAGGCGGCGAGGTGTTCGGGAGGGAGAAATTCGCGGTCGTAGTCGGGTAGTTTCGTGTAATCGAAAGCTTCGGGTGGGAAACCGTAGTGGTGATGGCGCATACCGGTGAGGAAGGTCACCCGAGGTTTGTTGGTGGTGGAGGATTCGCCCGCCATGGTGGTATGGTTGGTCGCTCACTATCTGGCGATGAAAGTGCTAATGGACATGATGGTGAGGTATAATAGCTATACCTAGCTTGCGAGTAGAAAGGGGAATTGTAACCGAGGCAACGAGGAATTGTAAAATCACCTACATACAACAGAATCAAGTAACATGATGGTAAAATTGTCTCGTCAATTCTTTCGGCGCCAGACCGAAAAATACAAGAACGAGAAGTATGTACAAGTCTCTCTTGGGGGTGGAATGACTAAGTAGGATGACGTCGAGTTCTTTGCCGGCGTCACATTGAAATCGTACCTACCCTTGTCAATTCTGATTGGTCCAAACGTTTAAATATACCCTTGCTAGTCCATCTCAACAAAAGATTAGCGTAATGTATCTCAGTAAATCCCGACTCTCCGTGCAGAGGCAAGTACGGTGACATTCGGGTTCAATATCATGATATCTATTTCTAGAAGAATCTTAAAGAAGTCGTGGCTTCTAAGGGGCAACTTCTGAGTTAATCCCATCCCATTCCATTTAGGTTGCGCTATTGCACCCTATTAGAGTGATAACTTCTATAGGTAACCTTAATATAGATAGGTATTCATTAGACAAACTCAACCGAAGATCATAGAAAGACTAAGATATGCTATGTTATGTAATTGAAATGCTCCCCATTGTTCATTAGATATGCAAAAAAGATCCATGAAACCATCAAGCTCTTAAAAGTATTCGGTTTTTATGTTAAGAAGTAACAATGCTCTCAATTCATTATTGCGATTTGGCAAATGCCTCTAGCCATTGACTCCAAAGAACTATCCCGGAAAACATCGAAATCTCGGTATGGTTATAGTAAGCTGTTAAAGAACTCCGTTGTTTCCCAGACGGCCATCGCATCGTTTCGTTTTGCATGCTCATGCCCATTCTGTGTATTGCGACGACGCCTTCTCTTCCCCTCAATTATTTTTCTAGACGTATTGGGAGAGCCATCTTATACCCTCACCGTATCCTATATGATGTTAGTTCTACTCCTTATGAAGTATTCATCCAAATTGTAAGATGCCCAACGAACCTTGTCTCATAACTACGGAGCACATAAAGACCTCAATGGGTCGAATTCCCTCCAATGGAACCTTGCCCTTGCCAGTTGTCTGGTATAGACCTAATTCGTGACGGAGCTGGTCCTCGGATACGGCGTCGGGGTGGTCAATCTTGTTTCCGAGGATAACAAAAGGTACCTTAGCAAGCTCCTCCATCGACAAAAGGGCGTCGAGTTCGGCTTTCGACTCGGACAGACGGTCGTGGTCTTTGGCATCGACGAGGAAAACGATTCCGTTTACTTCCGGGAAGTAATCCTTCCATAGTCGACGAGCTACACGACGTTAACATATAGGCCGATATCTCGCACAGCGATCACAGATTCGGTATGCATACCCTGCTGGTGACCACCCAAGTCAAAAGTAGTGAATCGAACATTGCCAATAGCGAGCTCCTCCGATGCTAGATAATGTTAGTATACCGACACGTGCGCCTTGCTATTGTATGCGACATACTAGGATGTAGAGTGGGCTGTAGGATGGCAACTCGGTCATTCTATAACAAATCATCGTCAGCAATCTTATTCCTACAATCATCGATGAAGTATAGTAGCCCTCGAAGCTCGCATGGTATGTTGTGATAAACATCGATATGGGATGGCGGGGACCATGGAATTGCCCACGCACCTTTAACATGTGTAGTAGAGTCGTCTTTCCAGCGTTATCGAGGCCTAGGAACAATAGCTTCGCATGCTTGTTCATCAAACCAAGCGATGAAAGGACATCGTAAACTACAAGACCCAGGGGGGTCAACAACGTCAGCAACTTGTCACATGGTATCGAGGCCGAGGAATCAAAGATAGAAACTAACACCACTGAACAATCCACATATTGATGGTCTTAATTGACTCCGAATAGACGATATGGTCGAACTTCGCAAGGCGGTATAGCGCACGCTTAAGTTGGGTGGTGGTGGTAGTAAACTTGTCTTCGTAAGTTGTTCACAGAGAAATGGTGGATGAGGATGATAGGCAAATGATATATAGTCCGACGCCGTCTCTCCCAAGAAAAATGCTAATAAGGTTAAGGACAACTTTGGGGACACCAGGTAGGAGCGAAGCCACATGTAATTTAGCCACATATGGCTTGAATCACAGTACCAAACTTGCGGGTATTCTATGTACCTAAGTATGTGGTACGTGCACTCTATCCGTTTATAACTCATATCTCCGATTTTCAACAAGATCATGTTCTGACAACAACATCTGATCATCGTCAGAATAACACGAGGCGAATCTAATAACGACTAAATCACATTTCACATCTACATAAATGCATAGACACATGTTTATGTATGTACACTCACTTTAACAACGGTTGACTTAGTAAAGGGAATAAGTCATCACAGAATATCCGTCATACTGAGAGGCAACGCGCCCAAAATCTGCAACGGATTCTTCCTGGGAAGATTCGGATTTCGGCGTCTCTTCACCATTCTATTGTCGCACGTCAGGTAGAGCTGCATACAACATGCATGGAGAAGTGCGATTCAGATTTCACTGCTGTAGATGGCCATATGCATGTATCATGAATGTATCATATAATCACAAAGCGACTGTTTCTCTTCCCGAGACAGATCTCATAATTGTAAAGTCATACACATATATCAACAAATATGTTCAATTTCAAAGTATATCACCGGATCGCCGCCCCATGCTGATTTGCCTGTTCCCAAGTGGTATCGTGAATGATCAATGCTGCCCGCCCAATGCCGTAAAATGGGGAAGTATGCATTCTCCTATGAGAAGAACATCGCGCCAAAGTCCATGAGAGCGATAGAAAAAAACAAAATAAAAGTAGAATCTTATGTACAGTAGCAGACTGGCCAATTGAAATGTTGCCGAGCCTACCATTCAAAATAAAATAAATGCAATGAAGGACAATGAACATTGAGTTCAGTCGTATGTAGTAGGAGCCGTAGAGCAAAGCCTCCATCTAAATGGACAGGACGAATTGGTCCGGGCCTAACTTTCCAGCCATCAGAAGTCCGATTTCTCGCATCCTTTCTGCTCCTTGGCCAGGCTGTGGCCGTTTCTCGGTGACCTGGCCTTTCCGCGCCTTGTTTGTATGCTTCTGGAGGTACTTCTCCTTAAATTTCTCCTTTCGACGCTGGCGCTTCTGCTCGAGACCCTTGACGATATCGATGGCACCACGTACATGACGATTCGAAGGTACATTGGAAGGCTTTCCTGGTCGGCGATGAGTCTTCAGATGTTGCGGGAACATTGCCGGCGCACGTGGCAGTGACTTTGTATGCGTCAAACCAGGCCGGAAAGCAAGGCTCTTGAACTCGTGCTCTCCACGTTTTGCGTCAAGAACTAGGGAAGAGGGTGGTGATCGTACTACTGGCCTCGGGAGTGGCGAGGCGAATCGACGAGGTGATTGCCTATCAAACAGACGCTTGGGCGACCGACCTCGAGCCTTTGGAGGTGAGTGATGACGTTTAGGGGGAGGGGAATGATATCGTTTTGGGGAGGTGTTGCCAGTCCTCTTCTTTCGACGTCCAACACCATTCTCCCTGTCGTATAGTAGATCGTCAGACAAATCATCATCGCTCTCGTGAGTATGGTCCGGCTCGTCATCCTCATCATCTTCTGGCTCAGAGGTAGGGAAACTAGGGTCAATGTCTTGAGGGATTGGGTGAAGCTTTTCTCGTCGTCTAGCGGCGATGCACGAGATATAAGCATCTTCCAGCGCACGGTCCTCATCCAAGGTACCACAAACGAAGTCGGTGCTGTCGGGTAGTTCAGGAGTGCCAGGACGCATCTTGATGCGTCGAGGCATTACCTTGGTGAGGGTATTGGGCATTTCAGAAGAGGAAGATGAATCAGACCGGTTACCATTGACGGATGGTCGACGGTAAATGGGTGTGCTCCCTGAGAATTGAAGAACCGGGCCACGGCTAGGTGTCCATAATTCTAGATTTCCGCCATCCTCATCGTCATCAGAATCCGCAAAGCCGATTTCATTATCGGTATTGTAACCATCTGAAAAATCGTCGTCAGACCCGTAGCCCGATTGATTGTCGATATCGTAACCATCCTCTGCTTCGTCTTCCTCTGCGATGTCGTCTGGGCGATCAACCTCATCGTCGTCGTCCTCTTCTTCTTCTTCCTCCTCCTCGAGCTCCTCTTCCTCTTCAAGTTCTTCTTCTTCCGCCTCCTTTCCTAGCCGTCGAATCTCATTTTCCTTCTGAAGAGTATCATTGATAGTCAATCTACGACCAGGTGCAGGCTGGTTAAGACGAATCCAATCTTCCTCTTGTGGCTCATCACTGGCGAATTCGTGAAAACGAGAGCATTCGCTATTCAAGTCGCTTGAGTTTGCAGCCAAATACTTGGCCGAACGAACCGCAATTGGGCTTCGAGCCGAGGGTCGTGGGGTCAACGATCTTTGCGATCGACCACGACCAGCTGAAGATGATCGGAGTTTGCGCACAGTGGCAGGGGATCCGTCTCTTTCCTTCACCGATTCTTTAGCAGGTGTATCCACTGTCTGCTGAGCATCGGCCTGCGGCGGCATCCGCTGCACGGGTTTCGCAGGGCAAGCAAATTTTATGCACGATTTTCTCTGCGGCTTCTCCTCGGCTGCTGGCTTACTTTCAACTGGCCGTGGCGGAGACACCGATTTCTTCGTATCAGCTTTCGGCCCGCATGCAAATGATATGCAGCGCTTCTTGGTCAAAGCTTCCAATGTAGGGTCACTTGTCTCTTCGTGGATTCCCATTGGCTCCTGTAATCGGGCCACTGGGGGAATTTGTTGGTTATCGTGAAGTGGAGCAAATAGCGGTTTTGTGTCGAGGAAGTAATCCGGGTTCAGCCGGGCGAGTGATATTACAGGTGGTGGTGGGCTAGGTGTGTTTGTGCGTGCGGGGCTTGTAAAGCCAGTATCGCTGGTAAGGTCGGCCGTTGATGCGAGGCTGACGCTGCTATTCATAGATCGGCGTCTCTGAGTGGTATGGAAGGTCAAATTAATTGTCTCTTCCTCCGAGTGATGAAGTGCCTTCGTTAGCAGAGATTCGGAATGATCTGCTACTTTTCGAATTGCACTCCTCTTGAATTGGTTTCCAGATTGATCTAAGTGATTATTATCGGGGGGTTCGTCGACCTCGGCCGCAGCCTCGTCTTCCAGCGCATGCTGCATGTGCTCCCCTTGCGCAGGCAGGGCCAGCACATTCGCATTGGGCGAATCGTGTATCGGATCGTTCGTCATACTGACTGCGATAGTCACTACGCATTTAAATACGTGTATGGTAACTTCGCTGTTCAATTTCGTCTAGGGGTACAAAATGTACAGAGACGTCTATAAGGCCCCCCAAGCACGCGTTCTAATCCTCCCAATAACGCGCTACCTCAATTCCTCAATATATCGATATTGAAAGTAGGAAATGTGACAAGAGCAAGCAAGCAAGATATGTTTAAGATATTGGTTTCTGTAATAGAAGAAAGTTTTGGCGGCTACACGAAGTGCAAGCCTAATCCCCAACAAGGAGATGTTGTGGTATTGTCCCTAGGGACCGTTTCGCTATAATTGTCGACCCATGGTGTCGCGAACAACGTTCATAAAAAGGATTTGCCGGTGGATTTAAGAATTCGGTTTGAAGGTTCGTGCTCCTAGCGAAGCCAAGAGGTAATAAGATTCGGTAGTCGGCAACGAAATGGTCTGAGGTGGCGGCTATGGTGGTTGTGCAAAGTTGAGAGATTATTCTGACTGCGAAGGTGGTAGTGGTAAAACAAAACAATAAAGTGAGTCGTCAGCTGTAAGGGAAGAGTACAAGTAAAAAGAGTAATACTCTCGAGTAAGTACCGTGGAGAGAGAAATTGCTCAGTAGGACACGGAGGCTTAAGGGTCTTGGTAATTCTTGGCCCTAACTAAAATATGACGTCGGGGCGATGCCGTGGCCAAAGAAATATAGAAATAGATTCTAGTTGAATGAAGTACCCGGATCTATTTCGCAAACGTCCAAGAACCAGCGAGTCCCGGTCCTGAACCCTTAGGTTTAAGGGAATAGGACGCAACGACAACGGCTTGACGTGACTTTGACTGACTGGACTGTCTAAGAGAAACGATCAAAAGGCCAAAACGCCGAAGAAGGAAGTGGGAGAAGAAGGCGATAGAAATGGGAAACGAAAATTAGAGGGAATCGGGAATGGGAGAGAGGGGCCGCCTATGAGAAGCGAACCAAACGCTACGGGATCTGGTTCTACGTTCTTGATGGTTTGTTTGCATGTGGATACTTCTAGGATCGAATAGAACTAGTCTCCTAGCCAAACCTACCTAGCCAGCCTAGCACCGTACCAGCTAGCCTAGCAGCCCTAGGTCAATTGGTGGTAAAAGATTTGATCATCGCAACGCTGGAGCGGTGGGAAGGAAACAGTGAGTGAGAGAAATAAAAGGCGAGTGGGAAACAAGCGGTATGAGTGAACTTTGACTGGGCAAGTTCCGGCTTAGCGTGTATGCTAGATGCTAAGTACTACATGCTACTTTTTGCTGGGTCGCTAGGTGGGTGTTACCGTACCTGCCACTTGCTTAGTTTCTTTATACTATTGTTAAGTTCCAAGTCAAAGTTAGGACTATCCGGCGCCAGGTACCGGTACACCGTACAATAGTTCAATAACTTAACACTGTAAGACACCTAGGTACTTACATATGTCCCTGTAATTGATGATTGATGATTGCCCAGGTCCTGGCGGCGGATAATGAAGGCTTGGAATCTTGGCTCCAGCTTCTTACGTTCTTACGTGGGTTGAGAATTAGAATTAGAGCGGAGACCGTGCACTCGCGCCCTGCACCTTTGTTCCCTCGAAAATGTCGAATGTTCCTTGTCCCGTTCTTGGTTTCTTAGTTTATTGTTCGCCTTTCTGTCCGAGTTAGGTACTTCATAAGTGCTTTTTTTATCGACACAACAACGCAGCGCATTGCATCGTAGCAAGCATCAGCAGCCACTCATCACCGAGAAACCCCCGGCCAAAGAGCACGCCTCGTTTCGTTGTTCGTACTTAAATATTAGGTACTTACGCCTACAGATCACAGATCCAGTCACTACTGATGTACCTATTTGCCCTAAATAATACGCAATACGGCAAGCTTACGAGCATCGCACTCACACCACATTACCGCATTACAGCAACATACAGTGCATGTAGGCATGTAAGCATACATGTCACCAGCATGCGTATAATGTATCTCCGTATATGCACTGCAGGTATCTCATGTCTCATGTCTCATGTAATACATATGTATGTACTAGCTGTGTATGTAAGTAAATATTGTACCTGAACCTATAAATAATTCGTTCCATTCGATTCATTGTGCGAATAGATAAATAAATTGAATGGATTGATGAAAACTCCATATAAACTAACGCCGGATGAGTACTCTCTTGCTTCCTAAATGTTCACAGTGGTATTATTTTTCCCAGGACAATGGGAATCCCAGTGGGAATCAAAAGCCGATTTCGCTTTTCTCATATATCATTTATTGTTTATCTGCATTGCGACAACGGCTTAAGCAGCGTGGGTGGTGCTACAGGGGCCGAGGCCGCTCTGCGAAGATGTCCGGGCGCATCTGGACCTGCAAGTAATTTCTCAATTTATTTTCTTTTTTTGTTAAGGCTGTACAATGATCGATGGGCTCGATGGGCTGAAAATCAATGGGATCCGCATGTTGTGCTTAATCTTGAAGCTTATGAGTCACTTTTCGAACTAGGCAACTCTAAATTTTTAATAAAATTTTTTTTTCTTTCATGTCTTTCTCCTGAAATAATTTCGCGCATCAAGTCGCTTCCATTCCACGGTAAGATATGTATCTCGGCTACGTACATGCAGTCCACCTAGCTAATCTAGAGCCGCTGAGCCGTTGCAAATTTCTTCTTCTTTTCTGCAAGCCAAAGAAAAACTTTTTTCGCTTCATTACCGATGGATTGTTGGGAGATAACATCATCTACTTAGCGACTTAGGTGGGTTGCTTACAGTGCCCGTAGCAAAGCGCTGAGGGCATCCATCAAATCCATCGTAGACTTCTGTCTCCCTCGGTGAGTTAATTACCGAATTCTTACAGCAGCATCTTCTTTTTCCAAATCACTTTCTAGTGTGCTAGAAGGCTCTTCAAATCAAGATTCAAATGCAGATGAGAGGACCCGGATGCGACCATACATTTTGGATCATGTCGTCTTACCCACCACCACCATTATTATTATTATCATCATGACCAACTTTCGCCAATTCCGAAAGTTGTGTAATGATACTCTTAGCACCCAACTGGTTGTCTGACTATCATAAAAGTATGCGGGAACTATGTACCTGCAAACTCAAATCCCCAATTATATCGTACCTATGCATGTTGAAATGTTAAAGGTTAAAGTCGGTCGGACAGGCGGTGAACTCTCTTCGCCATCTTACAAACTTAAGTTCTTAAGGTTTTAAAGTCTGGCCTGGATTGTTTGACCAAAGTAACGAACCCCTTGGTCGAACGTAGCACATAAACATGAGGTGTTCCCCTAACCATGAACCTACCAGCCTACCCGCCTACCTACCTAGGTACTGACTAAAAGAGGTGAGGACAGCCGGTGTTCGTCAAGCCATCATGGCGCAACAACGCAAAAAGGAGAATTGCTGTACAGTATAACACAGTACAGAGTATACCTGATCCGTTCCCCCGGCACTATTCTGCTATATGATTCGCTGATTACGGAATCGACACATAGTATAACCCTCCTGCAGCATGACATTTGGGTCTGTTACGCAGCACCCTGCAGGCTGCAGAGCACCACCCAGTTCGGACCACGGGCGGGTACTCGGGATAATAAAAGCATATCGTCAGTAGCATGTGGATTTCCTCACTCGGCTGGATATGTAACTCTACCATTCACACCCTAATGCTCTCTGACATCAGAAGGAGGTGAGGTGAAAGGTCATTAGATTTCGCCCTACCTATTATGTGTCTTTCTTGCGATTTTTTTGAAAATAGTAATGAAGGGCGCAACTCACGTAGAACACGTGTTGAATTTGCGCTGCTGGGACATGTGAGATTTGGGATACTTAGCTGACATGACGGGGAGTGGCAATCCTTGCGTATGTTTCTTCCAATCCCATCGGCGCCCGCCTATTAGATGGATTCTTGCTGGAGCATCCATACGGCGAATGAAGGCGGACGCGACCCCAACGACCCCCCCTTTTGAGGAGGCAAGGAGGTTGATTTTCTTTGGGCACATGGTATGGGGCGCGCTCTTCATCGGCTTGAAGGCTAGAGGGGTAGGGGTAGGTAACCTGACTGTGCCTTACGTACACCATTCCCAGTCGCATTCTTCCGTGTTAGCTAATAAGCTGAGCATCGCCCGTCTCTCCACCATTTTCTTGTCTATCGTTGCTATTATGGCTTTGGTTCCTTTGGTGATCAAACCAGCGGTGCGGAATGCTTGGTCGGTATTCCTACTTGTGATCGTAGGAACCCTAGCCCTCTTGACTACAGCTGCCACGCATATCAGCCTACGGTAAGAGATGCCGGGAATTCCCTTCCTCTGACACTCTTTCTCACCTAGCCTACCACGTTTGGATCTTCGTAGTAGCGTGTTCAAGTAGCTTGTTAGCTTCGAGCACCCCGCATTCTTACACAACTGTTCACCAAGAACTGCTATGCTATTACTTTACTGTTACTATAAGCGCGGTACCAGCGCGTGGTGAAAAATACTAAACCCAGCTCGGCCAATTCTCCGGAAACGTTGATCCCATAAACACCATAAACACCCCATTACAAAGGAGCGGAGCGGGCATTGGCAGGGTCCAAATCCCTGCCAGCATGTGCCCCCCTCACTCGTGATGTCTCGACCATGTAGGTATGTATGTACGACATTCGCCTGGAGGATTCATCAGGGTCTATTCCGTCTTGCCGTTTGGATGTCGTCGTCCAACCAGTGGCATGTTGACATGTTCGGAATATCCTCCCCTTACCTATTTAGTGATATTTCTTGGGGGTTGGTATCACAAGCGGACTGAGACTATGATGCAATGCTTTAGATCTGCATTGAATTACGAAGGCGCTTCGATGGTCTCTATTTTAACAGATCTGCTGCCCATTGGTGCGCTACCACCTTTCCAACACACAAGACCCCAAAGGTTACACTTGATTGTATTTAGGTAAGGTTTAAGGTCTTTGTTGGCGTAGGAATTCATATGTAATTTTGCAGCACAATACAGATGGGCACTGACGCATGACTCGGTGGTCCTGGTCTTGGCAGGGCAAAGTTCACCCTAACGGGAGCACTACCCTCAAGGCTCAAGCCGTCTTTCTTATGACAGTTTGTGTTACTCTGGCTTGCTTCTAAGACGCACCGAGGCAATTGTCTTAATATGATAGTTTATGTGGCTTTTTTTTTTTTTTTTTGTTACATACCGAGACAATTATTCGGAGCGTCCCATTCAATAACTCAACTTTAGAAACTCTGGGTTTCACGTAGTCAAAAAGAACAAATCAATTGACAGTAGCATCAATTTCATTACGTTTGTGCACCGACAAGACTGTAAGGGCGAATACGTGTAATATTCCGAATAGAGAGGTAAGATTCGATGTCGACGTTTTTGAAAGCGCTAAGAAAAGTATTGGATGTGGCTAAGATTAGATCCTTCGGAACGAAACGAAGGATTTGGTTACTAAGGTTGGTGCTTGCATCACGTGAGTTTATGGTGTGTGAACCTGAAAATTCAGGAATGAAAATATAAATTTGAGAGCCACAAATCACGTGTAGCCGCTATACCCAATAAGGTTAAGCTCCTTTTTCTACTGAAAGCCTGACATCTTCCAAATTGATGTTGAAGTCAACGTTTATCGTGAGCTTGCTCTGTCGCATATCCTTCAATTGACAGCATCAGTCATCATGAACACTCTCCGTGTCGCCCGCGTAGCCCTTAGGGCCCGTCCCGCTACTATGCGGCTACCTATTAAACCCCTTCAGCGAAGGACATATGCCGATGCCGCACCCGACAAGGTTTGTCTTTTCAGCATCGTCTTGGTGCCGTATCTAGTTGCTAACTTTTACCTCAGATCAAGCTGAGCTTGTCTCTTCCCCACCAGGTACGACAATTAACCTTGCAGTTACCTGTTATCTTCATGATACTCTTCACCGAAAGCGCAACCTCCTATTTGGCGCATACGCTGCGACGAAACCCGAGTATCCAGCTAGCTAATTCCCGCAATAGTCCATCTACAAGTCCCAAGACGTTGTCCAAGTCAATATCCCCGCCGAGTCAGGAGAAATGGGTGTCCTAGCCAACCACGTTCCGTCGATCGAGCAATTGAAGCCGGGTCTAATTGAGGTTGTTGAGGAGGCCGGCACCAGCAAGCAATTCTTCCGTACGTAGCCAGCAGGATACAATATGAGGTGGGATAAAATGCTAAGACTCAGGTCAATTATAGTTTCCGGTGGCTTCGCCGTTGTCCAGCCAAACTCGGTTCTAAGCATCAACGCTGTTGAGGGTTACCCCCTTGAGGACTTCAGCGCAGAAGCTGTCAAGTCCCAGATTGCTGAGGCACAAAAGGTTGCGAACGGCGGCGGCAGTGAGCAGGACATCGCGGAGGCAAAGATCGAATTAGAGGTATTGCAATTACATGTTTATTCATATTTTCATATGGAACTATCACTAACATATTCATAGGTTTTGGAAAGTCTACAAGCAGTTCTCAAATAGATGGTGCATTAGAGAAAAGGGGAGAACCGCAACGGCAACTTGTACATCACAGAACTTGTTCCTTACTATAAAGAACCACCTAATAGCATGACCTGAATTGAGCATGCTTAGGATATACTAACCAGTGCCTTCCATCTGTATATCGTCACTCATATGTGTGCTTTCTTGACTTCAAATCGCAGCTTCCTTACTTTCCCCTATAGGAAGCAAGGTTAAACCTTACCCTCATTCTATCTAATTTGATCCAACTCATACTAACAGACAATTCGAATAAGCTTCTTCTCATCTGGCTTCAAAATATATTCAATATCAATTATCGTATCATTGTCACAGTCCAACGGCGGCCTTCGTGCAACACTACTAGCAAATTCGGGGTCTATTTTTCTACTATAAATATGTCAACCTATTCATGGGACAATCCTCCAACAAATGCGTCTCTTATTTACGAACCAACTCCGTCAGCTCAAGAAGTCATCCCAAAAGGGACCGTCTCGTCGCGAATACGTCGGCTCCATCGTCTAACCCATTCTCATCATGGAACCCCGGAAGATGCCGAACTTATAGCCCGAGAACGACAATATGTATCAGTTGGTTAGGGGCGACACTCGGGTTCATATTTCAACAATGCTAGGCCATGGCTCACCCCCATCGGATATTCACGTACTGGATCAGAAGATGGGCGGGATGCACATCATCGGGGGTATGGCTTTGCCTCCAGTTCTTCCAATTTAATTACGAACCCTCTAGGAGCTGCGAAGCTTCGTCAACAGCATCGACATAATTATTCGGAGGGCCTACTCGAATGGCCAAGGTATGGCACAACAAGCTCCGTTACTGTTCCGTATACCTCAACACTTGAAGATATTACTTCGGGTTCAATATCTACCCGCTCTTCACCGCTGATTGCCCCCTTAAAGACGGCCGAGAATATTCCAATAATATCAAATACCCCGGGCATATCAACAGTTTCGCGAACATCATCTCGAGCTACGGAGGCTACTCAACGAAAGATTGCACGCGAAGTATTTGAGCAGCATGGCATTAGGAGGCCATCTGGTTGGTTTTCTGATGAAGACCTGTCTCTTTCAGGCGATAGAACTGCCAGCCCCCGAAGATTCTGCAGGATCTGTCATGTCTGTTCTGCACGGACTTGGTCGCAAACTCATTGCTCATCTTGCAAGCATCATTTGTGTGAGAAATGTCTCTGTGAGGTGCCTAAAAGTACCGAAAAGAGGCATAGTGATTTTGTGCATCGCTCAGACCACGCTATAGAGTTAGATAAGGCACGGCCGGCTCATCCAGCCCCCTCGACTTCATATTCAATGCGAAGCATCCAAGAAGAATCGCGATCGCCCAGCATCATTAGCAATACCCAGGGCCTGTCTACCCAATTAGTGGAACAAAGTCCTTCTGCCGTTCTAGAAGTTACAACAGAACCGACCTTCGCGACTCGTACTTCCGGAAAACCAGCAGCTCAGCAATATCCGCATTGCTTAGGATCTTCTCAACGTATAGACGATCCAGATTACGAGGCCTGCGATGCCCAAGCGGAATGTGATAATCCCATGTGCAGGGCAACGCACGACGGGCATTATCCCTATCGTCATAGCATCGCATGTGCCCTACACCGAAGTGAAGAGGCTGACGAAGGCGTATCGCGACCGTTAGACGAAACAGTTCATCGACATTACCCGGCGAGCTTCCACGATTACCATATTATAGAACGTGTCACCAGTACAGTTAGCCATGGATCTCATCGTATACACGCCGGCTATGAGGGGAATCCAATCACTGAGACCAGAACTTCTGCCTTGTCGTACAGGCCACCCGAAGAATTGAGAGCACAGTGTTCTGGGCATTTTGGCCATCTGATTTCAGTGGATCCGTTGACGCGAGTTGATCCTTCCCACTATACCCAGGAAGTGGCACCTCCTGATTACTCCCAATATGACAAGCATTGCCCACCAAGTAGAGATATTATACATAGTCGAGCAGAAGTATCCCGGGGAGCACATCAATTCGGAGATAAAAGTAACGTCGGCACACCAAGCCGGGGCATCCGTCCCGCCAAATCAAACGAGAATTTTATACACGAGGAGAGCGAGAAGAGGCATAGTCACCACAAGCACTCACGTAGAGGCTACTCGATTCCGGGTCAGAGTCGAAAATCTGCTACTGGATTGAACCACAATTCCCGTAACAGTCGGAGGCACGATAATAGCTATGATACTATGGTTAATGTTTCTCTGAGCAGGGGCAGGACTGTAGACAAGGAGCCTAGTCCATCCATCACGAAAGGCATTGCAAATGATCCACGGACCAAGGGACCTGTACCCAAAGGTTACTTACTAAGTCCACCACCATGGTTAAAAAGGCCGAGTAAAGAAGCAGGCGATGCGAGATCTATACTACGCCCTGTCGGCTGCGAGAACCATAGACATACACCAAAACACCACACGACGAGTCCGAAGGGGAAGGAGGTGGAGCGCACAGAAATCCCACCACAAAATACCGGGTTCTTGAGGGAGTCGTTCGGCAAGCTAACCAATTCGAGCCACGACTTGCTGCGGATATCGGCTCCTTCACCACAGACTGCTCTACATGTCACGCAGCATCAGAGGCCAGAGTCCTAGCAGGATCGCTCATCTGAACATGTACAATCCAGAGCAAGCCGACGGTTATCTATTCAAACAATTGACACAACAACATCCAACCCACTTCGCAAGGACACGCCAATGCCAAGCCAGCGGGTATCCCCTTACCCAATAAGTTCCGCAGCACACCTTCACCCGGAAAATATCAAAGAGTCACAAAGTGCATTCCTTAGCCCGTCATCCACTCGTTCGGTCGTCCCCTGCTCACACCAAAATCCCGAAACTCCTGGCCATACCTACGACACCACAAGCAGCCAGTCCTGGGATAAAAGTAAACGCTCGGAAACCCATATAATACGCGAGGCAAAACAATCCCAATCAAGTTCCACGAGTATTTTAACCCAGTTACCTCTACAGTTACGGAAAGTCTTACTCAACATTAACGAAGGCGCCACATCCGAAAACCGCAGTCCAGTGCAAGAGTCTCAGAGCCAGGGACATACTCCTGGTGAAGCTTCATGCTTCGAAATACATCATCCGAACCCTATCTCACCTCCAAATCACGAATGTGATTGGAAAGATCGATATTCGGCATTAGCGGCTGAAATTCGCCTATTGAAAGCAGAGCTATCCACTAGGGTTTCTCTCGGGGGGGCAGATATCGAACAAGCTGTTGATAATGCAACTAATGAAGATGACGACCTAGGGATCCAGGGGGTGACGATTATCCTGCACATGAAGGGGAAGGACGACTTGGTTATCAATACCGACCTAACGGAGGATGTAGAATGAAATAGTACATTGAGCTGGGGTGTTGGGTGAAGAGAAGGGGATTAAGATCGGAGGACGAGTGTACTATTCTCATGAGCTAAAATATGCTTACTATAGCATAGAAGAGACCATTCAGTAGCTTCTAGGCTTCATTATTACATTAATAGGTATTTAACATTCAACAAATTCTCAATGATGTCTTGATGTTTATCGTGACATCCGAAACATAGTTGAACTATTGACATGTCTCGGTCAAGGTGAATATTTGCTTTTATCGGTGAGTCTGTTCATGTGGGTTTAAGATGGTTTAGTGTCTCGCCGACAAGTTTCATTTGGTAAATATACGCTTAGGAAATCAAAGCTCACGTCTCGCAAGGCGTTTGGTATACGTGCCACGACGAAAAATGTCATTTATTGCGCCAAGTTGGCCAGACTACGCCACTCAAACCCCGGCGCGAATGTTATCAGTAAAAGGAACGAGATACCGCGATATTGACCGTGCGTCGGATACAGAGCGGGATTTGCGATGGTACTATCCGCTGGCATAGATCGCGATGGAATCAAGAAGTTTTCTGTGGTAGTTACTTCGGGATTTGATAATAGAGTGTCACAGAATCCTCTATATACTCAAGTGCTGTTTTGTGAATTCGCCTCTCTTCTGTGTCTCGGTTGATAGATATTTAGTGTTTCAGAAGAGGTAATGGCCATACAATCGATACCTCTAATAATCCTACGTTGGTACTTACGAAGTAAGCTTTCGGGATAATTCTAGCGTAGGGCTGATTATTACGACTCTATGTCATCTGGCTAAATTAGGTAATTGTTATAATTATCGTCGATATGTAGCAATTGTTTTTTTATATTAGCTTCTATCTAGTAGCTCTAGACGGAGCTCCCTAACGACGGGCCAACATATATTGTTATCCGAGCTAGAGATGTGGGATACAAGTATAGGGTCTAAATAGGCGGTGGGACGATGAGGTATAGTGTATGGTCTGTAACAGTTGGGCTGAAATCGAGATGGATGATTTTTCGTTGCCTGGTACTGAAGTATATGACGGTGGTTAGACCCACACTCGAATGGATATGAAACCGCGACAAAACCTGTAGTACACATATATGGGGCAGGCTGATCCAGTCATGACATCGTAACACGAAGCGCTTGCAATAAACTTGCCGTGGCTAGTTCTCCCTCTCATAGTTCGATCCGCGATGGAATATGGTCCCGCAATCTTGTACACGTTGGCATTGTCATCACATGAGTTACCTTTGTGGTCCGTAAAGGTCTCCGCAGCCTCGGTGACGGAGGGACTTGTTGGTGCAGAACAAACCGTCGGGGTGCCACCATTGTCAAGGTGGGCGTCGATTCCCTCGTTTTTTTCTGACACCATGCATACCGCTACCATTCAGGAGGGCGTTTAGATTATGCGAGTTGCCGTTTTCTGCTTATTGTGCTGTCATATGATAGGTGAGCTCAAGTATATAGCTTGGTGAAACCTGCTTGGACCTTATGTCCGCCATAGAGCACGCAAATTGACGCCGAAGTTTGAAGGTCAGTGGCGAGCATACGTTCTAGAAAGTAAATGGTACATTAAATCTGCTTTTCAGTTCCAACAACATTTGGAGCCTGATCGGAGCAGGTGGCTGCGATAGAATCTTACAAGTAGGGTGCCACAGAGACAGACGGTCGTCTCAGCAGCCATACCGAAGTCGGGGTTTACCAATTCCGAAGCAATGGTCTTGATCGATCGGACGCAAAGCATAGGCATATAGGTAGTTACCTGCATGGAATTGCGTAGAAAGCTAGGTTTGGTCGCATCGTCGGTCTGGATGCTCCGATTTTTGGAGTCGCGGCCCTTGACTTTTATACTTTCAAGGTACTTAGGTATTCGTCCAAGCAGTAGAGTTGCGAGGTCGTCGTCGGATATGGGCAGGATTTACGTTATAGTTAACTTCTTATTGTAGGACAAGTAAGTAATTCGAAAAATGCAAGGCGGGAGATCGGCCGTTGATAATGCCAAGCCGACGTCCACGAGCAATAAGCTTTGCCAAGACCCATTCCATCGGAAGGAAGCAAACAATTCTTCGGGTCCTTGGCGACGCTTGTCTACGAAGATCGCGGGGTATCTTGTCGGACTTGAAATAGGTGAGATCTGCTTGCCATGCCTTTTTTTTTCCGTCGTTGTTTTATATGTAGTATCTTTCATACTATATCTCTTTTTCTTCTTTATCGTCACTAGCCGTCGTATATACTTATATATGTATATATGCAAGTCGTATCATATCATATCCTTCCAATCAAGGAGAAGCCGTCCTAGGGGTCGTTTTTTTCGTTACGCAGTACTACCCTCCGTACTATTTCCCCCATCATTTCGGCTGAACAACCTACATATGTATCCCCTTGTATTAGGTACTGTCGCGCGGGCACGCAATAAAAAAACCAATTGATGTGGCTTTATCTGATCGGTCCAAGTGACTCGGGTGAAGCCCATCGCATTCTAAAGCTTCCACCAACAAGGATCGTTCCAACCTACTCCGTCCGTGGATGTTTCTGCCTATGCGGTATGCGGGCACGCACTTTGGATATTGGCTGTGCCCGTGGAACGTTGACCACGGCAATTGCTTCGGAGGACGTCATGTTTCTTGAATTTGTCTGAGTTCTTTCCGGGAACTGCCGGGAGTGTTGCACTACTCTCCGATTACTACGACGCCAATGTCATCCGAAGAAGAATATTACTACCTACTACCTCGCCTGTAGGTATTTCGTAGTGTAATGTAGTGTGGTGTATATACTGGTATGTATACGTAGAGAGACCATCTCGAGCATACATGTATCTATTAATATGTTGTTTTAGTTGTGTCAATCATTCATGGCTGGCTGATCATGAAGATGCTTTATTTGTGGGATAAACCTAATGCAAAGCTAAATGGAATTAGTGAATGTACATATGTACATATGTACGTAAGTACTTGCACCAGCACCAATTGATAGTACATCATGTACCGTATTGTCCGGATCTACCTCTCTACACCACTAACACAACACATTGTACATCCCATACCACACTAAGATGCAACTACCCAAATAGTGTAGTGGGTTACACAGCGTATTTGTCTTTCCATTTCGTCCCTTTTGGCCATTTCCTCCTCCTTCATTAGGTAATTTCTTGTGGCCCACACTCCTAAACACCTTCTGAGACGGCACGCTCTTAAGGGAGGTTTAAACTCCCCACTAGCTTCTGTAGGTACTAATGTATTAATTGAATCGTATCGGGCAGCCACCCAATCCAATCCTAACCCCGGCAAGTAGCCACCCATCTCGAATTTCTTTCCCCACTTTGGCCAGGGCCAGGGATTCTTTGCAGATGGAAAGTCAGTGAGTTTGAAGCAAGCGAAGTCTGACTAGTCGCTTTCTTTTCCCACCCGACGAACCGTGTTGGCTTCCCATCTCCCCGTTTCTTTTCCACCCTAAGAACTTCTCGGCGCCCAGACATTAACTCGAACCCTCAAGATAACCTTACATACATACTGAATACCCATCCCCGCCAACATCTTCAACTAAGTTAGAGAAACGTCATTTACCATTGCTTAATTCGACATCCAAGGGGGAATTGTAATTGACGGTTGGTGGAGAAGAAAAGGTTGATTGGGAAAAACGATTGTGTTGTTGTAGCGCGACGAACTGTCATCTCGGAGCAAACGGCTTTATAACGCATCTAATTCTACACGTCCTCGATCGACCGATAAATTCCACCGTTGCACGTAATACTCGACCGAATCGAAACGGCGTAACACGAAAAATAACTGAATTATTCTAGCCCCTTTGTAGGCTATTCTCGTTCCATGGCGAACGCCTCGCGATAGCATCCTAAGTGCCCGAACGTCGCCGCCCTGCGACTGGCTGCTTATCCGTCTCTTTGGGATGGCTTTGCCTCACGTCTGGCAGGCTAGGGCGGCTGCCAACCCAACTTTGACTGCTGATGCTGCTTGTACCCCCTACGCTTTGCCATCGAATGGCGTATTGGAACTTCCAGGAGCCGACCCGACGACCTTGACGGCCGAAGCTGTCTATATGCCCCTGTGCACGGCCACCGCCGTTGTCCAACCCGCTATTATTGCGAACGGAGCCTTTGACGTGGACGACACATCATCCGCCTCTAATCCCCAATTCTCCGACTTTCGCGATCCCTTTTATGCTTCGATATTTCCACAATGTTATGTTTTGGCTGCTACAACGGTTCTGGCTTATTTACTACTTATTATGCTTGTAATTGCGCCTCGATCCTTTCTTGACGGCGGAGTCGTCGTTTTGGGTCGGCGTGGATTTACAAACGGCCCTTCGAACGGCATTAGTATTGGCGGTCGTCCATGGCTACAGAAAGTTGCAGCTTTAACTGTTGCTATCTCACTAAGCATTGCCACGGCGGATACGTTTCGCGTCGCCGAAGAACAATACGCGTTTGGGATTCAGAACGGGCCGCAGCTTCAGGATGAGGTATTAGGTGGAACCCAGCTGAAAGTTATTCAACTTATCTCCGATACTTTCCTCTGGTTGGCTCAAGCCCAGACACTCATACGATTGTTTCCTCGGCAGCGGGAAAAAGTCATCATAAAATGGACGGCTTTCTCGCTTATTACATTGGATGTCATCTTTGGTGCCCTCAACAGCTTCCGTTACACAAAGCAGGGCAACACCAGGCCGCGTAGCTTTACGGACGCGGTGCCAGCATTAAGCTACCTTTTCCAACTATCCCTCGGTTTGCTATATGCTGCGTGGGTGCTCTACTACTCTCTTATGAAGAAGCGGTATGCTTTTTATCATCCCTTGATGAAAAATATCTGCTTAATGGCGACTCTTTCCATTATATCGATTCTCGTCCCGGTGATATTCTTCGTCCTCGATATCGCAAAACCTGAGTTGACTGGTTGGGGTGATTATGTTAGGTGGGTTGGTGCAGCAGCAGCGAGTGTTGTGGTATGGGAATGGGTTGAACGCATCGAAGCTCTGGAACGTGAAGAGAAGAAAGACGGAGTGCTTGGAAGAGAGGTTTTCGATGGCGACGAAATGATGGAGATATTTCCAACGGATCTTTCATGGGGGAGCCGACGACGGAAGAACAAGAGAAAAAGCGAGGAGGAAGATGACGACGAGGGAGAGAGTGGCAACAGCTCGTCATTTGGCGGGCGAAGCAACATGTGGCCTGCTATGTCATCTATTGCGACGCGCTGTAGATCGAAACCGGAAAGTAGTCCCGACAGAAGGCAGCAACCACCTTTGACAAGCAGGCCAACAGGAATACTTCTTCAGCCTCCGTTATGGCCTTCTCGGCCGCCCCCAGCAGTTACACCAGTAAGCAGAACTGACACTGCAAGTGCTGATAGCACCCTTTACGCGGTTCGATATCAGCCTCTTACGGAGACAACCACGAGAACCACGGACGATAGAAATGGCCGACCATTGTCTAGAAGCAACAGTGCTACCTCTTCAGCATCAAGCCCAACATCAGAAAGCAATGGACAGGCAGGGAGCCCTACTACATCTCGGCACCCTTCATCGGCGCCGTTGCCGGAGAAGAAGGTATATGAGGAAGGAAATTCGAATCGTTGGCATTATTTGAATCCATTCCATCGTACTGCTAGGGAACCTCCCGCCGAGGTTCTTCCACATACAGTACAAAAGCTGCCCAAGCAGCGGCGCGATTACGAAAACGTTGGTAGATGGGATGTTAGAGGACGCATAGAAATCTTTGCCGCCGCGCAGGCGGAGAGAGTTCTAGAGCGGATCCGGCCAACTCCTGACACGGATAGCCTACCAGTTACTGTCATACCTGCCCCCCCTCGCCGTGGCGCTGCACTAGCCCAGTTACTAGAAGAAGAGGAATTGCAGATTCAACCCCAGGGTCAACCAACCATATCAAGTTCTACGCCGTCGACATACACCCCAAGAAATCCGAACTCTGGACCAATGTCGCCATCGCGCCATGTGGCTAGGAACGGTAGCACGGCATCAACCGCACCTAGGTCCAACCCAAGCTCGACAGATAGAAGCGATACGTTTGCTCGTAGACAATCTAGCACGCGGGGCGGTAGTTCGTTGACAACCTCGACTGAACGGGGCGGGGGCCAACGAGAAAGACAAGCTGGGGGGAGGCGTCCGGTGGATGATATTTTACAGGATGGACACTATCCGAACTCATCACCGGTCTAGAATACTCCCGACCTTGTCTATTCAATCTTCGTGCTCTAACGGCAGCGTGGCGCTTCGGGCTGTTTTTTCCGGGGTTTAATGGAATTTCATGGTAGCATTGTATGGCGCACGGTTAACAAAAGGGAAATAACATACTGAGTTTCCCTGCTTCTTCAACAAGGGTGATTGGAACGACGAATCATGATGTATTCACGTCAATAGAGGCCATCAAACAATATGTTTGGCAGGCGGTTACAGCTACTGTATATATAGGAGCATTTTGGGACATTTTCATCACTGAGATTCAGTGATTGACAGCATATACGGCGCATTGGGGTTGAGGGGATGAAGGACTTGGATATTGAGCCTTCATCCCAAAAGTTATCTACGTTGGAATGGACCTAGGTGACATAAATACCAGGCCGATCATGACATCTACGTTACAAATACCTAGATAGGCCGTTAGTTAAGCAGCGCCTCCTAATTGGATAGGGGGCCGTCAAATAAGAGAAGATTAACTAAACACAGATTGGTCTTTCATTCTGAGTAAATTAATTATGAGTGGTTGTTCATTCCGTGAGTAAGCTACGCGACAATCCAACACAATAGAATATAAATTAACCAATTAGAGGACGGCTTAGGATTACCATTTGCTATTTGCGGTAAATGTTATAAGCCAAGTTGGCCAATTACACCTGAAGGTTTCTAACATGAGTACCGTGTATTCTTCCTTCCCGCAGCCTTGGGAATAACTTATGACTTTGAAGGATTGAGAATGAATGGAAGAGTGGTGTAATGAACATGTGCGTAGTAAGAATTGGAGGCACGTGCCTCTTGAGTTTCCAACGCAGTTTCAGGGATTTGCGTACCTCGGCGGGTTTGTGCGACAAATACGCTTGAGCAATGCCGTAGGATTACGGGTTTGGAGCTCGAAGATTAGTTACACGAACGCAATGCTTACTTGCATATATTTGTGAATAATATACTTAGGCAGACTCGAGGAAAAAAAAATATGTGATCATTGCCGCGGTTGAGTTTGTATCGAACAATTTGAACAATTAGAAGAAGAAAAGGGGCTTAAAGCATAAGGCCATATGCAGCTAGTCATGAGGAAGAGCCGGAAGAGATCCATATCTTGGCATACAAACAACCAATGAGAAGGGAGAAAATTCTGAGTTGGACCCCAGGACTAATTAAAGTTAGAAGGGTGCTAGGTGCTAGGACTGCGGGCGAAATCATATGCCAGCGAAAAAGGATCCAACTAAAAAGTTTTATTGTTATAGGTACCTAGTATTACTTAGTACGCTATTTTATTGCTCATCTTAGCTTCTTATAGGCACTGTATTAACCTCTAGGTACCCATAAGTACCTACTTAACGGGGTTAATACAGGCTTATCAATGCTTAATCTGCCCTATCAAATCTTGTTCGACCACCACCGCAACTTTTACTCCTCTCTTTTCCTCCCTATCCTTTTTTCAAACCTTCAATTATTTTTCAAGATCCTGCGCCTATCAATTCTTCGATCCCTGGATTGCTTCCACTCCTTCAGCATTCCTGGGATTGTTTCTAGGTTCCTAGGCTAGGCCTGGTTTGTTGTACTTAGGGATTGGTATCGATCCCAGTTTCGTCTGACCTCAGATCTATCTATCTACCTTTTATCTCCCTATCTGTCTTACCTCGTTGTTCCGCCTTCTCGCGTAATTTTTTTTGCGATAGGATCGAATCGAGTCCGCCATCATGGCGCCAAACGAGCCTTTCCCGATTCTTAATACCTCGGCCGATCAATTGCACTCGGGAGGTGGTCAAGATAATGCGCGTCGACGTAGGAAGTCGAGTGGACTGGGCGCCGACATTAGGGTGGGCGATACGGGCGCACCCAGCCTACAATCGAGCCTTGCCAGTTTACAAGCAAACAATGCCACGTCGCAGGCAGCAACTTCGGACAATAAGGAAGTTTCTAAGAAGGGTTCGAAGCGTCGTAAAGCACGCTCGCTCTTACGCCGATGCAAACACTATGCTATCAAACATACCTGGGCTCTGCCCCTGGTTCTTTTGACCCTCTTCCTGACCCTCTTCGCCATCAACCCGACTGAGTCGAACCCTATCCACCACTTCATTTTCCTCTCCTACAAGCTCCCCCTCGAAGCGGGCGCCGATCCCGAAACACCCGCTCAGTATGGCAAGGGGCCATGGGATTTTGCTTTGGTCACTTTCTACACCATTGTGCTCTCCTTTACGCGTGAGTTCATCATGCAGGAACTCCTTCGACCTCTTGCTAGATATGCTGGTTTGAAGTCGCGCAACAAGCAAGCTCGCTTCATGGAACAGATGTACACCGCCATTTATTTCGCTTTCCTCGGACCGGCCGGTATGTACGTGATGAGCCGTACCCCCGTTTGGTATTTCAACACTAGCGGCATGTATGAGAATTTCCCTCACAAGACCCACGAGGCCGCATTCAAGTTCTACTATCTGTTCCAAGCCGCCTACTGGGCCCAGCAGGCCATCGTGCTCTTGCTTGGCATGGAGAAGCCTCGAAAGGATTTCAAGGAACTGGTTGGACATCATATCGTCAGTTTGGTACTCATTGGGCTCAGCTACCGTTTCCACTTCACATATATGGGTCTAGCGGTCTACATCACTCATGATATCAGTGATTTCTTCCTTGCCGTAAGTGACCGTTATGGCGTAACATTTCAACGAATAATGTCTCGTGCTGATAACTATCTTAATAGACCTCGAAAACCCTCAACTATATCGACCATCCTCTCGTTGGACCGTACTTCTTCATTTTCATGTGCGCTTGGATCTACCTTCGCCACTTCCTCAACCTTCGCATTCTCTATTCGCTATTCACCGAATTCAGAACAGTTGGACCTTATGAACTGAACTGGGAGACTGGTCAATACAAGTGCGATCTGTCATTCTACATTACCTTAGGTCTTCTTTCGTCGCTACAGGCTCTCAACTTGTTCTGGCTTTTCTTCATTGTAAGAATTGCCTACCGCTTTGTTGTGTACCAAACGGCGGAAGATGACCGATCCGAGGCTGAAGAATCCGAGCTTGAGGAATTAGAACGCGAGAAGGCGGCTAAGGCGGAATTACTCAAGGAAAAGAGCATCGAAGCCACTCCATTGCTCAATGGTAACGGCGATGCAAATGGTAACTCGAACGGCATTCTTAAGGGTCGCCCAAACGGGGCGGCTTCGTCGTCTTCGAAAAAGAAGTCAGTTCGATAGAAGACTACTGACAAACCATTTTTCACGTTTCACGACATTCGCTTGTAAAAAATTTCCAACCTTTTTTTGCTGCTTAGAGGGCTAGCATGTACAATATGAAACTTCAAAGATTCAGCATACATGAGGAGCATAGACGAGACCATTGGCATCCATGGGAAATGGTCAACAATTTCTCTACAAGAACAATCGCCAATATGGTTCGACTGCTTCGCTACAATCATCATGGACACAGGCGTTCAGAGGACGGGTTAGCATCCCAAGCCATTCGCTCGCATATTATGGAAACGGCGCTCATAGGGGTTGTTCAGTCGTTTGGGTATGAAACCTGGAGATGAAAAGCAAGGGACGTGTTGATCCGAATGGGATTAGATGACCTTACGCTGGTGTGGTCTGGTTGATGCTCATCCAACACTCTTGGGCTTGCTCTGGATGTTGGAGAGCCTACGAGATCGGATCATAGATGGCGGGGAGTGGTGGGGTTTTTGGTCAACGACGATTACAGCATGACGAGAAAAGAAGAGAAGATAAGAGCAACGACATGTTCTTTCGCTTCCCCGTACGATAGTTACCATCCACCTTTACATAATACTTAATGACAGATGGGATGAGCCTTTTGTAAAAGTTCATCCCATCTAATCCACCCTACTTACTGAGATACTTAACTTGACCCCTTCAGGCCATGCTTATGTGCTAAGACACAACCTACTAATAACGATATGCCATAGCGCCCCCCTTTGCGCCACGTATGACGTCTTTAGGAGCCTCAACTTGCTCATCAACACTTCAGGAAGGGAAACCGCGAATAAGGCTAGAGTCGGTCGATATAAGCTTAACTTAAGCACAAAAAAACGTGACAGAAACGTGATATAGAACGTGATATCGCAGACGACATCTCCACGTGGAAGTCGCGTGACTATCCTCACGACTGATGGACGGCTGCTGATGCATACCGAAAGGTTAGAAGAGGTTTCGTCTTCTTCGAAGTGGGGGGCATACATAGTAGTGCTTAACATAGCATGATGATGGAGGGTGGTCAAAGAGAGATAATGAACGTAGCAAGCATTCATATAACTGAGATACATACACACCTAGCTTATATCTTATATACTCTCGGCACATGGCATCTATCCCATCGGAACCCCTTGCGCACGAGACCCAGAACTGTCACAGCGGGATAAGACGACGCAAGACGGGTATATGTTGAGCCATGCTTACATCTAATTTAGGAACCGCGGGTAAGTTACGCAACTCGATCCCACCTCACCTTTCCATACCTACCATACCTACCCTACCTCGCCTTCACCTTCACCTTTTTTCCTTTTTTACCTCGTCGTCACCTTCTCTTCCCCGGCCGCATGCACATTCTCCTTCCGTAGTCTCTTCTATGTACCTGTCTATGTATGTAGTACACCGCGTCCCGTCCCTTGTCTTGGTCTTGTCTATCACTCTACCCTGCCCTGTCTTCCCTTTATTCTCCAACGATCCCCCATACCCTTACCCTTATCCTTACCCGCCACCCCTGACTATTGTACCCTACGTACATATAATCCATACAAAACATACACGTATGTACGTATATATGTAATGTACTCCATAAGCAAGAAGCAAGCAACGTTGCAAAGCCTCTCTCTATTTTAACCCCCCGGTCAAGGAAACATAAAAAAACCGAAATAAACGAAAATCATCCATTCCAGGAATCCTCAAAGAACGGATTGAAGAGGAGTAGTGGTAGCAGTAGTAACGAGCGAAAGGATGGATGGGTAAAGAAAAAAAAAAGTTTCTGTCGCAGCTGCAGGTACGCACACGCATCAATACACACCTACATTACGCACGCACTCACGACTACCTGTCATTCCTACCCCCCCGGCCCCTTGCTAAATACCAGGTACCCAGTCGAAAATGCAACGAACACGGGACGGGAATTAACCCTCCAAAAAAGGCACAACACATCATCAAGAAAAATTTCCAGAACAAAATTTAAGGGTTCGAGTTTATATTAGCCATGATGGCAGATCGGGAACGCTTGCCGTGTATGATAGAGACAAGACTAAGATGGTGAGCCTCATCAATTGATTGCTTGCCGCCGGGGAATGGAGAAATTTCCAAATTCCAACGTTGCAACGTCATCAAAATTTTGCCACGGAGCCTAAGTATGTATAGGAATGAACCATCAGCCTCACTTGTGATAACCCTTGAAACATCAAGTCACCAGACTCCAAAATCATTAGCGATAACGGAATCGACCAAACGAAACAAGAAGGACGTCTCGTTGTAACCAATAGTAAGGGTTTATCAATATTAACAGTCGGTCCATTTTGTGGAGGAGCAAAGCCACCTATGGGATCTAGTCATTTGCAAATACACACATCCACCCCTTGCCGCATGCCGCAAAATCTCATCAACTCATCACGCCTGCTCGCCTGCTGATAATGCTGCCTTGTCATCGTCTCATTATGGTGGTACTATCGCCCACCGTTCAAAAAGCTATAGCAATCTCCGACTGACTGAACCGGACCAAAAAAAAGATGCGTAAAAAAAGTAGTAGAAAAAGAAAATAGTAGCCATCATCCATACCTCCCCCTCCTGGCATTGGTTTGTTTCCGTTCCGTCCGTTCCTGTTCCATTCCCGCCTTTGCCGGAACTTTTCATGTATTTGTGTTTGAAGGCCATGACTGATCGTTTTTTCTTGTTGCAACCAACGACGGTAAATTAAATAAGACAGAACAACATAAGTCTTTTGGTATCGTTGCGAAGAATCGTGAGAACCGGAAATGCAAAGCCGCCTAGAGCCTCCGTTATGGAGGGGTCTTTTTCTGTATATACCACCAACCAACGCCGTCTGTAATGCAATGCCCGGTAGCCCGGGGCGTATGTGTGTTGTGAGAGAAGTTCATTAGCAATAAAAACTATATATCGCGGAATCAAGGAGTATGGACATGAATCGAGCCCAAAAAGGTCAGTGGACATTAGGATTAGTGGGTCGATCGAGGGGATCCTTCAACCGGACTTAGAGACTCAAACTGGGAGCCGGGTCGACCAGGAGTAACCGACTCGTCAGACGAGCTGCTAGAATCGTCGTTACCGTTGGAATGCTCATTTCGGTTGTGATGGTCACCCGAAGGGGAAGGGATATTAGCCTTTCGTAAAAGCTTCTCGGCCTTACGGGTTGCATTACGCGCATCCTCGGCTGCCTTTTCGGCTTTTGCTTGACGATTCCACATAGATGCGTATCGGCCATTCTGTTCGAGTAATTTCTCGTGAGTTCCCTTCTCGACTATGGTTCCTTGGTGAAGAACAAGGATCTGGTCTGCATGGGTTATTGTTGAAAGACGGTGCCTAAAAGGGATCAGTTAAATCGGTCGTTACAACGCCGTACGCATATGAAAGAAAAACTTACGCAATGATAAGCAATGTGCGGCCACGACCAATGGTGGCGAGTCGGGACTGGATCTGTTGCTCCGTGTGGCTGTCAAGTGCCGAAGTTGCCTCATCTAACATGATTATCTTCGGGTTCTTGAGTAGCGTTCGCGCGATTGCGACTCTCTGCTTCTCACCGCCGCTCAAGCGTAGACCACGCTCGCCAACCTTAGTCAAGTAGCCGTCAGGGAAAGACATGATCCTGTCGTGAATACTAGCAGCCTGACATGCGGCGATAATATCCTCATCCGTCGCATTCTGGTTGGCATATCTCAGATTATACAAAAGGGTATCGTTAAACAGGACTGTATCCTGAGGCACTACACCTATGTAGCGTCGAACAGAATCGATAGTCACATCCTTGATATCGCGACCATCAATCTTGATGTTACCCTCTTGGCAGTTGAAATAGCGGTACATCAATCGGAAGAGGGTCGACTTGCCACCACCCGACTCACCAACTAGGGCTGTCGTTGTACCAGGCTCACATGTAAAGGTAAGATTTCTCAGTGCAGGTTTTCTCTTATCGTATGCGAATTTGACCTTAGAAAATTCGACACGACCATCACACGAGGTAACATTGAGAGCTCCGGGGCGGTCAACAACTGTGGGGCGCTGCTTGAAGAGTTCCAAGAGACGCTCCCCGGAAATCATAGCTTGCTGGACGGTACGATAGAAAGTGCCGAAGAAATTGAGTGGACCCTGCAACTGGCCTAGGTATGTCATCAAGGTGACAAAATCTCCCACCTTTCGGTTACCCATTGTGACCTGGTACGCACCGAGCATCATGGCCACTAGCATCCCTATCATGAAGACCAACGATTGGCAGATGTTCATGGTGCTTATGCTCCACGTGACTCTGGCCTCGGCAACTTGGAAATTCTGTATAGCCTCCCTGTACCGGTTGAATTCGAAATCCTCGGCATTGAAGTACTTGACCGTCTCGTACGAGATAATGGAGTCGTTCTTGACAGCCTCTTCTTCCCTGTCTGCATTGGACATTGCTCGTCTTTGATCCGCTGTCTTGGATGCCATTCTGATTGTCAAAAACAAATAATAGAATGTGATTGAACATACTATGACCGCATACACAGCATCGAATCTGACGTAGAAGTAGCTGATAGCCACAAACAAGTCAATGAGCATAGGGAAAACTTGGAAGGTGACCTGCTCGAGAAAAGCGTTGACTGAGGAGCCCTTGTTAAGGGCAGACAAGACCTCTCCGGTCCTCTTGCCTAGGTGGAAATCGAGACTCAAAGAATGCACGTGTTCAAAGGCCGACGTGGTGAGAGCTCGGTATGTGTGCTGGGAGACAGGGATCCACAGCAGAGACCTAAGTGATCCTAAAAGTCCCGACGGCCCCTGCAGTAGCTTATACAGAATGAGGAGCCCTAGCGAGACCCAAGGCATCATACGCGCCTCGCCTTCCTCAAGATCGTCCCCGGAGAGTTGGTTCGTGACAATACCGATCTGGTAAGGTACCATGATGTTCACCCATCGCTGGAGAGCTAGAAGTAGAAAGCAAATCACGACAATGACTTGTAAGCGCAATTGCTTATTGGGCCACATGTACGGGAAAAACACGGAATAACCACGGAGATACTCGAACCAGGTAGTGTGAGGTAGCTTTTCTGGCCGGTAGAATCCTGCATCCTCATCTACCATGGGGTGGCTCGAATCGGCAGAGCCATTGGCGTTACCATTGGCGGTGCCGTTCAGGCCTGGATGGGAGGAATGACCATTTGCATGGTAGCCGTTCAACCCGCCATTGAGTAGCGGGGTGGATTCGTCGGCTTCGTAGTCGTATTCTTCTCCCTGCTCATACTTTTCTAGATCGGCCCGTCTTCGCAAAAGGACAATTGTAGAATAGACTACGATCATGCCGGTTAAGGTAGCGATTCTCGCCACGTCGAGACCGAGGTCGATGATGTCCCATTTGTTCAGCTCATCAACAATCACATACTTATCGCGATTGAGATTAGTCATGACCTTGTGAGGACGAGACAGTACGATAGCATCGCAAACAAAGATGATTATTTCACCACAAAGCGCAAAGCTCCAGGTAAGAATGTGGACCAGACTTGGGCTACTTTTCCAATCGAACATAGTCAAGGTCAAATAGACATAAAGAAAGGCCGATCCAAGAACAAAGACCTAGATTTGTTTAAATGATTAGTCAATTGCATACGAAAATGAAGTTAGAATGTGATTTTGGGGTTGAATTGCTTACGGTCTTGGGTTCGCCGCACCACCACCCATGTTCACCGTCCGCGCTCCTGTGGATCAGAGCTCGAGCAGCAATTGCGGCACCAGCACCAAGAAATGTCAACGTCGCTAAAATCATGGAATATTGGAAAAATCTCCGAGCGTGGGGAGTAAACTCGTCCGGCTCCGGTGTATCATCGTCGGATCTTCGTCTCTTAGTAACAGGCAGTGGCTTGCCGCCGGGACCTCGAACTGTAGGGATTACAACATCCTCTTTTCGCATAGCGTTGTAAACCGAATGTGTCGCGCCGATGACGATAAAGGCCAGCAGCAATAGATCCGGGTAGAGGTACTGAGTAACGTCTCGCACCCTCTCCGCCGGGGAGTCGGGAGGGCTGATGATGACTTCCGCCATCTTGGTCTGTGAAACGTGCAAATCAGCATATAGATATCCACGGGCTTCATAAGAGCTTGTGCAAATGTGCAAATGTGCAAATGTGCAATTGGCAATTGGCAGTGTCAATGGCAATGGGACAACGGGATAATGTAATGGACAATGGGACGAAAGGCATTGCACTGCATGCTGCAGGGCGCGCTTGACGTACATATTAGTGACAGCAGTACTCGTACTGGGTCATTGCCGCAGCTGCACGAGATCACGACCCCCCAATTGCTTCAAGCAGCAAGAGCCTGGGACTGCCTGACTGCGATGCTTTGCTTTGGTCTACTACCGGCGACAGTGATTTCAAGAAATCAACAAGGAAAATGAAGGTCAAGGACAAGGTCAAGTGTTCTATGCTCGGCTCAAGTTAGTGGAATCCCGAGTCCATGTTCTGGTGGGGCTGGTCACCAGACGGTGTTAGTGGCGAAAGCCACACTCTGGAGCAGACTGACTCGAGACTAGCGTACCTAAAAGGTAAAACAAGGGACTCCCTCTTTCTTATTTTCCTTCTTCTTCTTTTCTCACTCTCACTCTCACTCTCCCTCTTCTCTCAATGTGTGTTTGTATGCCTATGTGCGGTAAGGCCTAACCCTGTTCCCGTTCTTATGAGCGAGCAGCAGGTGATGAGGCACTGCTCGGTCTAGCCAGGATCGGCGCCAGGGGGGATGAATATAGATAGACAGGTGGAAGTTATGTATAAGTATAAGGTATAGGTGTGTATGTATGTATGTACGTATGTAGCTTGCTGGCTGGCAGCAGCAGCAGCGGGGTCCCTTTGATGCCAGGCTTATTAGGCTCTGCGTAGTGTGAACAGATAGACTTAAGCTGTCTGTCTTGTCTATCTTAGAGACGGGTATGGTACAACGAAGTGGGTAACTCTATATGCTATGACGGGGGTGAGAGAGGGGGGGGGGGACTTTAGGGCGGTGTATGTGAAAAAATAACAATTTTTTCTTGTCTTTGCAAACGAGCGTATATTTAATGAATAAGATAAAATAAGTTGGTTAAAGGAGGTGTTGTTGTAATAGAAAAAAGTCGGAGAAACTCTACTGTTGTATGTAGAGTGTCGCACAAAAAAAATCGACGAAGGAAGTCTGAGGTATGGAAAATGTAAAAGTAGACAAGGTATCCGAATAGGTGGGCAGGGTAGCAACAGGTACAGAAAAAGGTGGAATGTGCCTGTCTTTGATTTCTTTTCCCAAAAATTTCAGATCAGGTAACCCGAACCCAGGGTAATAGATCCTTGTAACGATAGACCGGTAGAGACTGGAAGTGGTATTGCAATAATAATAGTAGTAATAGTGGTAATGGTAGCAGAAGTAGAACTAGCCAGCATGGGCCGGCTAGTGCTGGTCTGTTTCGAAATAAGACGGTGCTGGCCCGCCGTAGACGACAACAACAAGATGGACAATGGAATTAGAGGAGGGCGGGGGAAACGGCGCGTATGAAATCTAAGCGTATGTATGTACGTATGTACGTAGTTCACTCGTGTCGTGAGAATGGGGATATCGAAGAAAGATACAGAAGATACAACAGCAAGCAACAAGGACAAAGGTTGGTTTGTTGGAATAAAAAAAGGTGGTGTGAACAGGATAGGAATGATGGTGGGAGATAGAACGGTAGACGGGCTTCTAGACCCGAGCTGCTCGACGCACGCTGATGGGGAAGGTTGAAGAGGACAATGATGAGCTGTCGGTAGTCGCGCGGTGGGAGTCGCCGGTACGGGAAGTGATGGAGGATTTTTAGTTGTAATTGTGACCTAACCTAGGAGTATCTGGGAAGTTCTTTCCAGGTTCCGTTCGTGTAAGTCGAGGTACCAGGTACGAATCCGATACCAGACTGCTCTAGGGCGTCTAGGGCTGCTAGGGCTGTCTAGCGGGCAATAGAGCTGTCCTGGGCACAAAGTAACTGTTAGGGGGCCGATGGAAACAACTAACACATGCGTGCGTCGACATAAAACTGGACCGGAAAGGAACAATGAAAAACAATAGGGGAATTAAACGCAAGCCATGAGAGCCCAAAATCTTTCCCCCTAGCTTACAACACCAATATCGAATAGGGATATGTGGTTTGTCAGAGAGGCTTACACAAAAGAGCCAAACGGCTTGTAGCCTTTCTCACCGCCTTGCATCTAGCTTTTAGTTCTGGTACTCCTGGCGAGGTTCGAGGGTTGTGATTGAGGCACGTCTGCATGCATGAAAGTCTTGGGTTCTTGTTAATTCGAACAGGGGTTGGTTGGTGCGGGCGGTACTCTAGACGGCTCTTGGCCTAGCCTAATAAATAAATAAAATAATAAAAGCTGTTCCTTGATGGTGGGCTCTCTGAGCTTTCTCTTCAAGGAAGAAAAAAAAAAAAAAAAAAAAAAAGAGGTGTGGTGGGGTAAATTCTCGTGCTGGTAGTTACTCGTGTGGTGGTCCGTGTGTCGGCGTACGTATTTGTGTACCCTCCGCGTGCGCGTGCGTGTGCTGTGGCTGTGGACTCTGTGGATGGAGGGGAAGAGCAGCGGACAGGGTAGGTATTATAAACTTGTGGTTGTACAAGACCATAACATGAACTCCAGACAGGCAGGAACTTTTAGTTGACACAACCACCCCCCGAATCTCTGGTAAAGGGAAATGGCGTTCCAGATAGATACCTCGCCTGTCCTGTGGGAGATGATGATAATAGCCTTTTTGACAATTGTAACCTTGTGTGAGCCGACGGACCATGGACCAGAGTGGATAAGGGAAGATGGGACGATCGCTAATATATAGATTAGCAACGCGTCACTAGGTTATAGGAGAGCTTAAAAGCTTTCTATACCCATCCATTAAGTGATTTAGTGTGCTTCGTGACGAGCTTCATTGTTTCCTTCAGTGTAACTGTCACAAATCCTCGAGCAGCCGCAACTTATCCCAAAATTAATCATTAGGCCAGGCATGCCCAAGTACATATGTACTCTTGTACTCCTTTGCGTACATAACCTTGTGTTACGTCCATATAGGTGAGGCAGGAGGGTGAGGAGTAGCTACATGTACGTAGCGATGTAGCTACTTAGCTACCTCCGACCATGTACGTACCACCTCGATGTATGTATGTTTGACAGAGTAATACCTATAGGGCAAGTATATGGGTGGTATCTGCCTCAAATGCTTGTTTCGAGACTTCCGCCGCCCCCATAGAGAGCACGGGGCACACAATGTATGCATTGCATGTATGTACACACGCATTACATACCTGACATACCGAACCTACCTCTCACATGTACATAACATACATGCGTACATGTAGAGCAGCGTGTACTACTCCGAGTAACCCCCCTTTCCCCCTATTCCACGGGACATCATAGGGTCGTAGCTACTCAAGTAGACGAGAGCTGATCAATTCGATCATCTGATGCTTGATGGCCAGTAAAGCTTAACATGATGGATGCGAGCCAACTGTCCCGGCTTAATCCGGATAGAGTCGCAACTATTGTACAGTTGTACGTAAGAGCACTTGCTCGATTGATGCAGTCTCCGTTGAGAGAAAGCCCGGGGGAATAATTCAGATATAATAATATCTGCATCTTGCTAACCTTCAATGGTAGCAGGTACCTTCGCACCGTCCGACTGCATGGTATGTAGCCTTCCTAGATTACTGTATTAGGAAAGGATATGAGCGAGGGAAAAAAACGAGACAGGTAAATGGAATTCTGTCTGTCTCGGAAAAGAAGAAAAACAACACCATATGTCATAGTCGAAAGCTTCATCAGGAGCACTTGCTCTTGCTTCCACTTTCATTGCCACTCTGCACGTATGGCTCTGGTCTCGCTACCCCCTGAAAGGTAGGTACTTTTTATCCCTCTCTCCCCTTTCCCATCCGGCACGAATTTGCTCATAAGCCCGATTTGGAATTGGGAAATGGGAGGAGGGAGGGGTGAGGAGGAAATAGGAAATGAAGAGGATGCCTTTAAGACGGAAACCGGAACGGCAGATGGACCGTTGTCGTCGCCCGACCGCCTCTCACACAACTTCGGCATCTCTTTATTCATCCAGCCCCAGATCGCCAATCCCATCGTCTTCTCCTCCCATTCTTGGTCGCTTTCACGAGCCTGGACATATCGATTTCAACCGGACGGAATAGACATCCCACCAGAGAGCTCTTTTCTGCACCTCAGCTTCCCTGCATCTCGCTTGTCTGTCCCGAAGTCTTCCAAAGCTGGGTCAGCATGTCTTGGCATCGATTCTGATTGGCTTGACTCCTGACCGACTCACTCGATAAGGCACGATAAGATCCAAACCTGGCGACCGGTCTGGAAGTGGATACCATCTTTCATGCAGTAAGATTTTGAGAGAAAAAAAATCGACAACAATGCCTGCCGACCAAAATCCCATGTTGCCCATGTCCACCAGCTTTCCATTTGCGGAGTTCGGCTCCGAGTCCGTGTAATAATAAGTGTGGTATCCGTCCGCCGAGGTAGTTGGAACCTCCTCTCTTTTGCTAAGTATGTTCTGGGTCCTAATTCCTGAATTCTGCAATTTCCGCGCTTCTCGTTCTCTGCCATGCATTCCAACTTCGCAACGTGTCATACAGCAGCCTACAGCAAGCCACCGGCAAATGGCAGCGAGGTATTGGTAAGGTTGTCATGACAAGGATAATCAGTAGCGCCCCCACCCCCCCTGGCCCCTTGGTGTCATGCTATCATAGTATCATATCAAATCGGCGGGTATATAGCGTCCCTCACCATTGAGAATACTATTTCCCGCCGGCCATCAGTTGTTGGGTACAGATGCAGTCCGAGTTGGTACGCTGACTTGTAACTTCGGAGAGTGCGGCTGCAAAACCCGTGTGATAGCTCACGGAGGTACGTATGTACCGCACAGTACCAAATTTGCCAGCATTGGCCATCCACACCGAGGGGTAAAGACTGCGGGCGGCGCTGGTGATTGAATCAATTCTACCGCGTGGGTTGGACAAAGCATCCATGACTCGCAGCTTTTGGGAGAGCGCAG